AGCAAAAGGTCTGAATATAAACTTGACTAAGCAATAATAGTTCTTTCTTTAAAAAACTTCTTATTCATCATGATTAAGTGAAAACATATATTCATGTTCTACCTTCAGTTTCTCAAATAAAGAGTAATCAGGTGTGCAATAATTTATAATTTTTCCTAGGGTTTATATTAAAATATTCACTCTAGATCATATTAATAGAATAATATCTATTGAGGTCATAAGTCGAATGCTAAGTAATTTCTTTTCAGATTTGGAGTTATTGTCGAACATTATTACATCAAAGTTTTCAAAATGACTTAAGTACGATTTTTGACGAGCTTTGACTTCATACCTAGGATGAGACACAACATCACTTAAAAAACAACAGGTGTGAAGGTTAACAAAATCTTCGTTGAGGATATACGATAAATATCACGTTTCATCAACCACTAACCTTAGCATTGATCAAATAAGGGTTGAAAAAATTTATTTAATAGTTGATGTCTTGGTAGACAAATCTAAATTCGAGGATTGAGGCAATAAATAAACATATGTGTGTTAGTTGAGATATCTAAACAAAATTTTTTTGTAGCTACAAGAATCTAAATTGAGGTATTGTGTTAAAATAAAGAATCTTTAATAAGGATGAGTTTAGTAAGGCAATTGTAATAAAACATTGGGGTCGTTTGCTTCGTGGATTTGAAAACTGAAAGTATAAATAAAACTTGGATTTTGTAAAAGAATGGATAAATGAGGGTTTTTGGTTCATTATGGATTTGAAAATATCATACTTCGTTTCATAGATTTCATTGTGCATTTGGTTAATTGAATTTGTACGTTGGAAGTGAAAATTACATATATTACCCTCATTGGTATGAGAAGGGAAATGAATTATGAGGGGTAGGTTGGTCACAAATAATAGACTTCAAAGTCCATGATCAATTTCCATCTAAAGAGGTGAAATTTTCAAGTCCTTGGGGCCCACAAATTTGGAAGCTTAAAATACATGAGACCCACATATTTGTTGCCTCTAAATACATGACGCAAGCAACGGTTGGACAAAGTTCACGATAGCTCCAAATTCATCAAGCAAACAACCCCATCTATATGTTTGTGAGTCTGTGACTCCATACCAAATTTCGGCAATAACAAAAACTTTTTCAATATCGAAGTCTCAAAATGGAAATCTTTTGGTTTGTAACAGTAAGCAATTTGTATTTAGATCGAGTTATCCTAGCCACAAAATTGCGTTTCCATATTTCAGTCGATGAGCCGAGTTCAAAGGTATTAATCAGGGTTAGAAATTAAAATAAAATCGTTATACATATTCTTAGATATTAATAGATATGTCTACAATACATTCAAGAATTCAAATGTATGTAAAATGTCACCATGTTTCTACGAGTTATTACATTTTATAAATAAAAAAAAATCCAAGAAATCATAAATAATCATTACTTAATATTGTAGGAATCTAAAACTAATTTAGTGCCACATCGGTACATGGCTAGCTCTCACCCTTCGACGTTGGACAATGTCTAATTGGTGTGCTTTATTGCTTACTCTTTAAATTGTCATCATTATCAATAAAAAGTAAATTAAGCTAATAAAAATGAATGCAACATTCTGGTTTGTTCCTATTCCTTTTCCCATACAACATTGAAAATAAAACACAACATTGATAATAAAGAAACTAGATCAAGCCCCACAAAAAATAATAAAGCTCTCTTCTTATTTGCTTAAATTTTGAGTTTCTAGAATTTGTCTTCTCTACTTTTTTGTATATAGATACAGGAAAAGAAATGGTAAGCCATATTACGTTTTTGTTTCTCTTTTTAGGATAATAGGATGCGGGAGTTACATGATGCAATGATTTGTTGGGAAAGAATTGAATAACTCTAACATATTTTTGCCTATTGACGAAGAAAAGTCCAACCTATCATTTCTCCCTCTTCCCTTTTGATCCGCAGCAGGCAATTGCTCTTTCTTCCTCGGAGATATCTGACTGCTAGCGGTTGACTGGCCGAGTTATAGTCTTCTTCCCATTATTTTCTTAATTTCTTCCAGATTACGGCGGCTGGATAGTAAATTTCCCTTTTCGATTCAATGGTTGTATTTCTTCTTCGTTATTTTGGTAGTTGTTTTATGGTTCTCTGTTATACTGTATACTTTGATGTAAACATGTAACATATAATTCAAAGGGTTTGTTGCTTGGACTTGGAGCATCTCTCCTTTGGTTGAATAATTGATCATTTTCCTTGGAGGCCTATTGCAACTCGATTCCTTGGATGTTAAAATGGAAAGTAGAGTTGTGAGAGTTGTTCATTATGTTTACTATGTTCATGAGTGACATGTTACTAGCTAGCTATATGACGATGATCTGATCAAGTAAATAGTATGTAGCATGGGGTTAAACGAAGAAGCGGAAGATTGATGATGTAGATGCCAATGTGGTTTCTCATTCTTCCAAAATTACACGAGTAACTGATATTGCACGAGAAGGGTGAGATAAAGAAAGCTCTTCACTTTTTTAATTAATTGAAATATTTTTGCAAATTTTAACTTCTTCTTTTGTGTCCTTCAAAATTTTAACTTCTTTGTCACTTTGTGTGCTAAAAAATTAATAATCTCTTAGTTTATATCTTAAATGCTGGATTTGATACATAATTATAAATCAATAAAGAAAGTACTAGAGAGAGCTCATCTAATAAAATTAAATTTTCATAAATAAATGAAATATATAAAAATGTGAAACAATATATGAAATTTGGTAAGTGAGATTAACAATTCAATATATAATAGTTTAACATAATGAATCATAAATAAAATTATAATACTAGGACGAAAAATATAATAACCAATCAAAATTTGCCGCCCAACGGGCGGGTATAAAGCTAGTTGGAAAGAATCTGGATGCACTATTATGGCGGATGGTTGGACGGATAATAGGCATAGATCCTTAATCAAGTTTATTGTGTATTCTCCTGCTGGAACATGCTTTGTGGAGTCCATTGATGCTTGTGATGTTTGCAAGAGTAAAAGGAACTTGTTTAAGTTATTTTTTGAGGTCATTGATGAGGTTAGAGTAGAGAATGTTGTGCATGTGGTGATTGATAATGCATCCAATTATAGATTAACAGGGATAATGATACATAAGCATTATGGTATTTAGAAATTTGTGTCAACCGCAAATTAAAAGTGGTGGGATTAACCACAAATCACACCGATTTTCACCGCTACCTGAAGCAAGTGTTCATAAGCACAGTAGTATAAGAAATTCCAACGTGTTTATGTGTGTACAATTGCTTGCCTAGTAGTATCATATATAGTAGCGTGCGTTAATACTAATTTTCTTTTTTCTTTTTGGGTGGAAAGGAGGGTGCTAACGGGCACCCTTAACCGGTAACATTAATGCAACGGGGTGTCTGAACCCCCATAATGTCGAAATACAGCCAATAGTTGAGACGAGAGTTAGGATAAATAAGAGGATGGACACCCATGGGCATGTCGTGCCCCAGTGAAGCTACAAAGTCGACTGCCACGTTCCCTTCTCTGTAGACATGACTAATCTCTACCTCCCATTCCTTAGCAAGCAGGTTTCTAGCTGCTTCTGTAAGCTGAAAATGAGGATGATGAGCTGCCCCGCTTCCAATCAGGCTGATTACCGCCTTCGAGTCCGTTTGGAGTTGAATTTTGCGGAACCCCAACTCCCACGCGATCTTGAGCCCTTCCATTACTCCTGATAGTTTCGCTCGAGTAATCGAGCCTCTTCCAATGTTCATGGTAAAAGCTCTAATTAACCTTCCATCCTCGGTACGAAGAACACCGCCTGCTGCAGCACTTTCTGTTGCAGAGATATAGGATCCATCTGTATTTAGTGCTACCCACCCAATTGGTGGCTTCTTCCACGACACCAGCTGCCTTGATCTCCTCGAAACATCATCAAACATGATAGATTCTTTCTTGAAGGCATCGTCCAGATGGGCAGCTAAGCGCCTCGATCTCACCTGAACCTGCTTCATTGTCGGCAGACACTCTTCGAAGACATGGTTGTTTCTTCTTCCTTTCCATAGGGATCAGCAAATCACAGCAAACAAGGTATGGGAAACGCTGATGCTCCTCCCACTCAGGTAGAACAGTAGCCACCTTGTTAAACTGTTGATGAAGAACTCTTCATCGGGCTCGTCGAGGAGAAACTCGGACCACACGACGCGCGCATACGGACAATCGCGCAAAACGTGCAGCGTCGACTCGGGGCCATTACCACAAACAGGGCACGTCGAGGACCCCGTCAAGTGTCTATGATTGCGTTCTGCATTCGTCAATAGCCTGATGTTCGCTGCTAGACAGAAAAAGTTTGTATCCTTTGAGTAGCCGGAGTTCTCCATATAGCTTTCCAAACTGGATGAGACCCGCTGGGCTGTTCTTCTTCATCTGTGAGCTGGTAGGCAGTCTTCATGCTAAATAGGCAGTTGGAGGTAAACCTCCAAGTAGGAACATCAGGGAGCTCACCTTGGGGCGGTGGATGCCTCTGTACTGCGCGGAAACATTGTCAGGCAAAAAGGAAGATATGTATAGCATGTTCCATTGACCATTTAAGGTCAAGTCGGCCACTGCCAGCTCAAGTGCTTCCTGCGGGAGATCGGTAACGAGCTCAGCCAGTGGCGGCCCATCGTTCAGCCATCTATCCTTTCAAAACATAGCCAGCCCTCCATTCCGGATATTCCATTGTGTTGATTCCGAAATCTGATGTATAATTCGCAGGATCCCCCTACAGAGATTGGACATCCTCCCCGTTGTACGTGGCTGCCAACCCGTCTCCGTCTTCTTCATGTACTTGTGACGAATCACTCTAGCCCATAAGCTATATGTCTGTACATAAGCGCTAGGCCATCTTAATCATGAAGCTCTCGTTCGTTCTGGTCGCTGTGCGGAGACCAAGACCTCCTTCAGCTTTTGGGCGACACAGGGTTTCCCAGTTTATGAGATGGATCTTTCTCCCTGTGTCCGAGCTTCCCCAGATGAAGGTGCGAATCTTATTATCGATAAGCTCCCGTACACTGGCGGGAAGGAATGTGGTCTGCATCAGGAAGGATGGGAGGGACGCCAAAACTGACTGCGGCAGAGTGATTCTTGCAGCTAGAGATAGAGTTTTCTGATGCTACGTACAGTTTTTTTTGTTGCTTTTGTAATTCTAATATTAATAATTTGGTTAGTCAATCACAAGAAAGATCAGGAATCGGTTAGCATGCTAACCCTTTTAAGGGGTTGGAAAAATGACACCCCTATTAATTATAGTTATTTTTGTATTAAATTTGTGTTGCATTTAATAATCTTTGGAAATTAAAAACTCATCTTAATTGCATTCCTTTTTTTTAACTACACTGATACAACTACCATTGCACCTGTATACTGAACTCATATTGATTACGTTTCTTTTTTGGAACTACCATTGCACTGATACATCTACCATTGCACTTGTACACTAATACCATTGCACTGATAAAACTACCAGTACACTGAAAAAAGAAAGTAATTAATATGTGTTTTTAATTCATACAGATTATTAAATACAACACAAATTAATTACCTTAAAAACCTATAATTATTTCCATAAAAAACCTATAATTAATAGGGGTGTCATTTTTCCATTGTACACTAGCTTAAAATCACACTAGCATTGGGCCCGGCCCGTTGGCCGGTGTCCTGTAGAACTTCAAAGAATGAAGAGAGAATTAAGTAGCATAATTTGAAGGTTAACCAAATGTCGAGCTAATGATAAGATTTTATTCGTAAAAAGAAAACTCAAATAGCATCAACATAAGAGCACTATAACTTGATAAAATCCATTGTAGTTGTCAATTCCACGGAATGTAAGGGTAATCAAGAAATACTTGGTCAAAAAGTTGCATGAAGATGATTAAACTATATCCAAACGCAATCCTCCACATTTGTGAGGAAATAAAGTAATGCATAAATGTGCTGTTGGAATTAATCGAAATACGTAATTCCATGGAAATATCTTATCAGATTATCAAAGGCGAATAGATCTAAATACCTTGATTCATGATGGTAGATCGTCGTGAGCTTGAAGCGGAATCTGTAGAACGATCTTTAACCGGACGATACCTCCAAGTGCACGATCCGGGAAGTTTAGTGGCCTTCCTCAACCAAGCCTCCTTAGTCCACTCACGGGAAACCTCACGTATTCCTGATGGGGAGAATATGTGTGTGTTTTTCAGTCTTGGTGTCTTGGGGACCACAACCTCTAGGTTCTTTATATACTATGTTTAGCTAGGGTTCCCATAAAACCCTAATTAGGTTTAGTATCTGGTTTCCACTCATTGGGCCCATATAAGATATTGAGTAGTCTTGGGCTCCATAATTTGACCACTTATAGTTAGCCCACTTTAACAAATAACTAATACAATTATCCATAAACCACAGCCCACATCACGTGGAACATATATTTCCAACAATCTCCCACTTGGGCTGCATGGTTTATGCAAATAATTATATCACAAAGTTCCTTAGGCGCGCGTCCGAATGTTATTTGTACAATGACTATTCCTTAACAATCTTGTCCATCTCATGTATAGCAGTGGAACCAACGCGGCTTCAATCATGATATGATAATGATTAAACCACCATGATCACCACATTTACACACTCAATGACATAGATCAAATATGGATGAGTGGCATGAAAATTACATGTAATGTGATCTTGAACATGCCTATTTTCAACTGGTCCAACTTTAGTGAGATAAAAAAAAACACTTCATGCAAGAAAATTGCATAATATAAATAAACACCTTATGGTTCAAAACAGAAACTGAAGAAAAACCAAACATCACTTTATTCTGCAGAGTCACAAATCAATGTCTATAGAACAAATCGAAATGACTCCCACTAAACCAAGGTATCATCCAGAATAACGCCCATATGAGCAGTGTGCTCATAAAATGCAGTAGGCGGTAATCCTTTGGTTAATGGGTCAGCTAGCATAGACTCAGTCCTAATATGTTCTATAGAAATCTGTCTATTTTGAACCCTCTCCTTAACAACCAGGTACTTGATATCGATAAACTTTGACTTTGTCGAACTCCTGTTGTTATTAGAGTACAACACTGCTGCATTATTGTCACAATAAATCTTCAATGGCCTCTCAATGTTGTTTACCACACGCAGCCCCGTGACAAAATTTCGCAGCCATAATCCATGATTAGATGCCTCATAACAAGCTATAAACTTTGCTGCCATGGTGGAAGGAGCTATAAGACGCTGCTTAGCAGACCTCCAAGAAATAGCCCCTCCGGCAAACATGAAGATATAGCCAAATGTAGAGCGCATGCTATCTTGGCATCCAGCAAAATCAGAGTCAGAATACCCAATGACCTCCAGACTATCTGATCTCTGATAAGTAAGCATGTAATCCCTTGTTCTCTTTAGATAGCGCATCACACGCTTGACTGCCTTCCAATGATCCATACCTGGATCCTTTGAGTATCTGCCCAGTACTCCCACTATGAAAGCTATATCGGGACGAGTACAAACTTGAGCATACATAAGACTCCCTATTGCAGATGAATAAGGGATCTTCTGCATTTCCGCTCTTTCTAGATTGTTTGTGGGGCATTGAGCGAGACTGAACTTGTCTCCTTTGGCTACTGGTGTATTTGCTGGGTTACAATCTTTCATGTTGAATCTACTCAAAACATTATCGATATAGCACTTTTGTGATAATTTGAGAAGACCTCGAGAGCTATCTCTCAGTATCTCAATACCCAATACAAAAGAGGCGTCACCAAGATCTTTCATTTCAAAATTCTTTGTTAGAAATTTCTTGGTTTCGTGCAGTAAGCCTATATCACTATTGGCGAGTAGAATGTCATTAACATATAACACCAGGAAAATAAATTTACTCCCACTGAACTTGTGATATACACAATCATCAACAAGATTAGTCTCAAAACCATATGAGCTAATAACTTTGTGAAATTTGTGATACCATTGACAGGAAGCTTGTTTGAGACCATAGATGGACTTCTTAAGTTTACAGACCATTTTCTTTGGATCTCCCACAACGAAGTTTTGTGGCTGAACCATATAAATAGTCTCATCAATGTCTCCATTGAGAAACGCAGTCTTCACGTCCATCTGATGGAGCTCCAAATCAAAATGAGCCACTAGTGCCATTATTGTCCTAAAAGAGTCTTTCGCAGACACTGGAGAGAAAGTCTCTTTGTAGTCAATGCCTTCCTTTTGAGTAAAGGCCTGAGCAACTAGACGTGATCTAAATCTCTCAATCTTACCCTTAGAGTCCCTTTTGGTTTTAAATATCCATTTATTACCAATCGGAACTACTCCTTCAGGGCATTCAACGACATCCCAAACGTCATTGTCATACATGGACTTCATCTCTTCTTTCATGGCACTATTCCACTGTTCAGAGTTAGAACTGCGCATGGCTTGAGCGAGGTTGATAGGATCATCCTCCATTAAGCCTATGTCATCCTCATGTTCTTGAAGAAAGACGACATAATCATCCGGAATCGCACTTCTTCTTTCTCTAGTGGATCTCCTAAGTGGCACTTCTTGATGATGTTGATTTTGTTCCACTGGTGGTACAGGAGGAGGAATTTCATTGTTGTCTTGTTCCATAACTGTAACATCCCAAACCTCGGGCAACTTTTATATCGATTCGGTTTGATGAGGAATCAAGAATTTCAACCATAGAAATTGCGGCCACACCGAATGGTTTAGGAATGACGAAGTATTCTGGAAAGATGTATCAGAAATTGAGGACAAATCTTGATTCCACAATTTAGAAAATTCTTCTACGATCACGTAGAATTTTACGGATCTTAATTCCGAGTCCAAACGAGTGAGATAAGTTAATTCAAAGTAGGCTGGAGAAAATACCCTACCATAAAACCGACCGGGTTATTTTGGAAATACCCGACCGGTTATTTCTGTAAAACCCGACCGGGGGTTTTGTTAGGTCAGACCGAGTTTTCCCTTAAAAATACCCAACCGGGTATTAAGTTAGGTCAGACCGGGTATTTTGGCTGGCCGACCGTGACCTAACCTTTAGTATTTTTTAATAAATACCCGGCCACTAACCCGAAATACCCGACCGGGTATTTAGACCGGGTTTTGTGACCAGCAGCCTATAAAAGGAGGAAGAATGGCCAGCTGTCATTCACACCAAAATTTCGTATAAACGAGTTGAGAGAGAGAGGGAGAGGGCAGTTTCTAGAGAGAGAGAGGGTGACGAGCAGGAGCGACGAAGTGCTCGAGGTCGGTCTCCGACAGCTGTGCAGAGTCGAGATTACGTCATAAATAAGGTGTGTGGGTTTACGGTAAAAGGGAACCGGAATTACGTGTTTATTTCTAAATATGCATGATAGAGTTAATAATTAATGATGATGATGGAATTGTGATTGATTCATGATTGTGATCTTGGTTGAAATTATGATGAAGTCGATTGACTGTTATGATGATAATTATTATTAATCTCGTGTTGGAATTGTGAATTTATTGGATTCAATATGAGAAAGGATTCTGGTCATAATAATAAACCGCAAATGGATTCGTGAAAGTTTGAATGATGGACAGCTACCATGGGAGGATTCTGTCTAGGCTAGTGGTTTTTAATCGAGACCTTCGTGGTACTCGTCCACTTACCTGGGAATTCACCCGGTAGAATCTTTTGGAAATATGGTTGTAAGAAGTGCGCTACGAGTAGTGGCACTCATTCCTTTTCTCGGAGTTTTACCACGGCGGGTCCGTCTTTCAAATTACACGATGAATTTCTACTCGATAATGGAATGGATGATTTGATAAAATATATATATGGATTATTGATATGTATGATTATGGCATGATGATGATGATGTCAGGGATATTGAGTGATAGTGATACGATTGACGTGTATGAGTATGACGTGATTAGAATATCGGTTGGTATGAATGTGATTGGTAAATATAAATATTACCGTGATATGTTGTGACAACATTGATATGATGAATGCTTTGATTAATGATGATGTGGATGAGATATTATCATGATCGATTTGTGATTGATATGTTAAATGATTACGATGAGTGAATGATGTGTTGAGTACTTGGCAGATTTGTCAAGTTTGATTGATGAGAATGAATTATTTATATCATTGAGAAGATGATGATTACATTGAGATTGTGCAATGCATCAAAGTATGCATAGATGATGTGAGATATGTATGGACTGGGAATATCAATGGGACGCTGTTGATTTCTTGGATCGATTGAGATAAGATGGAAGAGAGAAAGTGATGTTGTTTGATCATATTAAATCACATAGACATAGAAGGGCCTATGACCTACCCCTATGAGATCAATTGGACTGCGGGACAATTGATCGGGCTACGGCCATGATAAAAGGATTTATGATAATCCTAGAGATGGTGGTTCATTATAACCACGAGGGGAGATGAGATGAGGCTCGAGCGGGGTGGGCGTATGGTGACCTTAGCGCGCAAATCAATAATAAATGGAGAGTCTGCATTTCATGCATTGCATATGATATATATGGTGTTGATGATTTCCATGAAGGAAATCGTAGAGTGACATTTGATTGATGATTGATTGAGAAATCTATATGGTTGCGCCGGAATGGCGATTTGATTATTGATCACTCGATTGATGATTGAAAGATTGATATGGTGAATGACAAATTGGTGATTTGATGAATGACTGATATGGCTATTTCCAATTGATGATTTGATTTGATGAATGATTGATATGCGTTGATTATTAAATGATGAGTTGACTTTGAATGAAGGTTTGATATGATGGATTCATGAGTTGAGGTAAGTTTATGATTCTATATTACGACTTGATTAATGAAAGTCATACCATGAGGAATTGGGTTAAAGAAGGATTGATGACCTAGAGATAAATCTAGGGATTAATGAGATTGTCGTGTGGCATGATAATTTGCTGATGATGTGTTTTAATCAACACAATGTGATGATGTGATGATGTGATGGCATGCTAATAATAGTTTTGCCGTATAGGCAAGGCCCTCACACTCAGCTTAGTAGCTGACCCATTTTTCTTTCTAGATGTGACAGGTGTGATAAATTGAGGATGACTCTGGCACTGCACAATGATCGATGGAGGATTTTGATTTAAAAGGTTTTTCCACCTATTGAGATAACCCTTACTTTACGATTCGGGTTTTGAACATGCATGATAGTTTGTAATGGTCAAGTATGATCATTGACTTGAGTTGAGTATGATTGGAGTGGATGAGATTGACAGTGTGGAGTCAGTGAATCCTGATTTTGAGGAAGGTTGATTAATGGATTGAGGATATGATTTTCAGTGAATTGTTATGATGAGTTGGATTTTAAATCTATAAGAATGATGTGGATGTGAGTCGAGTCGAGATTTTGAAAACGTAAACCCCGAGTGATTTCCGCTGCGCGGGCGAACCGTTGGTTCGACCCATGATTTTAGGGTGGGGTGTTACAATAACTATGTCAGGACTAGTGATAGGTATGATAACCTGATCACTATCAATGACTTGTTCTTCCTCAAAGACAACATTCCTTATGTTTCCTTCCCCCCAAAACTCAATATCTTCAAGGAATCTCGCATTTCCCGTTTCAAAGAATGATCGTGAGGTGGGATTGTAAAATTTGTAGCCTCGAGAGTACTGCGGATAACCAACAAAGTAGCAACTTACAGTCTTTAAGTCTAGCTTTCCTTCATGTGGCTTATAAGGCCTTGCCTCAGCTGGACAACCCCAAATGTGCAAGTGCCTAATGCTAGGATTTTTGCCTGTCCATAGCTCATAAGGGGTTTTAGTTACTACTTTGCTTGGTACCCTATTAAGGATGTATGCAGCAGTCTTTAGAGCTTCCCCCCAAAGTAACTCCGGTAAGGAAGAATGACTAAGCATACTTCTTACCATGTCTTTAAGAGTACGATTGCGCCTTTCTGCAACGCCGTTCATGCTAGGTGTTCCTGGCATGGTGTATTGAGGCACAATCCCACACTCTTTGAGGTAAAGCGCGAAGGATCCTGGACGTTGTTCTCCGGATCCATCATATCGACCATAGTATTCTCCACCACAGTCCGATCTGACAGCCTTAATTTTCTTTCCAAGTTGAAGTTCAACTTGAGCCTTAAAAGACTTGAAAACATCCAAGGATTGCGACTTCTCATTTATAAGAAAGAGGTAACCATATCTAGAGTAATCGTCTATGAACGTGATAAAATATTTGTGACCGTTCCAAGATGCTGTAGGGAATGGACCACATATATCAGTATGAATGAGTTCTAAGACGTCTTGAGCTCTATTGGCACCCAATTTCTTAATGTTTGTTCTCTTACCCTTAATGCACTCAATGCAGACTTCAAAATCTGCTAAATCTAAGGGTTCAAGAATTCCATCAGACACAAGCCTCTGAATTCTCTGTTTGGAGATATGTCCTAAGCGCTTGTGCCATAAAGCAGCGGAATTCTCATTAAATTTTTGCTTTGTACCTCGTGAACTTGTTTGGAGGATTTCATTATGGGAACTAATCACATCAAGCATGTATAGATTATCAATCAATGGACCGGTACCAATCAAGACTGAATTTTGTGAGAGACTAAATTTATTATCTCCAAATGAACAAGAATAACCTGATTTGTCCAAACATGGAACCGAAATTAAATTCTGTCGAAATGACGACACCACAAAAGTCTCAAACAAATCCAAATGGCATCCAGTCTTTAATTGTAATCTAAAAGTTCCGATAGCCTCCACTGCAACTTTATTGCCGTCCCCCACATAGATGAACTTTTCGTTCTTACTTGGTGGCCGGCTCCACAGGCAGCCCTGCAAAGATACACTTATGTGAGTGGTAGCACCAGAATCCACCCACCAAGTATCCATAGGCACAAAAGCTAAATTAACTTCAGAACAAACTAAAGTAAGAAGCTCACCCTTCTTTTCACGCCAAACGGCATACTTGGGACACTCCTTCTTCATGTGCCCAGTCTTCTTACAGAAGTAGCAAGGAAACCCCTCAGTTTGCATCTTTGGTTTCTTTTGCTGAGAAGACTTTTCTGCAACATCCCTAGCTCTCTTCTTGATTTTGTTTTGAGAACTTGATGCTAAGTGAGCACTCTCAGTCCTATCCCGCGCTTGCCTCTCTTCCTCTTGCACACAGTGAGATATAAGCTCATTGAGAGACCACTTGTCTTTCTGAGTGTTATAGCTCACTTTGAATTGCCCAAAGTGTACAGGGAGAGAGATCAAAACCAAGTGTACGAGCAAATCTTCAGACAGCTCTAACTTTAGTGACTTGAGTTTTGATGCGAGATTAGACATCTCCATAATGTACTCCCTTATGTTCCCCTTGCCTTTATACTTCATGGAAACGAGCTTAGACAAAAGGTAACTTGCCTCTGATTTTTCATTCTTGGCAAAGTATTGCTCGATTTCCTCAAGGAACCCCTTAGCGCTCTCATTCTCAGTCATAGAGCCCCGAAACGCTTCTGGAATAGAGCGCTTCATGATCATCATACACATACGATTAGAGCGATCCCACTTTTCTATTTTAACCTCATTAAGGTTATCTGGAGTAGAAACAGGACGCTCCAACCGCAGTGCAAGATCCAAATCCATACAACCGAGAACAATTTCTACGGTTTCTTTCCAGATCTTAAAGTTTGTCCCATTCAATAGTGGAATATTGCTAATTTGAGCAGAAACATTGGAAGCAGAAGCTAAAGACACTATAAAGAAACAAGAAAACATGCACTCATGTCAAACAAAAATACACGAGAAGAAAATTCAGACATTTAAGTTTTATTTCTGAAACCCATCTTAAGATACCAAATGCAACATTAACTCTTAGTCTTTGGACAGATAAATTAACTGCGAGCGGTACTCTTACTAAAATGATCAAATACTGATAATGAGTTCTGTCAAATAATAGTTTATCTTTGGACCAACTATCATTCACATGAAAATAAACTTCACAATCATCACGTATTTATCATTAAGGTGCATCATCATTTGGCCAAATAGTATCTACCTTTGGGCCGAACACTATCCGCATAAACAACCACACACTATACATCCAAGTAATTTAATTTGATCAATTTTTACACTAGAGGTTACTTTGGCAACATAACATAAAGAATCAAATCAATTTAAAATTATTGGACCAATTGATTGATTACGCAAACCATGTGCGTTCAAAAATAATATATATATATACACATACCCAAAATACGCACACAGTAAACCAATCAACCAATTAAGATAATCCAAACTGAAGCAATTAAATCCTGATGGAGAGGGTCTGAAACCAAAGAACCCTCAACCTCCACTTTATTTTCATAAACACAGACGGGATGCTTAATGCTTGATTTGGGACAGTGCTTTACCCAAAACTTCATGACCAGGAAGATGAAGAAAAGATGGAACCGCATATATTCCTTTTGGCTTGGGTGATTTATAAAGAAAAGAATGAAATCTCCACCCAACAACCTAAAATTCCATTTTTTTAAGCAACATAATCATAACTGATCCAAAAGCAGCCACCGGTATTGCCCGTCATGAATCCAATTCCAAGCAAACGCAGGGCAATACTAATCTACAATATGCATGGGTACGAGAACAGTAGCATGCAATATGTACCTAACTAGCAATGCAATCATGCATATAACAGATCCGTGTATGCGGAAGCCTCAATAATCTAACAAAGATAACCTGCTCTGATACCACTTGTTGGAATTAATCGAAATACGTAATTCCCTGGAAATATCTTATCAGATTATCAAAGGCGAATAGATCTAAATACCTAGATTCATGATGGTAGATCGTCGTGAACTTGAAGCGGAATCTGTAGAACGATCTTTAACCGGACGATACCTCCAAGTGCACGATCCGGGAAGTTTAGTGGCCTTCCTCAACCAAGCCTCCTTAGTCCACTCACGGGAAACCTCACGTATTCCTGATGGGGAGAATCAGCAGCGGATACAGGGGGGGGGGCCAGACTGGGCCCGGGCCCAGCCCTCCCTGCCTCCCCAAGACCCAACCCCAGCAGCAGTTCAGTGTTTAAATATTTGGGCCCAGCCCGTCTCAAGACCCAGGCATCCCTGCATCAGCTTCCCCTGCAGCCCAAACAATCCCTGCAGCCCAAACTAACAAAATATGAAATAACAATCTCCCGCAATCCGCATCATTGGCTTCCCCTGCAAGTCTAGAACCAAAAAACAAAAAGAAAAGAGAAGATGAACAGACAGACCCGCTCGTGCTCTGCCCGTTTGCGCTGATCGCTGATCACCGGAGGCCCTGTCACCCTGACCTGGCGGCCGGCGCCGGAGTTCCTTTGGCCAGGCCGCATACCGCCCGCAGACCGCCCGCATCGCCTGACCGACCGCATACCGCACTCCGCAGGACCGCAGCGCCAGCGCCCGCCGCCCAACTTTCTTCTAGTCTCTCCGTTTGTGAATTGTGATTCACTGATCTGATTCTCTTATCTCATCTCAGCATCTGTGAATTGTGATTTGTGAATTTGTGATCTGTCTTATTGCAAAGAAAGTGCGTAGAGACTAGAGAGGTAATTGCAATTTGCCAATTGATTATTGATCTTATTGTCTTAGTTTAGTTAGTCTTATTTACTTAGAAACTAAGTTAGTCTTATTCCCTTCACAGTAGACAGTAGTTTGTATCCAAATTTACTTAGAATCTAGTGTTTGACTGAGTTGTGTACATGTATAATTGGTTATGCAGACAGCAGATTTCAAGATATTTCATCATGACATCTTCTCAACCACCAAATAAAAAGGTGAAAACAACATTGTTTTCTTACTATCAACGTAAGGAATCTGAATCATGTCAGACCGAAGAAGTCCCTCCTAATGAAGGTCAACCATCTTCCTCTCCAGTTCAGAATGAAGCATCTACTTCTCCTGTATCCGGTAATCTACTTCCATCATCTGATAGCGGAGTTGAAATTGAAAGAAATCCAGGAAAGAGGAAACAAATATGTGATTGGGCTCTTGAGTTGAGAGATGAGGTTAGGAGAAAATACCTAATACCCAAGGCTTATCAACCTAAACTCGCATACTATAAGCCGCGAGAATACCCAGATAAAATTCGTCACTTTCAAGAAGCATGGTATTCACAATTTGATTGGTTGGAGTATTCTCCTACAACACATAAAGCATATTGTTTCCCATGTTTTTTGTTTAGAGACAAGATGAATGGGAATCAAACTTCTGCACTTGTGCAAGATGGATTTGATAATTGGAAGAGGGTTACTGGTAAGAAATGTGTGTTCCTTGTTCATGTTGGTTCATCAGCATCTTCAAGCCATAATAAATGTGTTACAGCGGCTGATGCCTTGATGAAACCCTCCGGTCATATTGATAAAGTGATGCACAGAATTGGTGGAGAAGAAGTTCTAAAGCATCGATTGCGGTTGAAAACAACAATTATGGTTGTCAAACAGTTGGCTTTACAAGGAAGTTCTTTTAGAGGACATGATGAATCTGATGATTCTTTGAATCCGGGGAATGTTCTAGCTTGGATTGGTTTTGCAGCGAAGTTGAATGATCAAATCAATAGTGTAGTTCTTCGTAACGCACCAGGAAATGCGAAATACACTTCACCAAGCATTCAGAAGGAGATATTGGGAATCATAGCAAATAGAGTGCGTTGTAAGATACGCGAGGAGATTGGAGATTCTTGTTTCTCTATTCTTGTTGATGAAGCAGTTGATGAAGCAGGAAGGGAACAAATGTCTGTTATTTTGAGGTATGTCAGTTCTTATGGTATAGTAACTGAACGCTTTTTTGCTCTCAAGAGTGTAGCTGATACTTCTGCAGAAACACTAAAACAAGCTATTTGTGGCGTTCTCTCTCAGTATGACCTTCAAATTGAAAAATTGAGAGGTCAAGGATATGATGGTGCTAGTAATATGTCAGGACAGTTTAATGGAGTCAAGGCATTATTTCTTAGAGATTGCCCATATGCCTATTTTGTTCACTGTTTTGCTCACAGATTACAGTTGGCATTGATTACTTCTGCAAAGGTATGTGATCCTATATGGGATTTCTTTTCCATATTGGATTGTATCATAAATGTTGTGAAGGCTTCTCCTAAACGGATCAGGGAGTTGCAAGCAATTCACAAAAAAGATCTTGATGGTATGTTGGATGCTGGAGAAATTCAATCTGGACAAGGAGCTAATCAAATGACATCCTTAAAGCGTTCAGGGCCAACTCGTTGGGGATCTCATTATCATTCCATATTGAGCATTATAAACATGTTCAATGCAACATGTGTAGTTCTAGAGGATCTTTGCCGTTCTAAAGAAGGAGAACAACGAGCTCAAGCCAGAGGTGCTTCAAAAAATATCAAGACTTTTGAGTTTGTGTTCAATCTTCACTTGATGAAAGGGATTATGGATATCACGGATTTTCTTTGTCAAGCATTTCAACAAGAATCTGTTGACATTGTAGCTGCAGTTGGATTTGTTTCCATGGCAAAACTTAAACTTCAAAAGCTACGGGATGAAGGATGGGACAAGCTACTCATAGAGGTAAAATCTTTTTGCTCAAAACATGCCATAGAGGTGCCTAATATGAATGCTACACATGGACGTGGTGAGAAGCAAACAACTCTTGAGCACCGTTACCATTTTGAATACTTTAATCAATGCATAGATTTTCAGTTGGGAACATTGAATTCAAGATTCAATGAGTCATCAGTCAGATTGCTTCAGTTGAGTGGTGCACTAGACCCTAAAAGTTCTTTCCAGTCTTTTGATGAAGAAAATATTTACAGACTTGCTGAAGAGTTTTATCCTCAAGACTTTGAAGGCAATGAGATGTATTGTTTGAAGAATGAGCTAGGATATTATGCCGATCATGTGGTTCATTGTCAGGAATATGATGTTTCTTCCCTTGCAAAATTACTAGAGAAGCTGGTGGAAACAGGGATGGACGCACGGTACAGATTGATTTGTCGGTTGATTCGTCTAGTGTTAACATTGCCTGTTTCAACGGCTACTACAGAGAGATCCTTTTCAGCAATGAAACATGTGAAGACTGATTTGCGCAACAAGATGGGCGATGAATTTCTTGCTGATTGCTTAACTATTTTCTTTGAGAGAGAGTATGTTATTGGTATGGATGAAGACTCAATTATTGACGAATTTGCTAAATTAAAAGACCGTCGTGTACAATTGACATTGTAATGCAAACTATAATTTTTTTTTGCTTACGGTATCTAATTTTATGTTCGAATCCGGCCCAGTGCACTTTTATATCCTGGATCCGCCGCTGGGGAGAATATGTGTGTGTTTTTCAGTCTTGGTGTCTTGGGGACCACAACCTCTAGGTTCTTTATATACTATATTTTTAGCTAGGGTTCCCATAAAATCCTAATTAGGTTTAGTATCTGGTTTCCACTCATTGGGCCCATATAAGATATTGAGTAGTCTTGGGCTCCATAATTTGACCACTTATAATTAGCCCACTTTAACAAATAACTAATACAATTATCCATAAACCACAGCCCACATAACGTGGAACATATATTTCCAACATGGGCAAGAATCTCTGCTACACACTCTAGGCTCAAGAGAACCACAGACTATCATTTTGCAGATTAAGTGTGTTGTTGAAGTAGTACGTAGTAGGAAGTTATAAAGCAAAGCTAATAATCTGGAATTCATAAGCATCCATTTCCACTCATCTCTTGGCTGTAGCTGCTTCTATAAATTTTAACTGAGTTATAAGTTTCACCTTTATAAAAATTCATCTGCGATATGATAATTAGTTTATCTTCATTATTTCTATACTAACTAATATTATATTGTCCAATTTTTAACTGATTTATTCATTTCTTTAATTTTCTTACGGTTTGCTGACAATTTGGCTTGGATTCTTCATAGTACTCCATACTAAGTTTTAAGTTCTGAATGGGAATTTTTTTTCTAATGCGCCCAACTATCACTAATTAAAGAATTGTATACTTGTGATAGGCTAGTGATTTCTTATGCTTTCCATATGATTTGAATTTCTCTACCCTTCAAAGTTAATTAACTATCCAAGGTTAATTTTTATGTCGAAGCCTATGGTATGAAGTTTGCTTCTTAATTTAAGACTTTTCCCTATGAATTTCATGAATAGGGATCAAATCAAAGAAAAATTAAGATCAAATAGTAAATTAATTTGTGAAGCAAGAGCGCAAGAGAACATATTTTAGAAGAAATCAAATTAAGTACACGAATATAACTACTAATCATTATATTATTTTGGGCAATGTCTATTTTTTACCCAAACCTTTTTCAGATTCTTTTATTTTAACCAAACCTATAGAAATTCTATTTATTATCCAAACGTATTATAATTTATCAAAGTCTGGGCATTCATTCTGTTACCGTTACTTATTTCGTCCACGTGAGGAGTGGGATTTTGTTTTTTTTTTAATAATCTTTTTATTAAAAATAGTAAATGATGGTATTCTGACCCCCACGTAGGAAGTCAACTCATTATGGTCATACTTAGTCAGCATTACTAACAGAAAATTTGACGGAGAGTTAACGTTTGGATAATTTTTAGGAATTCAATAGGTTTGGTTAAAATAAAAGAATCCGAAAAAGGTTTGGGGTAAAAAATAGACATTGCCCTATTATTTTAATTAAATCAATACGAAGACAATATTATAGAAATATAGTATTGTTTTGTTGGCCGCTATTCAATAGAATTAGTATACATATATATTTCGTAAATTAAAAGTCGAGGACCAAAATTTATAGATAGTTTATATTATCTTATATCCACTCATAATGAACCTTGGTCAATATTATACGTTTGTCAATATTTGTTACATTTTTATTTTACTATTATTATATTAATTATTTTCTTTCTTATCTTATCCCTCATCCACTACCACCAGTCACTTTCTAGTTTCTTCTACAACCCAAATCTCTCTCCCCCTCACAACCCTCTCTCTTTCTTCTACAGGAAGCTAGCTATAATTTCGTTTCCGCTTCTCTGCAAAACCTCAATTTTTCACCACCATGCAACAGCCAAATAAGCCTTTTTCACTCATATCTCATCATATGTCAAGTGATCGACATGCCAAGTTCCTATCGTAACGTTATTTTGACGGAAAGAAGACGATATGATTCGACACTAGGCCGATGATTCAAGGTTCTGGCAAGGAAAGGGATAGATGGAGATTAGCCTATTTTCTCTTTGCTCTTTGATCGACATCTGAATTTGTTACTCGACTCTGTCTCACGTCTCAAGAGGATTAAGAGTTTGTAGCCGCCATTTTGTTTCGCTTCTCATGTGACTGTTATCACCCGGCAACAACTTTTTGATGTCCTTCCATAAATTTTGTTTATTGAATTTTCCTGAGTTAAATATCATATATTTCAAGAAACTTGTTGCAAATAACTCATTCAACTTCTACTGAAAAAGAGAGCCTTTAAATCCAATTTCTGGTTCTGCTTGCATGGTAATTGCAAAATCAGTTGATTTGAAAATTGGAAGAAAGATTGTAGAAAAGCTTATTTGATTTAGAGGACAACAACCTTTTATTTAGATTTTCAGAGCAATTTTGGGGTGCACAGCTAAGAATTGACAAATTAACCGGTTTGCCCCTCCTAGTCTGTGTATTGCAAGTCGATTTACGAAATAGGGATTGAGGTCCAGCGGTGGAAGATTAAAGGCAAGGGGAACGATGCGGCGGCGGGAGGAAAGGGAAGGGGGCACGTCGAGAATTTCTTCCGGAAGGGTTTGGAATACATAAGGTGAGACTTGAGAGAGAGAGAGAGATGACTGATGAGTCAGATTTTTGGGACGTTTTGGCGAGACCCGCGACAGAGATGTCGAGAAAGATAAATATTGAGGAATTACTGAAAGGCCCATCCGCCGTGTGCGGGTTATTGAGAAGGGACTGACGTGGCAAAACTGTTTTTTGTACATTGCCTTATAGTATTTTGTAGAAGTCTCAACTCTCAAATCCTTTTACGGGAAGTTCCATGTAAAGGGAGGGGAGAGGAAGTAACAGTGAAGAGGGGCCTGGCTGGAAGAGGATGCGATAATGGGTTAAGGGTTTTTTGGAATTTATTTTATGATTAAAAACAATATTTAATAAATTTTGATGACGTGTCGTACATGTATACCAAATTGTTAGTCACCTTAACAATTTTAACGAAAACTTAACGGATGGTTATAATTATATTTTTTAAAAGATATGGCTATTTTATTGAATTTCATATAGATTTGACTATTTCTATGTGAGTAAGGCATATTAATCCTACATGTCTTACTCACATAATAGTCATCCTAATCTTCCTCTGCGTAGAACACCATTGTATTAAAATTTGACGACTTCTTATTGAATAAAATGGAAAGTACATATACTAGATGGTGCGAGGCACAAACTCAGGCCGCTACCAACAACTCATGACCCTGAAATTAAGCTAATATGATATGCTAAACAATCTATCAAGCTGAGATACTCAACTACCTGACCCACTATTCATAGGATTTGATTGTAACAAAACAAACTTACTGAACTGACTAAGCAATACTCCAAAAGACCCAGTATGCTTATTTATTACACAGACCCACTTATGAAAATAGACTGAAACGACGACGATGCCCCATTGGACAACAGCCGACACAGTTCAAACTTAACCTTTGGCGCCCTTCTTCTCCAATCCTTATGCAGCCCGGATTCCAGTCTTAACACTCTACATCCCGACGCCGACGCCGACGCCCGCCTCGTCCTCATCCTCATCCTCACCGTCCATATCCCTATCCTGAAGGGGGGCCACGGGCAAGTGGGCAACTATCAAGTGCAGTCTACCCCGGACTTGCGCCCACACATTAGGGTTGGAAAACCAAGCTCCATAAACACGGTCGTTCGCCTTCAAGGGCTCGTAATGGCCATCGCTCGGCCTTCTCGTCATAAGCGATATGGGATAAGTTGGATGGTTCTCCCGGTGCAGGCTTTCTTGAATGAGCTCCATCAATTGTGGAAGTGTTGTCTCCATAACGGTTTGTCTCGGTATGTTGTCATGCAGCTGTGCTGGTAGGGGATTTACAGTGAAGTGGGAATACTCAAAGTGCTCAGTTGGGATCAACGCAATCGGGACCATCGCCATAGTATCTGAAATTGATGTGTATGAGTATATTTCTCCGGAGCTAGCATATTCACTTTACAAGAAGAAGAAGAAGAAGAAGAAGAAGAAGAAGAAGAAGAAGAAGAAGAAGAATAGGAAAAGCTCTGTTTCTTCTCTAACCACATTATAACGAGCAATATTGACAGCAAACAGTAGAGCAATGAGCCCTAAATCTATTTAATGTACGTGCAGGGGGGGGATTTGTACCTGATCTGATTTGGGATGATGATTATAGGGTACCAAAAGGAGATTCAGAGCGCTAGCTAGCTGAAACAGAGTCCAGAAAACCAAAGAAACAAGTAAGAGTTCAAAATCCGCTAAATGAACCATGGATACACAGCAAGAATGAATGAGGGAACGAGAGAGTACCAGCTTAATGAATGAGGTAACAGCTCAGTGAAGAAGCTCCGAGGAAAGAAAACTAATAAGTAGTAATTGGCAGACGAAGAAAGGAAAGGGTCACGTGATTGCGGTCAGTCCTCCTACCAGAGGCTGTCTGGAAACAAAAAATGACGAGAAAAACTCATAAATAAATTCAACGGCGGGGAAGGAGACCGTACCGTCGTACGTCGTCAAACAGAAATTGGTTATCTTACATTTTACAAGGTGCTGTTTGGCTAGGCAAGAATAATTAATGTTGGAGGTTAATATGATTTTCAGCATTACCAAATCGCAGGCTTCTTCTTAAATTTTCAAACAGTATTTTACTCCATTTCGGTTTTTTATTTTATTTTTTGTCATTGGATCACTTAAAAGAAGAATATAGAAATTCAAATACGGAAGCCTCCGCTTAAGAAATTTGAATGAATGAAACGAAGTCAAAACTTTTCAAACGACAAATTTCTTTTGATAAGTCAGAGGTGTCGTTCAGCTCAAATGTTCGCACTCATCGGAGCTTGGAGATTGGGGGTGTTCTACAAATGAAGCGGGTGGAAAAGCATAACAAGTACCTGGGGCTAGCTACAGAGGCGGGGAGATCGAAGAAATTGTTGTTTGAAGACCTCAAGGAGCATGTTAGGAAAAAGTTAAAAGGATGGAAGGAGAAGACTCTGTCTGTGACGGCTCGGGAAGTATTGATTAAGTCTGTGGCACAAGCTCAATTCACATATGCTATGTCGGTGTTCAAGATACCGGACGGAGTGATTGATGATGTCCACAGTATGATTATGAACTTCTGGTAGGGACAACGAGGAGAAGAACGAAGAGCGCATGGCTTGAGAAGAGAGGAAATGGTGAGTCCGAAAGAAGAAGGAGGTATGGGATTCCAGGACTTACGGGGCTTCAATATTGCTCTTTTGGGGAAGCAGTTGTGGAACCTGGTTAAATGTCCCGACTCCCTCATAGCAAGGATTTTAAAGGCAAAATATCACAAACGTTCGTCGATTCTGGATGCATCTATGGGTTATAGGCCTAGCTTCGTGTGGCGGAGTATTATGAGTGCTCAAGAGCTGATCAATAAAGGGGTTCGGTGGCGGATTGGAAATGGGGTGAACGTACGTATTTGGGGGGATCGTTGGATTCCTACACTACCTGGTCAATTTGTTCCTACGGCACCAATGGGACTTCCTGTGGAAGCAAATGTTTGTGAGCTGGTGGACCCAGATACAAATCAATGGGATATCCCTTTATTAGAGAGCTGTTTTACAAGGGATACGGTGGAAGCCATTTCGCAAATCCCGTTACGTGGAAATGAGGAAGTGGACACTATCATGTGGCATAATAATAAAGAAGGGAATTATTCGGTTAGGGAGGGATACAAGGAATGGAGTTGTGCATTCAAAGAGCAGCATGGGGTGGTTGGTTTTGGGGAAGAGTCGGTGTGGAAGAAGCTCTGGAGCTTGCAAGTTCCCCCCAAAGTAAGACAGTTTATGTGGCGGTTCGGTCGAGAGATCTTGCCGACAGGGGTGATTGTTAGCGAACGCAACCCTCGATGGGGGGATCGCTGTCCTTTTTGCGATCAGGTGGAAACTCAAGTCCATTTATTCTCAGAGTGCCAGTGGGCATCGAGGATATGTCGTCAATTTGAAGTGGTTGGCTGTTTTGCTAGACGAGGATCGGGATCTTGTTATGAGTGGTTTAAATCGATGGCAGAAAGTGAGGATGAAGCAAGCTTAGAGAGTTGGTGTGTACTGCTTTGGTATCTCTGGAAGGAAAGGAACGCTCATATGTTTAATGGAGCAAAACTACCCGAAGAGGAGATACCAGTGCGTACAAAGTATTTTCTGATGGATTACAAACAACATCAACACAGAGAGGAAGTGATTCCGACCCCTGTAGTGAGGAACGGCTGGCGAAAACCAACTATGGGTAGGTGGTCTGTGTGCACGGATGCAGGTGTTCTTCCCACGGGTGACACAGGTCTTGGAGTCGTGATTCGGGATGCTGACGCGAAGTTTAAGTATGCGGCTGCCAAAAATATAGCAGGGAAGTGGAGTAGTGAAGAAGTGGAAGCTCTTGCTATGGAAATGGGAGTGCAATTGGCATATCAATTTCAGGTGCAGGAAGTGATGTTGGAGTCAGATTGCCTTTCGGTGATCAAGTGATTGAATAACCCAAATCTAGCTCAAGATGAAACGGGTGTTGTGTGCCGAAATGTTGCCCGATTTCTGGCTTTGATGGGGAATAGCAGGCACCAACACATATGCAGAGAGGCAAATAATGCCGCCCATATTATGGCGCACGCCAAGACGAGGCAAGACGACAGAGTGGTTTGGGTTGATAGACCCCTTGTTTATCTGATTGATCAGTTTCAGCTGGATAATGTAACCGCCATGTCTGATAATAATAGCTTTACCGTAGGTTTCAGTAAAAAAAAAAATTTCAAACGACGAGCGACAAAAAAATAAAACTTTACGAGCCGCCAAATGGAGTGACCACCACCAACAAAGTTCAGGTTGCAACCTACTTAACAAAATGATTCTCTCTCGATTCTAGAGTAGTTGAATTGACGGAGTAATCTATCAATTGGTGGGCTATTAATATCGATTTCTTAGGGGCCGTTTGGATGCAGCATTTAAACTTGATCCCAAATGCATGTTTGGATAGTCAAAAGATTCCTGGAATTCATTGTTTCCAAATGGTCCACGTTTTCGTTTCAATTACTTTGCCCAATTCTGGCGGCAGGCCGCAAGTGAACATTATCATTAGGCCAAACTCTAAAGCCCAAACATTTTCAACTAACTAAGGAATTAAAACGAATTCGGAGTTCTATACTTCTATTGAGAAATAAAAAAAAACCGTGATCATTAACATCGGCAGGCTGGAACTTGGAAGGCAACATTACTCGGAGACGGAGTCGTTGAATTGAATACCTACCTATTATTTTTCCTGCACCACTTTTTCTGCGTCGAATCAGAATCTGATACTGTGCTAATGTCATGAATTGTAATAGTTCAGGCTGGAAGGCTGCCAAACGTCGAATCAGAATCTGATTCTGTACCATGCATTCAAATTGCAGCTTTATTTTGGTGTGGAGCCGTGGAGGTCTGGAGGACAAGAAAAACAGTTTTTTCTGCGTAAGCACCTCCTCAAGAGGTTTATGATTATATGCTTAAACTTCTATATTTTTTCAAGCCTACATACGATACTTTTAGGGAGTTGATAAAGGTCGTCCTAACAATTACTAATGATCGTCCTAAAAAACAAGTTACACTTTTAACCTTTTGACATCTTTACCTTTTCTTTAGCAAACAAACACCACATTCACTTAGAAAACAAAAAACACTCATTCTCCCACACTCTCGAATTCATCATCGACATTTGGAAGCCGAAATCGTCGAGCATACGTCCGAACAATGAGTAGCGACTCCGACGAGGTAAAAATCTCGTTTAAAAAAAAAAATCTCAACCGAATGTGATTTTCGGTTGGTCCATGGTCCAACCGAAATTCGGTTTCGGTTGAACCATGGACCAACCGAAAATCACATTCGGTTGACCCATGGATGAACCAAAAATTGGTTTCGGTTGGTCCACGGTGGCACCAAACCTGTCCTTCGGTTAGGCCATGGTGAAACCGAAAATTGGGTTAGGTTTAGCCATGGTTGAACCGAAAATTTGCTTCTGTTGGTGGCTTTTGGGTTTTTTAAAGTTTATATCAAATATTTCTATTTTATTGTTATGATTTATAGTTTGGTCTATAAGATTGTTTATTGAATTTTAGTTTATATTATTTTTAAAATTTATGAGCCTAATTATTTGTGAAATTGAATGTTTTTGTATACAAAATTAAGATTAGATGTATAATACGCAATAAAAAAATTATAGAATGTGATTAATATGATTATTACATTAGATGTATAGTATGTAAATAATATAGAATGCTAAATTTTGTCGTGTTAAATGTTGGATTTTGCTTAGGAGAATATAGAGAATGCTAAATTATTTGTGATAATTATTAAATTAAATGTAGTTGTTAGATTTTCTATTATTGTGGAGTCCTACTTATATCATGAGATCTAACATTGTAGGATATTGATGGTTACGGAGGGGATGGCAAAGATTACACCTCAGAATTCGTCAATGGAGTAAAATACGATACAGATTTGATTGCATATGCAGCAGCTACTGAGATTGCCAAGGGTTTTGGGTTTTATTTGGTGAAGGCATCAAATAAAAAAAATCCAAGTGAAGATAGTAGGCGACGATACTTGAAGTGCACTCATGGTAGGAAGAAAAATTCGAAGGCTCCTGATTCTGATCCGGCTAAGGAAAGGAGGCCTCTTACTTCTTCTGGAAAGTTGGGGTGTGAATTTCAGATCAAGATTGAGCGGTCACATGATGGATATTGGTTGATACTAGCAGTGGCTAATAGAAAGAATCCTGGTGCTAATTTGGGTTTTCACAATCATCCGCTGGAGCTATTTCCGAATGGATCAAGTAAGAGGAATGTTTTGACCGAAGATGATAAGCAATACATCAAACAACTGAGATTAGCCGGTGTCGCCCCAAGGAATATCCACAAGGCAGTGAACGAGAGAAAAGGGGAGCATGGAAAGGTGAACAAAAGACAGATTTCTAACGCATTGTATAAGATAAGAAAAGAAGAGTTTGGTCAGAGGACGGCCTTACAGTACACTTTTCAAGATGCTCGGGAGAAGGGTTACTATGTGCAGTATGTGGATGACCGTAACATGCTTACACACTTGTTCCTAGCTCACCCTGAGTCAATATTGATGTTGCGAGCTTGGCACCATGTCATTGTGATAGATGCAACATACAAGACCAACAAGTATGAGTTTCCATGGGTTGAGATTGTTGGCATGACACCGGTGGGATTGAACTTTGTCATTGCATCTGCGCTAGTGTATGACGAGACAAAAGAGTCGTACTAGTGGCTTCTCACGCATCTGCAACATTTGCTTGGCCCTATCACTCCAGATGTATTTGTTAGTGACAAAGCAGGAGGATTGGTTGAGACTGTGGGGGTAATGTTTCCATCATCGACTCATATACTATGCCTTTGGCATGTAGACAGAAATGTGAGAGCACGGTGTCTAACGGAGGTGAGGAGGACGTATTGTGGGATAGATGCAGCCCAACCGACAGTGGATCTGATCATGGCGTATTGGAAAAGGATTGTATATGCCGGCAGTGAGGAAGGCATGAATAGAGCTTTAGACAGTTTCAGGCGTAGTTGGGGAGTACAGTATCCACGTCTTTGGAGGTACTTGTCAGATGAGTGGTTACCAAACAAGCACATGTGGGCAACATGTTATACAAACCAAGTGCGACATTTGGGTAATACAAGCTCAAATCGGGTTGAATTTGCTCATTCATCCTTCAAGAAGTGGCTTCAATCAGCAACTGGTGCAATCGACACGGTTAGTCTCTTAATAAATTTTCATTTATGTCTTATTTAGAAGTTTTTACTTAATCTAGTATCCTAATTTTCTTTCTTTGTTTGTAGGTTTATAAGAAGAACCATGATCACATTGAGGCTCAACATCTTCAAATCCAAAAGCTTCTAGAGGATTCTAGATTAAAGAAGATGTTACTAGCTGACGGAAGACCATTTCGGGAGTTGCATACAAACGTCACTCTACAGGCTATGAGGTTGATGCTCATTGAGGTATCAGTGGAAGGAGCAAGTTGTACATGTACGTTTCATGCTACCTTTGGTCTCCCATGTAGATGTGCAATGCAGTTAGCACGTTCTGAAAAGAGGGACATTGCCCCATCTGAGGTGTTAGCTTTTTGGACCATTATGAACTATTGTGAACCTCCTACTCGGGCAGAGTGGGATGACGATAGTCTTTACCATCGTGATGTCTTCCAAGGTCTAGTACAGGAGGTTCTTGATAGGGGAGATGAGACCATTCGAGGGGCTATTGGCCTACTTCGGAGTCATCTTCATCCTGAAAATGATGGCATTGATGAGCCGCATGGGGGGCAACCCCGACCCGGTCGCCCGAGGACATCCACCACGCGAAACCTTTCTCACTTCGAGCATGTGGAGAGGAGACGGGGGAGGAGAAGTTCGATACCTTCGACCACAACACCGGACAATGACCAGAGGACAGGTAGGTTGTACTTTTTTGGGAAATTTATGTGCAATTGTGTAGAATATGATGTATAACTAACTTATTTTTGTAAATGATATTAGGTGGTATCCCTGATGCACACACCAACTTCGAGTCCACAAATACGAATGGGACGGAGCCGGATACTCATAATGATACAGGTTAGAAGTAGTGTCCCTATTTTAGATGATTAGATGTTGTATACCTCTTGTATTAATTCATTGTGTTGTGTATTTTGGGACAGATGGTGCCCCTTGGAGGGTTATCAGAACTCCCAATACTGGTTGGCGGAGTTACCCGTGGTTGTATTGTTTGGAAACATACGTGCAACCATACATTCGTGGTTGGTTCAACCCAGAACCGGATGGACATTGCGGATTTCGAGCAATATCACAAGCACTTACCGGGTCCCAAAACAATTGGTTGCAGATGAGACGCGAGGTTGTAGAAGAGCTTGAAGCTCGACCTGAGCTTTACAGACCATACTATGATGGAATTGCCGACGGAATAGATAATGGGCTTCGGCGTTGCAGGTGGACTCAAAATCGTGGTTGTGGCGTTACCCACTGGATGGATAATGTGGAGCTTTTCGTCTTTGCCACATTGCATTCATGGGTAATTGCTGTCTATAGTCAAGGCGGTCGTTATACCGTGCTACCTGTGATTGCCCCACCAGGAGTAACAAGACCACGTGGGATCGTATCACTACATTTTACGGGATGTCATTGGGTGCGTCTTGACTTTCGACCTGGTCAAGTGCCATTGCCTCCGATTAATGGGATTTGGCCTATTTATCATGATCCTAGTGTCCATGGTTGGGACCAATTCTTCTCACAAGAACGCCAATTTTATGATAGTTTAAACCCGGCCGGTTGATGGTTAGATGTAGTTGTAGTTATTGTATTTGATGCAACGACATGCCCCCCCTTACTCCCTTCTTCCTCTTCTTACCATCACCGTCTTCCTCACTACTACGTCTCGCAACGTAGCGTCCATCTAGCCCACGTTGTGGAAAGTGCGAAGAAGCTATAGAAGATGTCCCAACTCGTCTCTTCTTACCGATGCCTACATCAGATTCAGGTGGGGCATCCCCAACCTCATCAACAGCCACATCATCATCATCATCATCATCGTCGTCGTCCATAGAAACTGAATCACTCCAATTAGCCTCCCACGGCGTCGCATCCTCAGGAGTAGGGGTGGAGGTAGTACCTCGACTAAGAGATAACTGTCCCATAGTAGGGCGACCATCGGGACGCCCTATTTCCGCATTCTTCTTCTTCCCCTTAACCTTACGTGGATTTTTTTCTTCATTTTCTTTTCTACCGGTCCCTGTAAGTCTACAAGCACGACCTTCCATTCTTCCTTCCGTTTTTTCCTCCATTCTTTTCTTATTCATGTACGGTTTGCCTATTCCATGTCCAGACATCTTCAAAAAAAAAAACATTACAATTAATGATAATCAAATGCATTAACATTTTTTGATAATTTTCTCTAATTTTTTTGTAACTTTTTGATAATTTATTATTAACATTAATACAACTTTCTTAGTCTTTTTGTCTAATTTCAACTACTTTTTAATTTTCCCATTATTCTAATATTTTTTTAACATTAATTAAAAATTTATAGATTATATTTCTAAATTTTGGTACTTTTTAAAAATTTCAGATAATTTTTAATAATTTTTATTACAGTATTCACAATATTTTTTTCATAATTGAATTCATAAAAATATTCGAATTTAATTTTTGTAATAAATTATAAACCGTACAACTTATTTATAATTAACTACAATTATTTCTAATTATTACATAATTTACAATATTTAATAACAATTTTTATTAATTAATTGAATTAAAATTATTTAAAAATCAACCAAACCGAAAGTTGACTTCGGTTTGACCATGGTCAAACCGAAAGTTGACTTTGGTTTGACCATGGCTCAACCGAATGTTGACTTCGGTTTGACCATGGCTCAACCGAATGTGGACTTCGGTCGGTGAAGGGCGAGGCGGAACGGAACTTACCTTCTTCTCCTGCGAGCACGGACGGCAGGCGAGGACGAGGACTGACGGCGACGGCGGACAACGAGGACTGACGGCGATGGGGGAAGGGCGAGGTGGGCCGGCGGGTCGCCGGCGTGGGGCGTGGTCTCTCTGCTGCTGGGCGACGGGGGAAGGTCGGTGACGGGAGAAGGTGGACGGGGAGTGTCGGGTTGGCGGCGGCGGTCCGCTGCTGGGGACGGGAAGTAGAGGAAGGGGAAGTGATGCGATGGGGACGAAGGTAGAGGAAGGGGAGTGTTTGGCTAGGGTTTGTTTTTTAATTTTAAAAAGGGTAATTAAGTAATTTACGTATTAAGTTAGGACGACGATTAGTAATTTTTAGGACGACCTTTAACCCTTCAGTACTTTTACGGTTTACCTCTGTTCTGCCCTTTGACTTACTTAGTCTTATCATTGGTTCGTCTTTTTGCAGACACAAAAAAGAATCAGTCGAATCCTCCGCAAACAGACCACAGGGTCACTTTGTATGATCATAATCTTCAAGCTTAACTAGTTGAAGGGTAATGGATTTTTTAATATGGGTTTGGGTAGTACTTGGATAAGTGGAATTGTACTTGAATTTCGTTTCCAATGTGAAAATTGTAAAATTAGACGAGGATTAAAGAGAGACGGGTGTTTAACTTGGTTCTTCCTCGCGGTGTGTGAGGCTTACATCCACGGAGAATGATTGCACTTTATTATTTGATGTGGCGGATGGCCTTACAGCTTCTTATATACTCTATTCTACATGTATCACCTAGGGTACAGCTGCTTCTACGATTACAAGAAGAAAAAGGATTCAAACTCTTGCACGCCAAGGCTGATAGTGCATGGGCCACTGCATGGGCTTGAGGAACAACGCTGGAGACGGCCTTCTCTGTCTTCTCTAATGCGTCCTCTCGGCCCAATACTCCCCCGCAAGCTGAGGCGTGGAGATCTCGAACACTCAACTTGGATAGAAGGAAGTGAAAACACTCCGCGCCTAGTCCCTTGGTGAACAAATCGACAAGTTGAAGTTCAGTACGGACTTTGACGGGGAGAATGTCATGAGACTTGGACCCGCTCACGAACGAAATTACAATCTATCTCCACATGTTTAGTGCGCTCATGGAAGATCACATTATTCGCAATATGAATAGCTGCCTGACTATCATAGTGTAAAGGAGTAGGACGGGTTTGCGGAACACCGAGCTCAATGAGAAGCCACCGCAACCACAAGATTTCACTAATTGTGCTAGCCATGATACGATATTCAGCTTCAGCTGATGACTGAGCAACGACCTGTTGCTTCTTGGTGCGCCAAGAAATGGGAGCACCGCCAAGATTGATGAAATACCCTATAGTCGACTGACGAGTTTGCTCACAACCACCCCAATCGGAGTCGCAGTAAGCTGAAGTGGGTTAATTGCTGGGAAAAACAAGCCTTGTCCCGATGATGCTTTGAGGTAACGGAGAAAACGGTAGGTCGCATCCAGATGCTGCTGACAAGGAGAAGTGACGAAATGGCTCCGAATATTGACTGCATAGGTGATATCTGATCGTGTGATAGTTAAGTAGAGGAGGCGGCCAACCAGACGCCGGTAAAGGGAAGGATCGAGCAAAGGATCCCCTATAGGGCGAGCGAGATGATGATTCTGCTCTACTAGAAAGGTGTTAGGATGAGTCCCTTGAACACTCGCATCTTCCAGAATATCCAAAACGTATTTGCGCTGACTAAGAGAGACTCTTGATGCCGTATGAGCCAACTCAATACCCAGGAAGTAGCGCAAAATGCCGAGATCCTTGATGGTGAATCGCTAATTGAGGAATCGCTTGACTTGATTGATAAAAGGGAGATCATTGCCCGCCAGGATAACATCATTGACATAGATCAAAGTTGTGACGAAAGTGCTTCCTTTGTGATAGACAAAAAGAGAGGCATCCGCCGGGGAGGAACGGAAACCAAATTCACAGAGAGCAGCCGTGAATTTTTTATACCAATTACGAGATGCCTGACGAAGCCCATAAATGGATTTATGCAACCGACACACTCTTGTGTCTCCAGGCTGGCGAAAACCCTACAGAAGTTCCATATAGACCTCCTCATCAACATCACCGTGCAGGAAGGCATTGTTGATGTTCAGTTGATGAATATGCCACCCACGACTGATAGCGACCGCGATGAGGCAATGAACAGTGACCAAATTGGCAACGGGGGCGAAGGTATCCTGGAAATCAAGACCTTCGATTTGAGTATATCTCTTTGCCACAAGACGATCTTTGTAACGCTCTATCGTCCCATCGGGATAAAACTAGATCTTGAAGACCCACTTTGACGCAATGGCGCGTTTGCCCAATGGAAGATAAACCAAACTCCAAGTTCCATTTTTCTCCAAGGCTGCAATTTCGCGTGCCATGGCTTCACGCCAACAAGCTTCTCATATTGCTTGATAAAAGAACCGCAGCTCATCCAGACGTGTTTGAGCTGCAAGAAAGGCATTGTAAGTGGGTTTAAAATTATCATAATTGACATAAGCATCAATTGGGTATTGAACAAGGTGAGTATTACTTACATGAGACTTGTGGGAAGGAAGATTAGTGGCGTAAATGTCAAGGTGCTTTGGATGCCGTCGGTCTCTATCACTGCGGCGGAGAGCAGGTGACGCGGGTTGAGCCGGGAAAATGACAGGGTCGTGCACAGTTGACGGACCAGGGGATGATCTAGTGGGCGAGGATGGCCCGGACGAGTGCATGGGCCCGTGCAGGCTGGAAGGAGATGTGGGCCCGAGAGAAACTTCATATGGGTCGTCGGCCGTCGCCAGAGGAAGGCAAGATCGGTTTGATCTCTGATGCTGATTCTTCCTCCACTTCGGGACGAGAAGAGTTGGGCGAATCCAAGACATGAAGAGGTGTTGTTGTGGGAGTTTCATCAACAGGTGGGACTAGAAGACGTGGTACCCAATGAAGCAGGTTTGTGGTACCATCTTGAAAAGGAAAAGTATTCTCATGGAATTGAACTTCACGAGAAGTAATGAGTCATTGAGTGGACAAATCAAGAATGCGATACCCTTTCTGACTAGTGGCGTATCCCAAAAACAAACCAGCTTGACCGCGCTCGCCAAATTTATCAAGGCGTGCGTGTGTGTCTTTGTAATAAACCAAGCAACCAAAGACACGAAGGTGTTGATATTTGGCTGGCTTAGCGAACAATTGTTCATATGGAGTCTTCCCAGTTGCCTTAGTGGTGAGGCAATTAATGAGGTAGACCCCCCGTCAGAATGCATTCGCCCCAAAATTTCACCGGAAGACTAGCCTGAAATCGCAGTGCACGAGCAGTATCTAGGATATGCGGTGCTTCCCGTCAACTACGCCATTCTGCTGTAAAGTGTCGGTGCACGAAGTTTGTAGAAGAATTCCCATGTGAGCATAATAATCTTTGAGAATATCAGTAGCGAATTCATGACCATTATCCGCTTGTATCCTCTTGACTGAATACCCAAATTGTGTGTGAACCATGCTGCAAAACTGCATCAAATACTTTCCCACGTCTGATTTATAACACAACAAATAAATCCATACACCACGAATATAATCATCAACAACTGTCAGAAAATAATGAGCACCACTTAGGGACGCAACCTTGTAACCGCCCCAAATGTCTACATGAATAAGTTCAAAACAAGTCAATGTTTTAATCATACTATACCGAAAGGTTCATGTGTTTGCTTGGCGCGAGCACAAGGATGACACGTGCCTTTATTGAGAGTAAACTTCACTGATAATAAAGTACTAAGATAAGATGATTTGTCAAATGATGGATGCCCCAGACGAGCATGCCAAGTGGACTCTGAGATGAGACTCCGATGCTGCACTGCACAGGCTTGCGTTCGAACCGGACCAAACAAACGCAAGTAATATAGATCGTCACGCAGCTCACCCTTCCCGATCAATTTATTGGAGCGTAAGTCATGAATAACACAAAAATTGTCAAGAAAGATCAAAGCCACATGGTTATCTTAGGTCAGAAGGCTCACAGAGACTAGATTGCAACGGAACTCAGGGACGTGAAGAACTCTTCCTAGCGTGAAACCTGTCTGTAAATCCATTGACCCCACATGTTTGACTTGAATGCTATCCCCATTGGGGATGCGGACTGGTTGTTCATTAATAGGAACTTCCTTACGAGATAACATAGATTCATCCATGATAATATGCTCATTGCAACCTGAATCTATTAACCACTCAGAATTGTAGGAAACAATACCTGCCATGTGTGTCAAGGGGTCATCTGCCGGCTTGCCAGCATATCCAAAAAAACTGCTTGAGCTTATCAAACTGTGCTAGAGTGAATCCGGGTACTAGGCTTGCTTCACCCTACACCTGTGAGGCCTTGGGATCTCGGCCAGAACCCTCGTTAGCGCCTCGACTCCTGCGACGTGTGGGCCTATCACCATTCTTTTCACCATTCTTGTCTAGGGGAGGATACCCTATTAATTCATAGCAAGCTTTGCGGAGATGACCAAGGCGTTGACAGTGTGTACAACGAGGTATCTCGCGCTGCTCCCCTATACCTTGAGGCTACTCGATGCTGCTTGACCTCTCTTAGCCTCTCCTTTGTTCACAAACACTGCTGCTTCATGCTGGACCTTGCGGTTTTGCGTGATGGCCTTTTGTTGTTCTTCATTCATCACAATATTGAAGGCTTCAGCAAGATTGGGAGAATACTTCATCGCGAGAATTTGAGTGTGACCTGGTCCGAAGGCATCATCAAACCCCATGAGAAAATCAAACAGACGAACATTCTCATGTTGTTCTCGGGCTCGGCGTGCCACTCCACAAGTGCATAAACCACATGTGCAGAGACCGGGAAGGTGCTTTAGCTGCTGCCTCTTCCCATAGAGACCGGAGTCGAGTATAGAAGGCCGACAACTTTTTTTTTTTTTTTTGCTGGAGTAAAACAATAAGTCGCCGCAGCTGGTAGGCTTGAGAAGAGCTCCATTGACCAAACCACGCACGCAGATCAGCCCATATCTCAGCGGTGATTTCAGCGAACCTAAGATTGCTGTGGATTTCTTTGTCCATTGAAGTTTTGAGCCACCCTTTCACCATGGCGTCACAGCGTAGCCACGCGGATCATTCAACAGGACTGGTCGGTTTGACGATGCTACCATCTACCAAGGCGTATTTATTTTTGGCTATTAGGGCATCTTTCATGTCAATTGCCCATTCGTCGTAATTTGATGTAGACAGGATTTCGCCAAGAAGCATATTTCCGGGACTGTCAGAGTTGTGAAGTAGGAGGGCAGACGGGAGATCTTCGTCCGACTTGACCGTCGAGCTGTGGGACACTTCCTTGGATCCATCATCATCGCTCTTGACACTCATGTCGACCACTACACTGGAGCTTAGTGCTCTGATACCATGTAAAATTAGACGAGGATTAAAGAGAGACGCGTGTTTAACGTAGTTCTTCCTCACGGTGTGTGAGGCTTACATCCAAGGAGAATGATTGCACTTTATTACTTGATGTGGTCGATGGCCTTACAACTGCTTATATACCCTATTCTACAAGTATCACCTAGGGTACAACTGCTTCTACGATTACAAGAAGAAAAAGGATTCCAACTCCTGCACGTCAAGGTCGATAGTGCATGGGCCACTGCATGGGCTTGAGGAACAACGCTGGAGAAGGCCTTCTCTGACTTCTATGATGCGGCCTCTCGGCCCAATAAAAATTTATATGAGTTGAATATGTTGTAAATGTTTATTTTTAAAAAGGGTTATAGCCTTATAGGTATAATATGCCCCTCTACTATGCGTTTTTATCAAACATGCCCCTCTATTATATTTCACGTAAAAACTACCCTTTATTTTAAAATCGTTATCAAACTTACCCCTCTGTAAAAAAAATCAGTCGAAAAAGGGTCAACCAAGGTTGAACCGCGATTTGGGTGACCTGAAACCAACCAATGAATAGTGAAATGTCATTTCTGCCCTACCGTTAAACCTAACAGGCTCTTTCATCTCCCTGTTCAGCCCATCCGACGTGTTCTCAACCCTCCGTCCCGTTTTTGTTCGACTTCCACCTCCCCACCTGCACCCTATTCTGTTCGCTTCTAGCCCCCGCGCCGACGCGCCGTCGTCGACTCGACAACAGCAAATCCTTCATCTTGCCCTATTTAATTTCCCTTGCCTCTACCACCATTCCTCTTAGATGGTGAGAAAGCAAAACATACCTGAAATCCTATTCTTTATTGATTTCGCTTTCGAAGAGCAGTACACATCAAATAGTTGCTCGCCTGTGGTGCCCCGGCGGTCCTAGCATTGCCCCAACGAAAAGTGGCTTCCAGAAGTGATTGTTTGCGATATATTCTATGTACTGTAATAATGATTATATCCCAATTCTTAAGTAAGCTCAATAGATTTTTAGGGTGGGAGAGTGTAGGTGCGTGTGTGTAAAGGGAACATGATTAGGGTAGGGTTCCATGATGGAAAATTAATTAGGGGTATTTTAGTCATTATATGTCACTCAAATTAGTTCAACCGAGTTGATCCTTTTTCGATTGATTTTTTTAAAGAGGGGCATGTTTGATTATGATTTTAAAATAAAATGGTATTTTTTATGTAAAACATAGTAGAGGGGTATGTTTGATAAAAACGCATAATAAGAGAGCATATTATACCTATAACCCTTTTAAAAAATACATTTTATAATGCAAACCAAATCTGTACCTTTAGCATTATGGTACAAATTCAGTTTCTACCTCGTACATTTTCATACAAATTTTTACTAAAAAAAATGAACTTTAATCTTCAACGTTATGATACAAATTTAATTTGTACCGAAAAGCATCTGCATGCATTCTAAAATTCCTCTAATCTATGATATTACTGGTTTCCATTGTTGAGGATATTAATTATTTAGTCAAAAATAATTAAATCCTTGTCCTCCAAGTCCCTAGTTTCCTTGTCTTTGTCAAAGAAGGAAACTTGGTTGTCATTAGGGTTTTAACCCTAGTCTATCTCTATATAAGACTTAGCTACGAACCTATCGTAAACAAGCTGTCACAATGTAGTCCTCAAATAATAAAACGTCAGTCGTGAGGTCTTCCGAGCTCACCGTGGATTAGTCTCGATCAATCAATCGATCGAGGATACCACGTAAAATTCGTTGTTTTGTGTTCTATTTCAATTACGCGTTATCAATATCTTCATGGTATCAAAGCTGGTTTGTTCTAGAGGTCACGTGTTCAAGTCCTCACGACCCCCAATATTAACCGTTGTCTTCCAAGCACATGGTAGGGTTGGGCATGTGCAAACTTCAAGCCCATGAGTCGGCTTTCGTTTGAGAGGGCGTGTAAGGAAGTGGTTAAGCATCATACACGGGCCTGTATAAGATCCAACATAACCTTCTCACAATAACTCGAGTTATTGGGATCAACTGGTTCTTGACATGGTATCAGAGTTGGTTTGTTCGTGAGGTCACGTGTTCAAGTCCTCACGACCCCTAATATTAACCGTTGTCTTTCAAACATGGTATGGCGGGCCTGTGCAAACTTCAATCCCATAAGTTGACTTTCGTTTGAGGGGGCGTGTAAGGAAGTGGTTAAGTACCATACATGGGCCTGTATAAGATCCAGCATAACCTTCTCCCAACAACTGGAGTTATTGGGACTAATTGGTTTATAACAGTCTGGTTGCAGAAGTAGGGCGACAGGCCCTTGCACTCCCACCCTTTGTCGCACACCTTCTTCCCCTTCACCACCTTCACCGCCAGCGGCCGCTTCGACGACGACGTTTTGTCCGCACTTGCCGCGACGACCGAAAACAGGATCAAAGCCAGTGCTGCGATGTGTTAGAAACACATTAATTGCAGTTTTTGGTTATTTCATATTATTGTCGGTTTTTTATAATTGGGGGATTATTTGGGGAATTAGGGAAATAAACAGGGAGTCGATTGTTATGTTTATTTAGCTGGATAGGAGATAGAAATTATGCGAACTATATAATCTATAATTAGTGGGATTATTCCCATTAGGCAATTAGAGAACAATTTATTCAACCCTAATCTCCTCTCTCTCTCTCTTCCCTCTCCCACGTCTTCTTCTTCTCCTCTCCCTGCCGAGGCTGCCGTAGCAGCCACCCTCCCCAAACCTTCCTTGATTCTTCAACTATTCTCACCCCTAATCCATAGCTAGGTCATTTTCTCAGTGACCTAGCCAATTTCCCCAATTCTGTTAATCGTTAGAAACCTAGTTTCTAACATCTGGTATCAGAGCACGGTTCGAGAGCGAGTTTCACATAACTCTTGAACCAGGGCAGACGTAAGAAGACAATGGTGCTGACTAAGTCTCAATCCGCAGCAGAGAAGGCGACTTAGGCGGCCGAGAAAACCACCAAGGCTCGCGACAAGGTACTCAACGGCGTGGTGGAGGACGAGACGGAGCTCGAGGCGGTGAAGGTGGTGGTGCACGAGCACTCAGGAGCGCTGGCTCGGCTCGAGGAAATCCTGGAGAGGGTGCAGGCTGAAGCGAAGGCAGATGCTGAGGATCTTCGCCAGAGGCTGGAGGACCTGATGCGGGCGGTTGCGTCGCTGCAGGCAAAAGGGGCAGGAGCAGAAATCGCGCCGAGCCCGGCCGTGTTGGCGGCCAACAGTGGCGGCGCGTCTGGCGGGGGATCGACCGCCGCGAGACCATCTCTGATCCCGTCCGAGTCGGCGATCATGGTCGGCGGGGCTTTAGGCGACGGTTCCTCCTCGACAAAAACGGCGACGGAATTGGAAGGCGAGGCTGCAGCAGAGAGCAAAGGAGGAAATGCGGCGAACGTGGAGCCTCCCTACGTGGATCGCATGGTCTTCGGAGCGCGTGGGCGCGGTCGGGGGTCGGGCCTGCTACCGACACCGTCAGCCCAAGAGATCGCGGGAATGAGGGGAAAGGCGAAGATGCCAGGGTATGACGATGTTGGGCCTTAGTTGAGCTTCGGGCCGCATGAGCAGATGGGCACTGATGAGGATGTCGAGCTGAGCTTAACCGGGTAGGCAGGGAGCTGGGCCGAGCCCGGGAGGAGTGCGATCGAGCGGAACGCGTCGAGGGAGTAGGGTTAAACCCCAAGGTCGGGCCCAAACCGAGGCGGGTGGACCGGAGCGGGCCGAAACGATTTGGGTAGGTCAGGATGGTCCGGTTCGAGTGGGATCAAACCAACAGGGTGAACCGGTCTGACCAGGTCCCGAGCGGACCAGGTGGCAGGGAAGCTGGAGCCAGAAGAGAGATTGGCCGGGATTCGGGACCCTTTTACCCGCCGTTTCATGGCCCCCTCTCGCCGGTGGAACAGTGGGATGCAAGTCAGGCACGGAAGGTTGAGCCGGACGAGTATGCGGAGTACCCGTTCGAGGAAGAAGAGGAGTGGGGCCGAGGCAGAGGGCCCCCGTTTTCGCGAGGCTATCGCAACCGAGTTTCGGGTTACGACAGGTATGGCAGCTACCCTCATGGCTTTGATGGTGACCTGGTGTTTAGGGCTAAGACTCCTACCATTGACTTTCCGAAATTCAATGAACAAGAGGATGGAGGCCTTTGGTTGTATGCAGTTGACAGATGGTTCAAGAACCATCCCACCAAGGAAGAGAGAAAGGCGCGTGTCTTTTTACTTAGAAGGCGACGCACTGCAGTGGTGGGAGTGGCTGGAGCGATCATGTCCAGCGGCCCAGACCTTGATCACTTGGCCTTTGTTCAAGGAGGAGTTGCGATACCAGTTCGGTAAGTCGGAAGGGTGGGCGCCGGAGCAACTTGCTAAGCTGCGTCAGACGGGAGCTGTGAAGGAGTACAAGGTAGAAATTTTCAAGTTGGGCAATCAATGCAAGGGAGTACCGGAGGAGACCCTGGTTGGGTTGTGTATGGCTGACCTAAAGCCAGAGATCGCTGTGGCGGTCAAGGTTTTCGAACCCGACTCGCTGCGGTCTGCTTTTCGTCTTGTAGGTTATAAAGAGAAGGAGCTGGCCAGCTGGAGGAGTACGATCGGGCGCTTCCCGAGATCAGGCGGTAGTAGAGGAGGTGGCATCGGGTCTGGCGGCGGAGGAGCGAATGCGCCCATTGGCACAGGGTCGTCGACAGCTGGCGCCGTCACCTCAACTCGACAAGTTCCTAGGCCCAGAAAGGATTCGTGCGACTATCACCACAGGAGATCAAGCTGAAGAGAAGAGAAGGAAAGTATTCCAATTATGACGAGAGGTTCACCGTGGGACACAAGTGCGCCAAGCCCGATTTGATGATGCTGGTGGGTCGCTGGGAAGATGAGGCATAGGAGGAAGCAGCTGAAGAAGGGCCGCCGGAATTGGAGTAGGAACCACAACCTTGAGGGCAAGGTTGTTTTTCAAGAAGGCGGGGATGTTAGAAACACATTAATTGCAGTTTTTGGTTATTTCGTATTATTCATCGATTTTTTATAATTGGGGGATTATTTGGGGAATTCGGGAAATAAACAGGGAGTCGATTGTTATGTTTATTTAGTTGTGTATGAGATAGAAATTATGCGGATTATATAATCTGTAATTAGTGGGATTATTCCCATTAGGCAATTACAAAACAAATTACTCAACCCTACTCTCCTCTCTCTCTCTCTTCCCTCTCCTACGTCTTTTTCTTCTCCTCTCCCTGCCAAGGCTGCCGCAGCAGCCACCCTCCCCAAACCTCCATTCATTCTTCAACTCTTCTCACCCCTAATCCCTAGTTAGGTCATTTTCTCAGTGACCTAGCCAATTTCCCCAATTCTGTTAATCGTTAGAAACCTAGTTTCTAACACGATGAGTAGCCAGTTGGTTGCGTCGTCCATTGTTGTTGGTGATTGAATTGAATTGAATTTGCACTAAAAAAATTATAAAATACATAAAGTTGCTCGCATCTCGCTGCTATGTCCAGTGACTTAGGTGTTGGTTCGTTGGAGACCAGAGGGAACCACCCTAGATGTCGGCCGATCGAAGCAAACCGCTATTGAACTAGTCTGGATCGAGAGAGACAGGAGCTATCAATCCAGATCGCTGATGACACCTATTGATATGACTTGAATCAAACTATTTAGCGACGAAAGGATGTCACGAAGGTCCATGGTGTATAGGTTTATATTTAGTATCTCCTCAAAATATAGCGAACTGGCTCTCTCTTGCCCGTGACTAGATAACGTACATCGTATTAGCGAACCACGTAAATCCAAGTGCCTTGTTTCATTTTCTAGTTCTGTCGAGTGGCGAAACCACAAATCCGAACGAGGTGGGGGCTGACTTGAATTATCATAATTGGGGAGGGGGGAATTGGAGGGGGGAGGTTTACAACCTCTCCTACCTTCAACCTAGCTTCATTACTGGCTCTGTCAATCCTTCGATTGTCCAATCCGTAGAAACAATACCGATAAAACTAATGATTTTGCCCCAAAACCCGTTTGTCTCCAACGAACTACACCTAACACACGTCGAAACTTCATGCGATCATATCTTTGTGTTCGTTATCATTTTTCATATATTTTATTACATTTTTGCTATATACCTCAATATATTTTATTTTAGAAACCGAGCTTCAATTTTATTTTATTGTTCTGGTGAAAGAGCATCATATTTTCCAAATAAAAAAGAACAGATCGTAAATAGCTGGGCCGAAAGGCTTTCACGGGCTGAAAGGTTTGGTGGGTCATCAATCTTTGACTATCCAGGCCATGAACAATCACTTCCCCTGGATCATAGACGCCCTCCGTGGCCTGTACAGCTGTACTTGAGTATTATTTCTGATTTTTCTTCTTCATAAATTTGATAAGTAATATTTTTGCTAAAAGAAGAAGAAAAAAACAATATTTTCGATCTCGAACCCAATATAATAGGCTGATCATGATGGGCTTAATGTGTGGTTTGTAAAACGGATTAGTAATAGGGTAACCCACTAGTAATATGTCGCTTGACCGCTTCTTTGATTTTTTAGTCTGGTTAAATTCCACGATGTAATGATCTTGTTCTCTAATCAATATAATTATTATTTTTTCTAAATAAAATAATATAAAAAATTTAGAATCAACAATTAATAATTTTGACAACCAAAAATATTTCGCTAGTGAGTAGTGACCATTGACTAATTGGACTGTATGCCTTGAATTATCATTGTTTATTAGTTACCGACTAGCATAGATTTATCTTAGAAGAACGCTTTTGTATGTAACAATACACATTATAATAGTTTAGATTCACAAAATTGCTACCAAATAAATGGTAAGACTAACCGTCTTTTTAGTAAAACTGTGTATATCGTACTTGGAGTATAAAACAAGATTGTACTTCGAAAATCAATCAACCACTGCATTTACTTTGCCTTGTGGATGAGCAATTTTTTTTTTTTTTACAATTGTGAATTTTGATAACCTAGGAACATAGCAACCCACATGCCACATGAGTGACAGCAGAGCCTACTAAATCTGGGGGTACCTGCAGAATAACCATCTTCTACCACCTCTCGCACTTTGTCGGCCACCACTCCCTCTTCAATTGCTCCCACTCCCACTTGTCTGGCCACCACATGTTGATGCATTATGTCCCTCTTGGTTACAGTTGCCACACACTTGGTGTGATGCACCCTCCCTTGGCCAATCCATTTCGTTGTGAATTCTTGTTGATCTTGGCCTCCCCGACTTCCTAACCATGTGCAAATTAGGATGGAGAGTAGGGTCATTATACTTCTTCCAACCCTTAGGTTCACCAAGAGGTGTGAAACTTGTCCCATAACAAGCCAACACTGTTGAAAGCTTGTAAACGTTGTTTACAAACCTATACGGATCAGCCCCCATTCGGTTGCAAGCTGCAATGGCATGAGAGCAAGGAATTTTATTTCCTTGAAATTTCCCACAAGTGCAAAATCCCGTCCGGTTGCTGTCGTCGAAGTGCACTGTGAGTGTGTTTGAACCCGTCATGTTGAAATTGTTGGGACTTGGGAGGAGTCTGAACTACATAGATGCCTTGACGTTGATCAACCGCTGTCACGGAATGTCCAACTACCTTTTGTGACCACGGCTTCATCAGCTCTTCGCACTTGATGGAGTACTATGAACACTTCTAATTTGTGCTTCTGTCTCCAACCTCATCTTATCGAATTTCTCCAACAATCTCCAATAGGTATGTTGCACAAGAGAAGCTATAGGAAGTGAATGAATACCTTTGAAAACACCATTGATGCTCTCTGCCATGTTGGATGTCATGATAGACCAACGACGCCCACCATTGTAGTTATCATGTGCTAAGATCCAATGAATCTGATGTTGGTCCACCCGGTTATCACAAGAAATATTTTTATCAACGACCACCTTCTTAAATTGTTCAACTTGACGATCGAACTTCTCCAATCATTTTTCTCCGGCTAACAAAATAAACAACCACACGAGTTAGATAGATTCATGAAAAAATTACATTAAAATAAATAATACATTAAAATAAATAACAAAAATAAATGAAAAAGGCTTAACGACTCGAAATAGTTGCTTATACATAATCCTGCTTTTAGTCTTCCTTTGCAAATTGCTTGCATAGTATCGCATGCACCACCTCCACTCCCAGCCTCTTCCGATGTTATTCATGGCTTCATAGAGTCCCGCATGTCTATCTAAAATGATGCATACATCATTTCGATCGGTCAAACCTTGAAAGTGACTAATGAACCATGGCCAACTATCAGTATTCTCGTTCTCCACTATGGCAAATGCAATTGGAAAAATCTTCTTCCGGCCATCAAATGAGCTCGCCATGAGTAGCACGCCTTTATACTTTCCAGTAAGAAATGTTCCATCAACAACCATGACTCCTGGACAATTATTGAATCCATCTATACAAGGTCCATAAGCCCAGAATACTCGCTGAAATATCGAATATCCTGGTTGAGCTGAAGGAATTCTTACCCAATCAATCACCGATGTTGGCATCTTTCTCTTTACCACCCGCAAGAATGTTTACAAATAGTCGTAGGATTCTTCCCAATTCCCATGCAACTTCTCCGATGCTCTTTGTTTCCCATACCAAGCATTTTTCTAAGTAACTTGCATATTAAACTTATCTTTCATCTCGGCCTGCACAGTTAGAACACTCAGATTTGGTTGGGCACGTACCAAGTGTTTCACGAACCCAGATATAACGTCGACATCAAGATGGCGATGATCAGTCGGTTGAGTCGTACTGCTACAATAATGCACCAACTCGGCCTTTCTCACAGTCCATTCGCCTCCCACATCTCGACATCCAAACCACACCATCTAAGAAAAATTGTCATCCTTGTGCTTCAAACATTTGATCTTCCAGATCGAAGGTGACGACTCCACCACGTTATACTGAAAGTTGCGTTGTAGTGCATAGTGTTTAATCGCCACCTGAGCAGCTTGTTTGGAGTAAAATATATGCCCCTTGTAGAATTCTCCATCAAAACTAGCAACAATAGGCATTGGAATTACGCCATATGAATCAGCAACACATAATTCATCGCCCTCTTCATTACCCTGCAAGTAAAAATACGGAGGATAATTAGGCTGCTCTCCTTCCTCCTCCTCCTCCTCCTCATCATCATCTTCCTCCTCTCCGTCATCACCGTCATCATAGTCATGATCGGATGGCATGCTCCATGTGTCATCTTCTTCCTCTCCACCCCGATCCTCACTAAACTCAGCATGTATCTCAGCACCCAAACAATAAGGGTTTTGTGCCATAAAATTTCAAAGTACATTCAAGCTATCACCATCCACAATAGGCATCGCATATAATAGAATAAAACCCCCACTCTGCCATTTTGGAAGACAATAAGTGCAACCTGTATTCACAACACTATCTTGTACTGCTTCGTCTTTACGCCGTATTCTCCGAATTAGATTATCACAAAGTTTATGATAGTTCACTCTGGATGGAACCGTCAACTGAAAACTTCTACCACCAACGAAATGGGCGCCCAAATTGTCCTCTACCTTCTCTGATTTCCACCGAACAGCTAGTTCAAATCTTCTAAAACCACTACATAAAAAACAAACTCGCTAATTACTAACTGAACAAAATCATCATAGCATTTGAAGAACACATTAAAAAATAAATACGTCTCTTACCTATTATTAGCCATCTTTCCAGCAATCAGACAGCAACACCAGAGTTTCTCTCGTAACTTCGTTGATTTTTTTGGTGGTGAAGAACCGAAGGAAAGGTGGAGTAGTATATATGGTGCTGGAGTGGAAGAGGGAGACAGCGACCACGCCTCAGTTTCGGGCGTCGGCGCTGAGGCCATATAAACAGCGACAACGCCCCAATCTCGGGCGCCGTCGCTGGCTTTTATTGAAAAATTAATAAGAAGCGGTCGCGCCTGAGTCTCGGACTTTATCACTGTTAACCTTAAAAATACACTGTATATATGTCAATTGTTTTTAAACCACCATATTTGTGTTAATTGTTTTTAATCCAAGTTTACATCCGCCGTACGTTTCCCCTCCTGTCAATTTATGTCTTTGTTTGTCATTTGGTGTCTACTTTTTCCTGTAAATTGACTGGTTGATTTCCCCCTTATTTTGGTCTTGTTAAGTTCAGTTCATCGCACTTCAGCTGAGCTCGCACGCAGGTAGCTGGCGATGGCGACCTGCGTTACTGGACGGCTCGTCGGCTCGGAGATTCATGGATTCCACACTCTCCAAGGTACTGTACGGTCAATGAAATTCCTGTAAAAATTGTATCGGTGAAGTTAACAGGAATCAAATCCCTAAAGTTCGATTGCAACGGTCAACACATTTCAAAGCTTGAAGAAGGACATCGATCCGACAGCGTTTTAGGTGGCTGACATTTTAAGCCAAACCGACGACGTTTACATCTTCTTCTTTGCCTCTTTTTCTTTTCGTCCAAGCTTTCCTTTTGTTTCCTGTCCAAGCTTGAGGACAAACTGTACTTGAGATTGTCATCTTCTGTAAGCTCTTTGCCTATAAAAGGCAGATCAAGTGAATGAGAACAACAAGTTTTTAGGGTTTCAACCCACATTTCAGATCTGTTTTCATGGTATCAGAGCCTTAGGGCGCCGCCATGGCTACATCCGATCCAACAAACGATGCTGCACCATTAGGTGATCTCTCTTCTACTCCCTATCCTATGGAAGACCCATACTTCCTTCACAGCTCCGAGCAGCCCGGTTCCCTTCTTGTCAGCGAGAAACTCACAGCAACCAACTACAACGACTGGAGCCGCGCGATGTTCAACACTCTTGCTGCCAAAAACAAGCTCGGATTCCTCAATGGTGTTATTCCTGAACCTGCAGAAACAGATCCAAAGAGAAATGCTTGGGTCAGAAACAACATTATGATCCTGAGTTGGATTCAACAGGCCGTGGAATCTGAAATCAGGAAGACCATCCTCTCAAGCAAATCTGCAGCAGAGGCATGGAAAAGTTTGCAAACAAGGTATGGCTCTGGTGACATAGTTCGAGTTGCTGAGATAGAAGAAGAGCTCTGTAACTTAAAACAAGGTACACAGACCATCACTGAATATTACAGCAAGGTTATCACTCTTCGTGACGAACTTGACAACTACCAACCCTTGATTCCTTGTGCTTGTTCACCCACAAGTCACAACACTTGTCCTGCTATGAAATTAGTCCATGAATATCACGAGACTAGCTATGTCATTAAATTCTTGCGTGGTTTAAACGAGAATTTCTCTGCTGTTAGATCCCAATTTCTATTTGGGGATGCTTTACCAGACATCAACAGGGTCTTCCAACGAATGTTACAACATGAGCGGCAGTTATATGGCACACAACGTGCTAAACTCATTGCCTCAGTCACTACTGATGGTTCTGCTCTGGCTATTCAAGGGGTTAACAGACGCCCTAACTCAACTCAGAAAAGGCCCTATTGTGTTTTTTGCAAAAGAGATGGCCATACTGAGGATGTTTGCTTTGTCAAACATGGCTATCCACCAGGCATGTCTGCCAGACCACCTCTCTCGAATCAACAGGCCACCATCATTGAATGCACTTTCTGTGGCAAGCATGGCCATTCTGAAGACAAATGCTTTAAGAAACATGGTTTTCCAGCCAACTATGTTCCCAGAACCACCACTACATCTTATGGAAGAGGAAGGGGGTATGCTAATTCTGCTATGACTACTCATGATGATTCTGTCAAGCTTACAAAAGCTGATTATGATAAGCTTATGGCCCTGGTTGGCAACTCTAAACTGCATCCCCCTCACACAGCTGCTGCTTTCACTACCAATTCAGTCTCTTCAGGTACATGTTTTTTATCTGCTCCATCCAACCAAATTAATCCCAACCACAGTTTCACCTGGATACTTGACACAGGTGCTTCTGATCATATAGTATCATGCCTTGACTACTTAGTTAATCCTATTTCTGTTTCTGGGATCTTTATTACCCTTCCTACTGGCCAACAAATCCCAGCCACTTACAAAGGCACAGTTCCTTGCACTACTGAGCTAATTCTACAGGATGCACTCTTTGTACCTGGTTTCAGTTTTAATTTAGTCTCAGTAAGCAAGCTCACTGCTCACAACTCTTTAAGCTTAACATTTCACTCCAACCTTTGTGTCATACAGGATCTGGAGCAGAAGAGAGTGACTGGTTCTGCTAGATTGACAAATGGACTTTACTACCTAGAGGACACTAGTAACCCTAAGACCTTCACAGTTGCCAGCTCCAACACTTTTGATTTATGGCATTTTAGATTAGGACATCTGTCCCATTCCAAAATCCCTTATCTTCATCAATTTTGTACCTCCATTGAGACTCAAAGGGGTTTGCCCTGTGATGTTTGTCACTTTGCTAAGCAAAGGAGACTTCCTTTTCCATTAAGTCAGTCTGTAACCACACATGCTTTTGAACTACTTCATGTTGATATATGGGGTCCCAACCCTCTCCCTTCCTATGATTCATTCAAATACTTCCTAACCATTGTTGATGATTTTTCAAGAATGACTTGGGTCATTCTTCTCCAACTCAAATCTGAAGCTAGACCTAAGTTAATAGCCTTTTGCAATCAAATGCAACGGCAGTTTCAAACTCAAATTAAAAGAATCCGCAGTGATCAAGGAAAAGAATTTGAAATGAATGATTACTATGATTCTCAGGGCATCATTCATGAAATGTCCTGTGTTGAGACCCCTCAACAGAACAGCAAGGTGGAACGCAAACACCAGCATATCCTTGCTGTTGCTCGTGCCCTCAAATTCCAGGCTGACCTGCCACCTGGTTTCTGGAGTGACTGCATCAAACATGCAGTTTACCTTATCAATCGTGTACCCTCTTCTGTCCTCAACAACCAAACACCTCATGAAAAGCTTCATAACTCTCCTCCTGACCTCACTGACTTAAGAGTCTTTGGTTGCTTATGCTATGCCTCCTCCCTAGCTAATCACAGAACTAAATTCCAGCCTAGAGCTAGAAAAGGAGTCTTCTTGGGTTACAAAGCTGGTATTAAAGGTTATAAAATCTATGATCTGGACTCCCATGATGTTTTTGTATCAAGGGATGTAATTTTTTATGAATCCCATTTCCCATTCAAATCCACTACCTCTCAATCACACTCACCTTCTGATTCTGATATCCTTTTTCCCTTACCTGATCCTGTTCTTTCCATCATTGATGAACCTCCTATCACTCACCAAACCATTCCATCACCCGTTTCATCCCCATCTACCAACTCTACTACTCCTGTATCCCCTTCCACCTCTCACAGTCCCACACCTACCTCCACTTCTTCTTCTTCCTCTAGTCCTCCATCCTCCCCAGATTCCTCACCTTCTCCTATACCTATTCCCAACCCTGATCCTCCACTTCCCAGACGTTCAGATAGATCCTCAAAACCACCAGCCCACTTAACCAGAGATTACCACTGCTATCTAGCTTGTCAATCCACTGATCCAGGTCACTCTCTTCAGCAAAAGATCCCTGATTCAAGGTATGGCCTTTCCTCTATGATTTCCTATGATTCTCTCACCCCATTCTACAAAAATTTTGTCCTCAACATCTCTTCCTTTGTTGAGCCTACCACATACACAGAAGCATCAAAGTCTGCCGAATGGAATGCATCAATGCAGCATGAAATAAAAGCCCTACTCCAAAATCAAACATGGGATGTGGTGGAATTGCCACCAGGCAAGAAACCCATAGGAAACAAATGGGTTTACAGAATCAAGGTACACCAAGATGGTACTATTGAAAGATTCAAATCTAGGGTTGTGGCAAAGGGTTACACACAGCAAGAGGGAGTTGATTATCAGGACACTTTTGCTCCTGTGGTTAAAATGACCACCATCGGGACTTTTCTTGCTATAGCAGCTTTAAGGAATTGGCATATTCACCAATTGGATGTGAATAATGCCTTCCTTCATGGAGACTTACAAGAGGAAGTGTATATGACCTTACCTAAGGGCTACAAACCACCTCCTGGTTTTACAAACCCAGTTTGTCGTCTCAAGAAATCCCTATATGGTCTTAAACAAGCTTCAAGGCAATGGTTTTCTAAGCTTACTGATAAGCTTCAACAGGTTGGTTATTCCCAGAGCAGAGCTGATCACTCCTTATTCTACAAAGTAACTGATTCCAGCTACACTTGCATTTTAATCTATGTTGATGACCTACTAGTGGGTGGCAATGATCTTGCTGCCATTCAAGAACTCAAGGGCTTCCTCCACTCTGAATTCAGCATAAAGGACTTGGGCGTACTAAGGTTTTTCCTTGGTATGGAGGTGGCTAGAAACAACAATGGAATTCATCTATCACAACGCAAATATGCTCTTGAAATCATTGAGGAAGCTAATCTGCTTGACTCCAGACCAGTTACAACCCCTATGGACTACAAGACTCATCTCACCAGCATATGTGAGGTTCCATTTGATGACCCTGAGCTATATCGCACCTTAGTGGGCAAACTGATTTATCTAACGACCACTCGCCCAGATATCAGTTTTGCAACTCAACAAGTGAGTCAATTTATGGGCAGCCCTAGTGTTCAGCATTTTAAGGCAGTACAAAGAATTCTACGCTACTTGAAATGTGCCCCAGCCTCTGGTCTTTTCTTCCCTTCTAAGGGCCAATTTCAACTCAAAGCCTTTTCAGACTCTGACTGGGCTGCTTGCATCGATACAAGAAGATCAATTACAGGGTATTGTGTTTACCTGGGTGATTCGCTAATCTCATGGAAAAGCAAAAAGCAGCAGACTGTTTCCCGATCTTCTTGCGAGGCTGAATACAGAGCTCTTGCCTTCTCTGCCTGTGAACTTCAATGGATCCTCTATCTTCTTCACGATTTCCAAGTTATGCATCCTCAGCCAGCTCATCTTTACTGTGACAACCAAAGCGCGATTTATATCGCCGACAACCCCACCTTCCACGAGCGCACCAAGCACATCGAACTTGATTGTCACTTGGTGCGCGATAAGCTACAAGCCAAAATCCTCAAGCTCTTCCATGTCTCATCCAATCACCAACTTGCAGACCTCTTCACCAAACCCTTGTCTCCTGCTCCCTTCCTTCAATTGCTTTCCAAGCTCGGTGTGCTCAACCTGTGCCCACCGGCTTGCGGGGGGGTAACAGGAATCAAATCCCTAAAGTTCGATTGCAACGGTCAACACATTTCAAAGCTTGAAGAAGGACATCGATCCGACAGCGTTTTAGGTGGCTGACATTTTAAGCCAAACCGACGACGTTTACATCTTCTTCTTTGCCTCTTTTTCTTTTCGTCCAAGCTTTCCTTTTGTTTCCTGTCCAAGCTTGAGGACAAACTGTACTTGAGATTGTCATCTTCTGTAAGCTCTTTGCCTATAAAAGGCAGATCAAGTGAATGAGAACAACAAGTTTTTAGGGTTTCAACCCACATTTCATATCTGTTTTCAGAAGTTAGTAGCCGCGTCGATGGAGCTAGCTGGGACCACCGTCCTTAGTCGCTAGGTTATCTTTTTTCGCCCGGAGCCGAAATCTCGAGCTCTGTTTGGCTGTTCTGGCATCGTTCGTCTGCTTAATCTGATGATGTAAAGAGGAACTGAAAATAACGAGGTAGAAAATTGGCGTTTAAGCCAGTCATTTCGAGGTCCATTTGCTGTTTGGAGAGAGCTTGAATCAATGGTTAATGTTTGGAGAGAAACTGAATCAAGGCATGGAATGAATTTGACTTGGTCTATTTTTGGTTTTACTTTTAGTCTATCACCAGTTCCACTTGTTTTGTTTTGATGGCCTGTTGTTGTTCTGGCCGCAACAGATTTGGATGTAGTGAACATGATGGAGGAAGCGAAATCGCGATGGCTTCGTCCTAATGAGATTCATGCCATCTTGTGTAACCACAAGTACTTCACTATTTATGTCAAGCCTGTCAACTTGCCCAGGACGACTTCTTTCCTTTTCACATTTCTTTCCTTACAAATAGAGCTAGCTATGTTTCCTTCCACCTTTTCGACAGTTCTAAAAAATTCCAGTGACCGCGGTTGCAAAGAAGTGGAATCTGGAAAGTGTGTAATAGAAACTACGACATTCAACTGTTTCTTCAGAAAAAGAATCTACGTAAAGTTTAACTCGGACGAGAGGGTTCGAGCGAGCTAAAGACTAATGCAGAGGGAGTTCCATATGTCAACTGCATTCGTACAGTGTCGGCATGGCAAAGGTAATTAGTTGGTTGTGAACCAAGTGTGGACTGGAACATGGAAAAGTGAGAAAGAGTTGCCTTTGAGTTTGAAGGGGATTTGTTCCCCAAATACAGGTCTTATCATCAAGTCATACTAAAATTTTTTTCCAATATACACAACTTACTCCAAAAGTAATCTAGATATTGGTTCGCTGTGAATTGAACCTGGGGAGTCACCCAAGATCACGACCAATCGAAACGAACGGGCCTCGAATTAGTCAGAATCGAGGGAAACAAGAGCGACCAACCTAGATCGCTGATAAAACCAAGGATTTTCCCCCAAAAAAATCGCTCGAGCGTTTAGCGATATGCAACTAACACACGTCAAAATTTAAAACGACTGTAACTTTGCTATCGGTTATATGATTGTAGCAAAACATTTTTTTTATCCCGCCTAGCTTTTTTGATTTATTAAAAGCCTCCAATGGTAGAGGTGATTTGGTCCGCCTTCCTCGACAAAAGTTATCATTTTGCTTCCCCAAATTGGTCATTTTTTATTTTCGTAACTTTGTACTTCGCATCCTGATTATCCCAAATTTCAAAAAGATTAGATATTTTTAATTTAAGGAATTCCAAACTGATTATCACAAATTAAAAAAAAAAAGATATTTTTATTTAAGGAATTTCAAACTGATTATCACAAATTTCAAAAAGAAAAGACTATATATTTTTAATTTGAGGAATTTAAAAAATAAGTGTTTGTTTAATTTTCACCTCTCCGCATGAAATTTGTTATCACGACATCTTTTGTTAAATATTGTAGCATTCATAGGCAGTTATTGTAAATTTATAATGCATTGTATTGGTACCATTACTCTTCTCTAATTTATTTCTTTTTTCTCTTTTAGACAAAATAAAAAGAACAGAGCTTATTAGGGGACGTTTGCTTCATGGATTTGGACGATGGATTTGGGTACCAAATCCAATCCATTATGGATTTAAAAAAAAATCTATTGTTTGCTTGCACCTTTTTTAGAGATCAAATTCGTGGGGCCCACGGATTTTGAGGTTCCTAATCCGTGGATTCCACAGACTTGTAAATCCCACATGTTGATGTGGGATTTGGAACATGGCATAAATTCTTGATGGAATTTTACCTATATACCCTCATGAACTTTTAAATTCCAAGGTTACCCTCAAATTTAACTATTATACATTATAATTGATCAATTAATTAACAAAAAATAAATAATATAAATATTCAAAATTAATGTGAAATATGAGTTAGATTTTTTATGTAATTTCTTGTGTTCTAGTTTTCTTTGAACTTTCGTGCTATGTGTAATTCTTTGTTCTCCCGATTCTAATATATGTTGTTATATGTTACTTTTTAAAAGGAGGACAACGAATTGGTAACAGATTATGTTACGTTAATAGTTAAACAAAATTTCTCCATTTATTATTATTGTCCTTGTGGCAACATTATGCTTATTAGTATGTATTGTCATTGTTTTGTATTCATATCATAAACATGTCAAACATATAGAAAAGGGTAGTAATGTAATTTTGGACTTTAAGTACTTAATCCCACACCTTTAAATCCAAGATAAAACATCTCAGCAAACAAAGAATTGTTACAAATTCATAATGCCATAAATCCTTATAAATCATTGAAATTTTAAATTACAAAACCCTGATTTTCAAATTCACTACCCCTAAATAGTTGGGCCGAAAGGCTTTCTCGGACTGAAGAGTTTTGGTGGGTCATGAATCTTTGACTATCCACAGCATGGCCCATGAGCAATCACTTCCCCTGGACCTTAGACGCCCACCGTGGCCACTGACCTGTACTTGAGATTGCTCCCAAGCCCTAATAAAAATTTTCTTTTTATAAATTTGATAACTAAAATATTCTTGTTAAAAGGAGAAAAATAATACTCTCTATCTCGAATCCAAATATATAAAAAAATGCTAGAATCAAGGTTTAATAATTGTCGCAAGTCGCAACCTTTCTCTTAACAAATATTTTACTAGGAGTAACTGGGCTGCACATCTTGATTTATCACTGTTTAGAAGTTACCAACAAGCATGAATTTACCTTTTTACCAACATTTTTATATGTAACAATACACATAAGTATAGTTTATATTTGTAATCGAATTAATAAACTGTCTTATCCGTCATTACCCCGCCATAAGCACCAACTAACCAAAAAGCACCGTATTATTGGTACAACCTGTCCCTCATTAAAGAGGGAAAAATACAGTGAACTGAAACGCTCCAATCAAATAAAATAACCGCTAAAATTCTAAAAAGATGGGATTATTTATTATTATTATTATTATTATTATTATTATTATTATTATTATTATTATTATTATTATTATTATTATTATTATTATGTCTCCGTCCCATTCCAGTCTCTGCAAGACCAGCGGTGGTTGGTATTTTTCCGTTTGGTATTATTTATACTATTATTTGAGCTGTGGCTGAACGAGCCGCCATTGATAAAACTTCACCCTCCTGCTAAGTGCTGACAGTCTTTCCAGCTCGTCTGTAGAGAGAAGAAAACGCGAAAAAGCTAACATCCGCCGTACGTTTCTCCTTCGGGCGAATTTTTTTCTTTCTTTGTCATTTGGTGTCTGCTTTTTTCCTGGAAATTGACTTGAGTTTTTTTTTTTTTTATTATTATCATTTTTGTCTGGTTAAGTTCAGTTGATCGCACTTCAGCTGAGCTCTCGAGCAGGTAGCTGGCGATGGCGACCGGAGTGCCTGGACGGCTCGTCGGCTCGGAGATTCATGGATTCCACACTCTCCAAGGTACTGTACGGTCGATGATTTTCCTGGAGAATTTTATGGGTAAAGTTAGTAGCCGCGTCGATGGAGCTAGCTGGGACCACCGTCCTTTGTCGCTAGGTCTTTTTTTTTCCGCTCAGTGCCGAAATCTCGAGCTCTGTTTGGCTGTTCTGGCATCGTTCGTCTGCTTTATCTGATGATGTAAAGAGGAACTGAAAATAACCAGTAGAAAATTGGCGTTTAGCCAGTCATTTCGAGGTCCATTTAGTTTGGGGAGAACTTGAATCAATTGTTAATGTTTGGAGAGAACCTGAATCAAGGCATGGAATGATGGTCTATTTTGGTTTTACTCCTAGTTTGTCACCAGTTGCAGTTGTTTTTAACTTTGATGACCTGTTGTTATTCTGGCCGCAACAGATTTGGACGTGGTGAACACGTTGGAGGAAGCGAAATCGCGATGGCTTCGTCCTAATGAGATTCATGCCATCTTGTGTAACCACAAGTACTTCACTATTTATGTCAAGCCTGTCAACTTGCCCAAGAGTAAGTTCCTCTTCATGATAATGTTGTCATGTTAAGCTGAATTCTGATGGTGGCTGTGTGATTTCTAATTCATTAGCAAGCAAGTCACTCGGTCGAAAGGCAGCTGCAGGTTTACCGTACATTCCTTGTGTGTAATTGATGTGCATCAACTGATTCTGTTGCTTTTTTATGTACCAGGTGGAACCATTGTATTGTTTGACCGTAAGATGCTTAGGAACTTCCGAAAAGATGGTCATAACTGGAAGAAGAAAAAAGATGGAAAGACTGTTAAAGAAGCTCATGAACATTTAAAAGTGAGGATTTCTCCTGTTTCTTTTTTCACTCGGATAAACCGATTTCCTTGCTTCACACCGAACACATTGTTCATGTTCCATAAGATGTGTTAAGTTCAAACATATAGTTTCTTCTGTTCTGATGACGTTGGTATTTGGCGAATATTCATTTGACCGTTAAGTATGAAAAGGTGATTCCTCCAAGTGGATGAAAGACTAGCCTACATGGCAGGATCATATATGTGCTTGAAATGTAACCAACTACCTTTGTTGTTTTGGCTGTCTGACTTTGTTATCCTTTCTTCGCCTCAATATGCCCAGGTTGGTAATGAAGAAAGAATTCATGTATACTATGCACATGGCCATGATAGTCCAACTTTTGTTCGACGGTGTTATTGGCTGCTCGATAAGTATGTCCTTTCGAATTACACTTGGTTTCATTTCTATCGTTGCGTGTGCACTTAAGAAGGCGACTTTGAGTAGAGATTTCACATGTTCTTTCTTTATTCTTCTACTTCAGGACTCTAGAACACATAGTGCTGGTTCACTATCGAGAGACCCAGGAGGTTAGATTTCAACTGTTTATCTGTTCTTATTAAATGCGTGTCTTGAATCTGCCCCCCTTCCAAGCGGCAGGAATGTTGGAACAATTTAAACTGACTTGGGCACTTGGGCACTTGGGCAATGGATTTAGAGTTAGTCGGTAATGCATACTTGTCTGATAATGTACTATGTTTGATGTGTGAATGGAGGAATTTCAACTCCATGCAAATTCTAACATTAATATCTTCTATTCTGATAAATGCTTAACTAATGATCATATGAGCATCTATGCATTCCTTTTGTAAGGACAGTTGCAGGTTGTTTAGCTTATGGTGCAATTCTTGCTAATAATAGCTTTATAAATATCATGCCCTCTTTTGTTTGCTTATTGTACAGCTGCAGGGATCTCCCGCCACACCTGTGAATTCGAATTCCAGCTCAGCATCTGACCCATCTACACCTTGGCTTTTAGCTGAGGAGTTTGATTCTGGAGCTGGTCTTGGATATTCTGCAGGCGAGAAACAACGTATAGGTGATGATACTTGCATGCTTCAACGAGGAAATATTTCCTCTATCTCATTGGTCGTTTTCATTAGTTCCTTGTAGAGAGATATGACCAATTTCAAAGGTATCTCTTGTTCACTTATCAAAATGCATGTGATAGACAGATCTTGGTAGTTTACCTGTGAGCGATCATCAATTGAAGCTCCATGAGCTCAACACACTTGAATGGGATGACCTGGTGGCAAGTGATCCCAACAAGTTGACGCCCTTTGCTGGAGGTATGGAGTCTTTTGTTCTTGTTATATGCAAGTGGATTTCCTTAGAGAATCCTTTATATTTTCTTCCTGGTATCGTGTTTTATCTTCATGATTGCTACTGGCTATTGTTAAAAGGATGTACTCTTGGATGTGAACAGATGTGAGCTCCTATCTTGACAATCAAAATCAAGTTTCTATGAACGGATCTGCTATTTATGTGAGTAGAATGATGTTTCTTATCACAAGCTTATTCCCTGCACCTCCCCATGGTTTCTATCTGTGTGAAGACTTCCCCCACGGTTATTATATTGTGAAGCAGGTCCAAGGAGTAACCAACGTTTGTCGAATTATTTATTTGTTTATTAAGTTATGTTACTGATAGTCCTGGAAAGATCCATTTAACATTGGCCTCAGTGTACGTAGTGCGTAAGTGTTATGTTCATCCTTGTTATGCTGCATATTCTAGTATAAATATTGCTTCAGATAAACATGACTCTAGCAGATCTTCTTTAATGTGCCTACATATTTTGTTGCAATCTCCAGTATCTATAAGCTTATCTCTTAGTTAGCATCTCTCGAGTTGTCTTTTCTATTACAAAGAAACGTTTCACAAATGTTGATGCACATTATCTGTTTGCAGCACCGTGGCCTTCCATCCTCTAATACATCCGAGGATGCTACCTCTGTAAATCAAGTCATTGCCCCATATGTCAACATTGGGACCAGTTATACCAGTACTGCAGATGGTGTTTATAGTCAGCTGGCTAATCTCCAAGTAAATTCAAACTGGCCAAGCACGGATCCTCGGGTGATGAACCCTGATTCTTCAGTGGACATTTTACTTGCTGATGGTTTGCAAAGTCAGGATAGTTTCGGAAGGTGGATTAACGACGTAATGGCCAAATCTGCGGTTTCTCTTGACGATCAACTGCTTGAACCTTCTACCTCATCAGGTGATGGGTCATCTGCTTCTCCATCAATCGGTGAACATCAGTATTCTGTTGAAAACTCATTTGTTATAACTGATGTCTCTCCTTCTTGGGCCTTTTCAACTGATACCACAAAGGTTTGTTAGTTCCTCTTTTGTTGATACCATCTTTTAAGACTTAGCACCTCTCATATTTAACCCAAATCTAATGGTTAATGCAGATTCTTGTTACTGGTTATTTTCACGAGCAGTATCAGCATCTGGCCAACTCCAACCTGGTTTGTGTTTGTGGTGATGATTTTGTTCCCGCTGAGGTAGTCCAAACTGGGGTATATCGCTGTTTCTTATCTCCTCATTCCCCTGGATTAGTTAATCTCTGTTTCAGTTTGGATGGTCATAAGCCGGTCAGCCAAGTCCTGAATTTCGAGTACCGCAAGCCTGCACGGCATGTTGATGATGTGGTGTCAACCGATGAAAACTCCAAGTGGGAACACTTCCATCTCCAGATGCAGCTGGCTTATCTGCTTCTATCTACATCCAGGACCCTAAACCTGGTAAGCAGTAAAGTATCCCCAAGTAGCCTGAAGCAGGCTAAGAAGTTCGCCAACAAAACCTCCAACATTTCCCGCAGTTGGTCATATTTGTTCAAGTCAATAGATGAGAATAGGATCTCACTGGCGCAAGCCAAAGAAGACATGTTTGAAATTGCTTTGAAGAACATACTTAAGGATTGGTTGTTGGAAAGAGTGGTTGAAGGGTGTAAAGCCACTGACTATGACGCTGAAGGTCAAGGAGTAATCCATTTGTGCGCAAGACTTGGGTATACTTGGGCCATTTACTTGTATTCATGGTCAGGTTTGTCCATAGATTTTCGTGACAAACATGGATGGACAGCACTTCACTGGGCAGCTTATTACGGAAGGTATAGGCTTCTAAATTCTTTTGTTGCATTTGCATTTAGCATCAAGCCCATAGTTAGCACAGTCATCCTGATTGTCACTATTATCAACAATAAATATTCAGGGGTCTTATGGATGTAGGATTTGGAAATTGATAGATTGTGTAATGTCGGTCGGCTTGAAATGTTATAGATTGTGACTAGTGAGGATTTCAGAATTGTGTATCTGGATGTGTTTCTTTTAGTAGAATGAATAAGCTTGATAACCTCACCAAAATAGATGGGGTTGGGGGCATGGATTTTCAACTCCATAGAATTCGGTATCCTTTTTAGCTCGAACCCGCTACTCATGTATTTTTGTGCTTGAATCCATCATCGTTACATCTTTGACTGCCAATAAAACACCAGTTCAGGGGATAGGGTTAAGCGGAATGAAAGGAATTGAAATTCTGTTCATTTGATCTATAGCTTCTAATTCTCTCTAACATTGCGGTCCCTCAAATGTTTCAGGGAGAAAATGGTTGCGGTCCTTCTATCTGCAAAGGCAAAGGCAAACTTGGTCACAGACCCAACTGCAGATAACCCTGGTGGATGCACTCCTGCTGATCTTGCTGCAGCTCGAGGATACGAAGGCTTAGCAGCTTACCTATCTGAAAGAGCTCTGGTCACACATTTCGAGGACATGTCAATAGCTGGGAACATCAGCGGCTCACTACAACTGGCTTCTGCTGAACCCACTAACGTCGAAAACCTGAGCGAGGAAGAACTATACCTTAAGGATACATTGGCTGCTTACCGCACAGCTGCCGATGCGGCATCTCGTATACAGGCGGCATTCAGAGAGCAGTCACTGAAGTTGCGCACCGAAGCAGTCGAGAACGCGAGTGCAGAGGATGAAGCTCGGAGCATCATTGCTGCAATGAGGATTCAACATGCTTTTCGTAATTACGAGACCAAGAAAAAGATGGCTGCTGCTGTTCGCATCCAGTACAGGTTCCGCACATGGAAACTAAGGAAGGAGTTTCTCAATATGCGGCGTCAGGTCATCCGGATACAAGTAAGTTTCTATGATTATAGATCCTTGTTGTTGTTGCCTTATTGGCCTTAGTCTATTAAGAAGCTAACTTTGCCCTTATTGTTTTGAAATAAGAACTTGTTCGCAGGATCATCTCCGTTATAATTATTTCACAAGTTTTAGTCTTTTCTTTATTTGCTAAATAAACCATATCTGTTCTAATGTTTTATTCCTCTTTAGTCTTGCTAAATAAACCACATATGTTCTAATGTTTTATTCCTCTTTAGTCTTGCTATCTTATTACTAAAGACATCTTATATTCTATTTCGTGCCAAAAATCCTTTCCTTGCTTCCTCCAAAACTTAAGTTCGGAAACAAACACCCTCTCCACCTAATGTTTAAGTTCAGAAGCCATGTCATGTCTTTTAAGCACTTAAATCTGTCTGCATCTGCAGGCTGCATTCCGAGGGTTCCAAGTCAGGAGACATTACAGGAAGATCCTGTGGTCAGTCGGAGTGCTCGAGAAGGTAATCTTGAGGTGGCGTCTGAAGCGGAAAGGCTTACGCGAACTCAAAGTCGAACCAGTTGAAGCAATTGAAGAAGACGGACAGCCAAGTGATGCAGAGGAGGAATTCTTCAAAACAGGTCGTAAACAAGCCGAGGAGCGTGTGGAGAGAGCTGTTGTAACCGTTCAAGCCATGTTCCGGTCCAAGAAGGCGCAGGCTGAGTACCGAAGGATGAAACTGGCCTATAATGAAGCTTCGGTGCGTCGTGTTGATGGCTTACATTCTTGTGTTAGTCCTCATGATTCAATACCAGTTCATAAAAGAACTAATGCGCTCTCCCTATTTCTGGGTTGCAGTCCGAATACGACAGTCTTCTTTCTTTCGACGACGAGATGGAGAAATGAAGGGAGAACAACAGCAGAAGAGAACTGAGCAACAGAGGACGGATAATATTGGAAAGGTATTTCTCTAGCTAAGGACTTGTTTGGTAGCCTGTACATTATCTGCCTAATGACACTATGCATTAAGCTAGAGGTTAACCTTTAGGTATGCAGTTGTTGCCTTTTCATAGTTTTTTTCAGGTATTGAAAAGGTCCCCTGTGGTTTAGGTGTGAATATTACTACTGTTGTATCTATATAGCCATGGGGAAGTTGGTGATGGTGATTTTTAGGGGTTGATTATGTTTTATCGACATCAACAGTTCTGCTATTTGTCAACCGTTTCGTCTGTTATAAGTTATAACTATCTATCTTTGATCTTGCTATTTATTTATGAGAAAGAAAAAAAAAACATAAATTTGTAGCTAGAACGTAATCCCATTTTATGAAAAAGGGAAGAAGCTGCAATCTGACTTCTCATAGTTTCTCTTTACATGTGCTTGTGTTGCTTACTGAAATGAGAAAGATGTGACGATGGATCTCAACTATGTGTTTGGTTGCAACTAATGCAAGTTTGCGTGAGACGGTTACAATGGATGGATGATTGAGAAAAAATGGAACGAGTGTGAATTGTCACTGTCGACCTCTTGACTAATGTGGAGATTGACGAATTTTTTTTTAGAGGTAGTGTGGCAACTCATTGAGAAGAAATTTGGTTGTATAATTTCTCCTAAAATTTCTTTCCAATGCCATGAAATTAACAACCACCGCAAACAGTTAAACAAACGAACATGGAGAAGGAACAAATACGCCCCTGCTGTCCAAGAGTGTCTGGTGGTCCTCTGGCAACGGTTTATCCTTCAAAGAAACAAACAGAAATTCTCTCAAAGAGGCGATGGAGCACGTGCTTTCCCTTTTCAAATGGCGCAGTTAAAAAGAAAAATTCACAGTCAACCCAAATTGTGCATGCATTTTCTTTCTCCTGAGTTTGTCATATACTCATACTTTTGGAATCCCCACAACCACGTTGGAATGCTCGTCCACCTACCAGCTCTCACAACCTTCTCCAAGCTTTCAGCAGCACAGTTTCCACTTTCCAACTACCACAAAAAAACATGTCAAATATGGTTTGAACCAGACCAACCAAAGCAGAGACACAGAACATTCATGAGGGTGATGTTTGTGAAAGAACCCATGTTTCATAAGAGACTGATCATGTACAGGTTTGATGAACATTTGATTTTTGGTCTCCCAATATGCAACTGAGCCAATAAGATGGCATCATTTCACAACAGGCAAGCATATCAGTTTTCTTGTTCAGCAATTTTCAACATACATTCATTATGGCCTCAAACCCCAGACAAATGACAAGCTTGACATGAACAGAGTTGCTGCTAAGTGCTAACACATTGATTCTGATATCGGCTAGTTTCTCCACAGATGGGTGAGAGCTATTTCAATAGGGGATGGTTTATACTGCCAAGTTTTTGCTCAATCCTTCAACCAACCAAACGAGTTTTACCCATAACAACAAAGAATTCCATTCTTCCAATCTAATTGTACCAAGTCACAGCAAAAATGACACGAAGATAAACCCAGAAAAGGGGGGCAAAGAGAGAAAAAGAAGGAAGAAGTTCTGGTAAAGAATACAGAACCCATCTATTATATCTGCTGCTTCATCTCTCTCTACTTGATGTACTGAGAGAGCCACTTGAAGCCATCCCCATACCCCATCTTGCGGACGATGCTGCACATGAAGACCTCAAGAGGTCGGACGTTGGAGTCCATGAGGTTGACCTTCCCCTTGCCAGTAGTGAAACTGGTAAGCCCTAGATGGTATCGAAGCTCCTCTTCTGAAGATGCATAGGGAATGTCGATCTTGTTTCCTAGGATGAGAAACGGGACGTTGGCCAGTGCTTCGTCCGATAGGAGGGCGTCCAACTCCTTCTTGGACTCTGCAAACCTTTCCTTGTCATAGGCATCCACAAGATAGACAACTGCGTCCACCTGTTCGCGCAAAGAAGATGTGTTTTAGTTCCGGTTTTAGCCCTTTCTAGATGTGACACAAAAGCAAGATAGTGAAACTTGGAGAAATCATAAAGGACAACTATAAACCTCATAGACAACATACAGAGGGATTTCTCTGTACAATCAGTTAAGATACAAGCTTCATGCGAATTGGACGAAATGAAAGAAGAGGAAAAGGTTGAGCTCATGTTTCAAAACAAATGAAATGTATGGAAATCTACTATTAGAACACCTCCCAGAAAGTATAAAGAGGTGCCATCAGCGAAAAAATCCATGTTGGGTATCGGCCTCCCATGAATCAGATGAACACAAAGTCAGGTCATCTGGGATTAATGAAGGCCATTCTACCGATTGCATTCATCCAACTGAGACCACATAACAATATAGATGGTAGCACAACAGTAGTATGACAACGATACACCGGATAGAGTGTCAACAGCAACCTCAAGAGCACTGAATAACACTCCAATTTACACTGGATCTCGACAGAGTCCAGTCTGAAGAACATGCTGAGATCTCCAAAAAAATTATGCATTATTCCTACCACTACAAAGAATCGATCAACCAACAAAATCAGCAAAGCCACTAAGCTCAATTTCACAGCTCCCAATCAACAAAAATAATGCGACAAGACTAGGAGCCGTGTATTCACAGGGACAATCAATCAAACAGATCGCGTGCACTCTCCAACACAAACCAATGAAACCATCCAATTCCACACGAGAAAAGTACAATAACGTCAAACCTACGAACCTTGGTGTAATAGTCCTTCCAGATGCGGCGAGCGATCTGATGGCCACCCAAATCGAAAGCCTTGAACTTGATCTTCCCTATACTCAACTCCTCCGATGTAGGGTGCTGGGTCGGCTGGTGCTGGACTAGTCTCTGCGATAAGCGCCGATCGAGAAAGAAAACAGATCCCCCGCCAAAAACCCACCATAGATTAAATCAAGATTCCTTCAAAATCCACCATACCCAGAAAGGGGAATAAAACTGAAATCAAAGCGAAGAAGAAGAAGCGAACCTCGTCTTTCAACATGTGAAGGAGAGTGGTCTTGCCGGCGTTATCGAGACCCAAGAAGAGGATCTTGGCCTCTTTCTGCCATAACCCAAGCGATGCGAGAACTCCATAGAACCAGTCGAATAGAAACATTATCGGCCGGCGCTGACGAAATTGGTTGTTGCTCTAGCTGGCTGCTGATCCAACGGACTTGTGGAAGGAGAGGTGGGGGATTGCGAAGCTCTCGAGTAGAGAGAGAGAGAGGAAAGAGAGAACAACCCCAAAGAAATGGATCCAAATGGAGATGTGGGAGAGAGAAGCAACGTATTTATACTACCACTGACAATTTACAAGTTTGTGATCTGAAAATTGGCTATGCTAAAGGGAGTGAGGGGGTGAGTTGGAAAAAAAATTAAAAATGACAATGTACAAGTTTATTTGATATTTTTGTACAAGATTTTTTCACATAAATTTTGTAGGAGATATTGCAAACATGGATTTGAAAATATGAAAATAATTAATAATAAATTAATAATTACCAAAAGGAAAAAAGAAAAAAAGAGTAGGCATACAAATATGGAACGTAAATTGGACATTTTTTACAAAAGCAATTGAAGATTGAATTCAAGTCTTCAAGATGATTGATGCTTCAGTTATTATTAATTGTAAAAATTTCCAACATGTTTTTTATTTTATTTCGCATACTTTAGTTTTTTACTTTGATAAATAATCGAATTGGAAAATTTTATTTGGTCGTCATTTGAGCAGGTCGAGAATGAAAATAATTTATTTTTTTATTCAAGCCAATATTAACCACTTTAGCCGAATTCGTTTTCATTGGTTGATTATATTACATCTAGACGGGGAGAAAACAAATAGGAGTGTGAACAAAAGAATTGGAAATGATTTTTGGACGCTAGGGTGGACATATAGCATGGATGAGTTGGTTACGGTTGGCAATCGTCATTTGCATTGGTTGGAATTCTTCTTTTTTTTTTCCACAGTTTTTTTTATATAAAATTTGGATGTTATGCATTATTATTATGGTCAATCAATAGCCGGTCCAACTGCCCAAAAAGGTTGGTAGGTGGGATGATCACTTTGACCCCTCCATTTCCCATATTTGTGTAAACACATATCTTCACTTGTCAATTGCCAAACAAATTCAAGTAATGCACACGAAAATAAGGGAAACCATTAATCATATGTAATTAAAAAAAAAAAAGAATGAGGATTTCTGAAACCGTCCGTTATCGATGGTCCGACTAGATATAAGTTTTGTATCGGAACTAAAATCGTAGATGATTTTTAGTGGTATCCGACATTAAAAATACAATTGAATAACAATTTCAGTATAAAATACTTCACCGCTAATTTGTACACGATTTTACAATTGGAATAAAATAAAAAACTTAAAATGAAGGGACATTTTGTGACCATGACAATCCTATGGGCCGCCGTTTGCATTCATAAAGGATATGGACTTTCGGTGGTAGAATTAGTTACGCAAACAACCCAGCCCATCACGAAGCCTTCAAGGCCATTTTACGGTTGGGCCAGGCCCATACACGCCTCACACTGAAGAAAGATATAAAAACAGTCCGTCGAGATTTAGGGTTTCCCTTCAGAAACTCCCCAATTCATCCTGAATTACTCGACGCAGCCGCATTTTCCCCTCTTCCTAGCTGAGGTTTGTTTCCGTCTTCTTCCGTGTCTCGATTTAGGGTTTGAATCCGCCATCAAAGCTTCTTTGCGTTTCCTCTCCTGCTTTCTTACTCTGCGTTTATGGTTCGTTGCAGAGATGGCCAAGTCGAAGAATCACACCGCTCACAACCAGTCCTACAAGGCCCACAGGAACGGCATCAAGAAGCCTAAGAGGCATCGCCATACTTCAACCAAGGGGGTAAGTTAACTTATAGTTTTTTTTCTCTCGATCGATTCGGTTATGTGTATGCTGGTTTTCGCCATGGTTGATATTCTTGGTTCGGGCTGGTTTCAGATGGACCCGAAGTTTCTGAGGAACCAGAGGTACGCGAAGAAGCATAACAACAAGAGCGCCGAGGAAGGAAGCGCTGAAGAGTAAACGTCACTTGCCTTGTGAATGGCCGAGTTTTCATGTTTGTTTAGTTGCTGAATCCTTAAGAGCTTGAACTGGATTTAGTTTTACCTATTTTGATAGTTGGATGAGCTGAAAATGGTACCGAATGATGAAGTTTTCGTTTTGAAGAACTTGCTACTGATGTTAGACCTGGTTTATTGAGCTTCAGTGAATTTTGGAAGGCATTCTATATATCTGTTATTGTGCTGTCTTGCTGGAAATTTGGCCATGGATTTTGCGATTTAGTTGAGTAATTTGTAGGTTATGTAGTCTATGGGTTCCCAATTGGATGGATTAGGCTTCTAGTGTTGCCTTCCAAATTGTGGTGTTCCTTTGTTTCTAAGGAATATGATTCCAGGGTTGTCATTAGGTCGGTTTAGGTTGCTTCTTTCTGATGTCATTGATCCTGTTATGAGTCTGGACATGGCATTGTCAAAAAACAAACCTTGTGCTCTTTCCTCGTCATGGTTTTCGGTATATCAGGTTCGACAATAGTAAGACTGTTTCTACATAGAGTTATGGTGGTTGATTTAGAGGTTGTGCTTAGAATTGAGTCCCCCTTTTTAGATTAGATTAGCTAGGCCAGAGGCATCTAGCACTTCCTTTTCTTATTAGGGTTTTTTCCAGGGATATGTGGGGGATAACCATGCTGGCTCGGCTGGTTTCAGTAAGAATTTGAGCAGTGTGTTGCTTTCCTCTTGGTTTCTTGCTTTATTTTTTGCCTTCTGATTTTTACTTGTGGTTTCCTGCTCCTGTTCAATGTCTAATTACCTTTAGGTAGAATTATGAAGAAGAGCATATTTTGTGTATGATCAACATAAATTTAGATTAGTATCCCTGATCAGCTTCTTTTAGAAACATAGAACGAGATGTTAAATAATCAATGGCAAGATTGCCGCTAAGTCTGTGCAATGACGCCTCAATCTCTTTTAAGTGCAACTTGTTTTGTTCACAGAATTGGAATGGGAACTACAAGAAAATCAAACTAAGTATCCATGAGATCTGTTCATTGGGTTTTAGAAATGAGAATCCAATCCAACCAGTATCCATGAGTTCACCAACATAAGTGTTGGGTTGTACCCCATAAAATATGCATTGGTTTTTAGAAATGACAATGCAACACAACTAGTATCCATGAGTTCATCGACATCAATATACATGATTTCTTCAAACACCTATATTCCAATATTATTGAATTTGTTTCTTATATACATCTCTATAAAAAGTAAAAACTACTTAACATTTACAAGTTATCCATATTATTAGGTTTATATTGCTATAAAGACTAAAACTATAAATGATTTATATTTTACTAGTTAGATGCAAAATAACGATGTTTTATATTATGGGTGCAGATAACGTGAAAAGCGGGTCGAGTATGACAATCCAAAATCTACCCGCATGTTTCAAAAGCGGTGAAAATTCACATTCGATCAAAACTAGTCAGGACATAATTTTATCCCCTGTGATCGGATTGAGGCGAGTGGGATAGTTATGATTCGGAGTGATTTGCAATCCCTACTTACAATACAATCCCACACACAAACTCATCAAGTTACTAATGTTTATACTTTTACCCTTTGAAATGTGAGGAAAATTATATGACCGAACGACGACAACTATTCGCTAAAATTGGTATTTTACTACTTTTCTTTAGTCAAAACAAGGTGCTTAAAGCTAAAGGAAATCCCATCCTTTATCCAAGGAAGCTACAAGGAGCCGTAAAGAAATGTTCTTCCACCGATATGGTGTGCCCAAAGAGATAAATAGTTCGTAACACAGTTTGTCTCTCTACAGATGTTCTCAATATCAACCTGCCAATCTAGGGCTAGTAATCTCCTAGTCTCAGCGATTATAGCATAATGTGGATGACTGGAAGTGGTCGTCTCTAACAGTGTAAGAGAGTCTGTTTGCACAAGAACTTTTCTAGACCTGAGTTCCCAAATAAGGCTGAGTCCATGGACAATTCCTGCTAGCTTTGCACGAGCGGCGAGCCATTGATGATTGAACCCCCAAGGTTCAGTGTATAGGCTCCAATGAAAGTGCTCTACTACTTTGTGCTAGGCAAGAATATAACTGCGGTATCGTTCTCCATCGGTCCAACCGTCAAAGACAAAGCGATGCGCACAACAGGTGAAGAAAACCAAAGCCAAAACAGTACAAAATACAGATAGTTGATATTAGCGTTAGAAAACAAGGTGGTTACTGGTTAGTTCATCAGCCGCGCAGCTTCGTTAACTCCGCCACTCCCCCGAGTCCCAACCATATTTCTCAACGACTTCTCAGAGCTCTCCGCCACTTCTCCTCCTAATAAACCCGAAACCCAGAGATCCTTTCTTCCAATTATATCCCTTCTTTCATCTCCAGAAACACCAAAATGCAGGCATCGCTCAGTCTCTCGGTCTCTAACCCCGCCGCCATTCCCAGATCAAGCCACGGCTTCGAGTCCTCCATCCCTTTCCCGTCGAAGCCTGTGAATCTCAGGTTCTGCGGTCTCAGGAGGGAAGCCTTGGGGTTTTCTTCCGCTTCTTCTTATCCTCTTTCCACCTCCCGGTCAAGTAGGAGCATAGCTCGCTCCAACAAGGTTTCGGCCTCCCTCGGCGGCGCCAATGGCAGCAGCAGCGCTCCCAAGTCGTTTGATTACGACTTGATCATCATTGGAGCTGGCGTCGGCGGGCACGGAGCTGCACTTCATGCTGTTGAGAAGGTACGGTGGTTTAGTTTGCTGGGTTTGATTTTATCGACATTGCTGCTAGTTTGAGGCAATTGAGAACTTGGGAAGTTTGAAGTAGAGTTGATCTTGAAGTTCTCGTGAATGGGTCGAATTGCTTCATTTGAATTTGGTGATTGGCGGTGGAAATTATTCTATTCTAGTCTGACATTGTTTCTGGGCAGGGTTTGAAAACTGCTATTGTTGAGGGGGATGTGGTCGGAGGGACTTGTGTTAACAGAGGTTGCGTGCCGTCAAAAGCTTTGCTGGCCGTCAGTGGCCGGATGCGTGAGCTTCAGAACGAGCATCATTTGAAAGCTTTGGGTCTCCAGGTAAATGGGGTTATGGTGTTTCTACGACTGGTTATATTACAGCAATTGCATATAGGTGTTTGAAGAATGAAGATAATTTGTACGAGAACCCACTTAGCAATTTGTGATCAGGTACCCATTTGGCCCAAACATGTAGTAATAGGGTTTTCTCAACCTGTGATAGGTTTCAGCTGCTGGTTATGACAGACAGGGAGTTGCTGATCATGCCAATAATCTTGCTACGAAAATTCGCGGCAATCTGACAAACTCAATGAAGGCATTGGGTGTGGACATCTTGACCGGTTTTGGTGCAGTTTTGGTGAGTAGGCACTCTGTGCTATGGACATGGCTGCATCATTACTCTATTTCTTGACAAAGTTGTGATTTCTATTAAAGACAAGTCATGCTCTGATCTGATTTCAGCAGAATGGCTTCTTTGCCTTGTTTCATGTCTTAAAAGTTCCTTGTTACTTGGCTCAGGGTCCACAAAAGGTGAAAGTTGGGAAAGACACTGTAGTGACTGCAAAGGACATCATCATCGCCACTGGTTCTGTCCCATTTGTGCCTAAGGGGATTGAAGTCGATGGTAATTTTTCTAGTGTTTTCTGTTTCCTTGTGGATATGTAGAAGGCGTGTCTCCAACCTTACGATTCTTGAAATAGTGAATTGTTGTGTCCTTGTTAGAATTGAGCGCCTTGCTGAAATTCTGCGGTCTTCTGTTGTCTTGGTAGTTGTTAGTACGAGGATCTCTTATTCTGGTTAATGCCTGCAGGGAAGACTGTCATAACAAGTGATCATGCCCTCAAACTGGAGTTTGTACCTGATTGGATAGCCATTGTTGGAAGTGGTTACATTGGTCTTGAATTTAGTGATGTGTATACTGCACTTGGAAGTGAGGTACCGATTTATGTTCACTTCTGACCATACAATTTCTGCTGCAGAAAGTGCTTTCTCATTTTGCTACGATATTGCAAAAGCTGCATCTTAAAGCATCTCTAAGTCTGGTGCATTTGCAGGTGACGTTCGTTGAAGCTCTGGACCAACTCATGCCTGGATTTGATCCTGAGATTGGGAAGTTGGCTCAAAGAGTCTTAATTAATCCTCGCAAAATTGACTACCACACTGGAGTGTTTGCAACCAAGGTGAAAAGATGCACACAGCTGTATTTCTAGAAAAGCACATCTTCATGTTGTATAGTTTCTTGTCGTGGTCCTTTTGCTTACAAAAGGACTGCATCTGACTTGCCTTTTCTTGTCATAGATAACTCCAGCAAATAATGGGAAACCAGTCACTATTGAGCTTATTGATGCCAAAACCAAGGAACCAAAAGAAACTCTCGAGGTATTTGAGCTATTATGTTCTGTTTGGAGTTCAAATTAGATGACTGCTTTGTCGTCTGTTTATTTTAAATTAATGACCTTTCATACTATTGCCATGCCGATTCTGTAACTTTGATTTTACATTTTCTACAGGTAGATGCAGCTCTGATTGCTACTGGACGGGCACCTTTCACAAATGGTCTCGGCTTGGAGAATGTATGATCTGTTGATATAAAACTAGATTTGATGATGTCAATGATTAACAGAGAAAAAGAGTCAGTACCCTGATATATTTTCATCTTTTTGTTTCTCCTTTCACTACTGCAGATTAATGTGGCAACCCAGCGTGGTTTTATTCCTGTTGATGAGCGTATGCGTGTCATTGATTCCAACGGAGACCTGGTATGCTCAGAAACCTTTCTCGTGTTTTTACAAGTGATGGAGGTTGCTACATCCTGATCCTTGATTTCTCAATTATGGTCACTAGGTCCCTCACTTGTTTTGCATCGGAGATGCCAACGGTAAAATGATGCTTGCTCATGCAGCCAGTGCACAAGGAATTTCAGGTTCGTTAAATGAAACATTTTGTCTACATTTCGATCTAGCTCTTCGCTTTTTGCCCTTTCCTTATTTCCTCTACAAACAGTGGTGGAGCAACTGACTGGAAGAGACCACGTGCTAAATCATTTAAGCATCCCGGCTGCTTGTTTCACTCATCCGGAAATCAGTATGGTTGGACTGACAGAGGTGTGTCTTGAAGACCTTGCTATGGGCTATACAGAATCTATCACATGTCATCCATATATATTTGTTCTGATTATCTAATTTTTCTTTCTGGATTCTGATTCACAGCCTCAAGCAAGGGAAAAAGCTGAACTAGAGGGATTTGAAGTAGCTGTTGCCAAGACAAGCTTCAAGGCGAACACGAAGGCCTTGGCCGAAAATGAAGGAGAGGGTCTTGCTAAGGTTATATTCGTCTGACTCTTCTTCTCCTGCAATTATCATTCTTCTGAAAATTTAAGATGATCAACAATTGTATGATGGTCGTCCTTTTTGTATTGCAGTTGATATACAGACCTGACAACGGAGAGATTCTTGGCGTTCATATCTTTGGGCTGCATGCTGCAGATCTCATCCACGAAGCATCTAATGCTATAGCTTTAGGGACTCGCATCCAGGTTTGACTTTACATCTTTCTTTCTTTTTTGTTGGTGAAATTTTGGCTCATCTTTTTACTCATAAAAACGCTATAGCTCTTGCTTCAGCACTTCCCTCATCTTAAGATGTGATTCAAACTGAACATATCTACGCTTTTTCAGGACTTGAAATTGGCAGTTCACGCGCATCCTACGCTATCTGAAGTCCTTGATGAACTCTTCAAGTCAGCAAAGGTGAGTTTCTGATCCGACCTCTGAGCACTAGAACATCAAAAAGACTCGTAAGGTTGCACGATGCCGAACCACCAACCCCCATACCCTGATCTGATTTGCACGCACTGGAAATCATATCTTCTCCTGCCAATTTTCTACAGCCGCTAGCTCTAATACAGTGTTCACCCGCATTTTCTGTATGCTTACATTGCTAAAGCTGGAGAGTGGAGACAAGATCACCCTTCTTTAAGCTAGTGATGGACGTTTTTAATTGATGGTACAGGTTAACGCACATGTTGGCAGCAGCCCAGTAGCCGAACCAGTTGCAGTCTAAGCAAAACCTCGACGCCCTCAAATTCTTCGTCGAAGTATCAAACCCCCAAGTGCTGGAAAGTCAGTGTACCATGATAGAACATGTAGTCAAGTCATCACTCATCAGCATGGTTCAAGTAATGCAGATAGCACTTCATCTCTTCCGATTCATTCATTCGACCATCGATAACTCTCGAGTCAATAATCATCCCCCGGTTTTGTACTAATTTATGGTTTCAGATACCGGATACTTGTAGAGCTAGAACATACTGAAAAGCTTCTCCTCATGGTTGTCGTCCATTGTGACATTGTCTCATTCTGTATCCTAATTGTATACCAACATTTTCCGCTGAGAGTAATATCAAAGGTTGAAATTTCTTATCCACTTGTGTTTGCTTTGCTCAACTATTGAGTGCGTCACCACTCACGTCACCACCGCCACTTTTGATACGCGCCGCCGCGGAACCTTCCATTCTCTATCCGTTTACCCTTTACCCATCTTCCTTCCATCACCGCCGACGTCACCGTTTTAGTAGGTAAAGTCAAACGCCACCCAAAACCAGCAAAGACGAGTCAAAAGTCAAAGCAGTTGCAAAACACGAAAAACTCAACGCTTCCTTTCCATCCTTCCGATCAGTCAGTCAAATCTCTCAACTCCTTTTCACTCTATAAATAATACCCACCTCCCACATTCCCACCATCCCAACTTCCATTTCCCATCTCCAACTTCCCCTGCTTGCTTTCCTTCGTTCAAAAAAAAGAACAGGGAAAAAAAAAAACAGAGCTTCCCAAGTTTTTAAACTTCCATCAATGGCCATGAAGAGAAGTATAGAAACGGCAGAGCTAGAGACGCTAGACATGGCGAAATGTCTAATCTACCTATCTCATAGCTTCCGCTCCGTCACTTCCAATTCCAATCCCTCCTCCGCCGCCGGGGACGACGCCTTCGAATGCAAGACCTGCAACCGGAGGTTTTCTTCCTTCCAGGCGCTGGGCGGCCACCGGGCCAGTCACAAGAAGCCTAAGATTGCTTTACTCGGCCCAGATAAGTTGGGCCAGGACGGGCCCAAGGTGCAGGCAAAGCCCAAGATGCACGAATGCTCGATCTGCGGGGTGGAGTTCGCGCTGGGCCAGGCTTTGGGCGGTCACATGAGGAGGCACCGAGCAGCCGCCACCATGGCCGTGGCGGCTCCTAAGCTGCCGGCGGCGGGGAACTCGAACAAGCTGCTGCCGGTGCTTAGGAGGTCGGGTAGTTGCAAAAGCGTGTTCGGGCTGGATTTGAACTTGTCGCCGTTGGAGAACGATTTGCAGTATTTGTTTGGCAAGATGGCCCCCAATGTTTCCATTGTTTGATATCTTTCTGATTGGTTTTCCTTTCGATTTTCATTTCTTTTAGCCTTACATTACATGTACAACAATTGGTTGATTCTTTGACTAACTTTGGTCCCGTCCGATGAGGGGTTTGATTAGTGAATCGAATTTTATGGTGTTTACAACGAGTTTTTGGGTTTTTTCATAGACGTAACTATTTAACCTATTATTGATGATCTAAATTAGATGTTTGTGTCTTCGCTATAACTTGGAAGCGAATCAAAGAAGTAAAAAGGAAATGGATAGTTGAAAATCGACATAAATTTACTTATTGTGCTCCTAAATGATGTATATATATTTCATATAATTGTCCAAATAGAAATTTCAAAGTACTACTCAAACAAACATACCCTTATCAAGATCTCATGCTCCCATCACCACCGTGAATCGAATCAAAATAAGTGATGCAAAAAAAAAAAAACAATTGTTTTGAAAGCTAGATCGGTTGGTCAGACGATAATGAACCGGTAGGTCGAAAACTTATCGTAATGATTAGTTATTCAAATCAAATGAATCGACGTACCGATTCAAACTACAGTTACTCAATAGCAAATCGAGTTGTTTACCGCTTGTGCCACAACTATTTAGAAGAAATAAATATACTTAATTCAAAGTACTTTATATTTTCATAAAGGATCATGACAGTGGCGGAGCCAGGAATCTAAATGAGGGGGGCTAAAATAATTTACGTTCAAAGGTTTGAAATGGCGAGGGGGGCTAAAGCCTTACCACCTACTTCTATTATCCAAATGTGTTGTAAAATTTACAAGTAAATTTACACAATTATGAGAGTTGAGGGGGGGCTTATAGCCCCTCTTGCCAACAACGTGGCTCCGCCACTGGATCATGACATAGTGTAAAGTTTAGATTTTAATAATTAAATCATTCTTTTTTTTAGAACCATAATATTTTAAGTTTATATTTTTAATTTTTATACACATCTTTGTTTACTTGAAATGTATTTTATTTTGGATTTATGGTTTATGCATATCTTACTTATAATATTATTATTTTATGATGCACCGGTTTGTAAATGAATTTTTGACGATTTAGTAGCCTTTAAACATTTAAAGGGTTAACCACTCGCTACACCTGTACATACTCTGGTTCGGATATGATAATATTAAAAAAAACATACGATCCAAAAATCCATAACAAATGAACTTCTGATTCCATCACGGACTGGCTAAATGGGGTATCGGTATGACCATGTCTCAAAATAAACCAAAATTTGTTAAAATCGAAACCCAAATTCGTTATGTCCATGGTGGAAACAAAATTCATTTTTTTTAAACACAAAAATATTAGGGATTGAAATTTGCTATGTCGACTGCAAAGGGGAGTCGAATAGGGGTGACTTTCGAGTTATGACTCTAAGAAACATTTGGAAATTTGAGTGAAGGGTTGTTTGCGATAAGCGAGAATTGAGATGTTTGGAATTGCGACTTTGGTTGATCTTCAATATTGAATTTTCCCTTAACCAAAGTCCAAAACATGTGATTATACTTATGGTGGCTATCGGGTTGCTTATCAGTTAACCAATAAGCAAAGTTAGCTACAACCAATAACTACAGTGGCGTAGCCAGAAGCTCAAAACAAATGTATCGTTTTACAAGATATATGTATATGAATAAATATCCAACAAATTCATATTCAAATAATTCATTCACGAAATAAAACTAAATTCTTAAGTATTGCATCAAACTAAATTTGTTTATCGTATATAAACTTCTCGTATTACATAAACACTAGATACTCAAAATACTATACATACACATAAGTATGGATAATACATAACCCAAATTTTAGGTGCGTCCCAAGACAAATTAAACATGCTTGGATTCGCCACTAAATAACCGAACCACTAAAAAATTATCGATTATAGATTAATCACTAACTAACGTTCATTAATCGATAAAACTGATTAATCGTATAGCGCCGCCTCAACACGTGTTACACTTACACATATTTTTAGAACACACCAATGAAATTGTAATCGAAACTGATGTGTCACTACTCACCAGAGATAACTCTTGTCGACCAATATGCTGATTCCCGACGACGACGATCGATGACCAGCGCCGAGCATTCCTACTTAGAAATCGACCAATCATGACGGTAGCAAAGATTGATGATCAACGGTCGTCATCACGCCACGCAAACATTGCTTTCCGCGAAAAAACTCCGGGACATCAAATAGTCGCGTGTTCAATTTCATTTTATCGTGTTTCGTCAATTGCAGGAATTTTTTGCGTGCGTATTTTTCAGTCGCGCGCCAAATATATACCTACTCTCCCGCGCGTTCGACCCCCGGCTGCTCCAATGGTGAATCGAATCGCGTGGATGTACGCTCCGGGCCGGAGAAAGAAAACGTGGATGGCCGAATACTCGTACGCGCTTTTATTCTTGGTGGAACTACTTGGGTGATGAGTCCCGTAATTAAACTGTTCTCCAATTTCATCTCCAATATTTTTTATATTAACATTTTTGTCCCTCATGATGCCCTTTGTCAATGGTTTATGAAAGGAAAAGGTGCAAGGATAAGCTAAATTGAAGGGGTAGATGAGAGGCAATCAGCGAGGCATGGATGGGATTCAACCTTAAGTTCTTTACGGGATACACTTTCGCGTTATCGAGTCATTTGGTATCGAATGAATAATTTTTTATAAAAGCTAGCTATTCAATTGTTCTTTTTTTATAAAAAAAAATTAGAGGCATTCGTCTAGATAGTTGATTACTATATACAAATTTTGGATGAAAGCATTGCAGTACATTGACACGATCATCTAGCATTGATTTCGAGTGAAATTTTGACCAAAGCAATAGCTTAGGAGTTGGGATGAGACATTTGATGAAATTCTATCAACCGTAGCATAACCAACGCATTTAATGTATTTATATTGTGCGTTTTGTTGATTAAATTATATGTTGACAATTTGTCATTAAAATTTACAGACCATCGGTAATTTGCTATCTAATGAACCTATTATTCAACATTTCTTAGTTGATAATTTTAATTTTTAGGACTTTGCTATGGTGTACTTGCAAGTCACCATAACTTGGACAAAATGGTCGACCTATTTGAATAAAACGGTCGACCTCTTCACTGATATGGTCGACCTATATGGACAAAATGGTCGACCAGATGTACTATTTTTCATTTGATATGTTCATCAAACGGTCAATCTCTTCCACTAAAAGGCACTATACAAAAAAATAGTCTACCGCTTCTATCAAGTGGTCTACCTCTTTCTCCAAGCAGTCCACCTCTTTCAATAATTGATCCACTTGATGAATCATTCCTAGTGATATCATCATATATAATTAGAGTCCAATAACAATAGGTATACTTTCTAGTAAGAGATTTAAAATTAGTACAAAGGCTGCAAACATAGGTGACAAGTTTCTCGAGTGAATGTTCTCCCGTATATTTGAAAAATATTACGCATATTTATTTCTTATGTTGCATTACTAGAAAAAAAATATTTTTATATTGTTGGTCTCCTATTGTCCATTATTTTCTTAATGTAAATATAAGGTAACTGTGTTATCTGGCCGACTGGTCGCCGAAAGCGGAGATCATTTACCGAAAGAGATATGTAAACCATTTTGCGGAATCAGTAGGCTGTTTTGGCGGAAGCGGTCTACCTCCTCAGCAGTTGTAAGTTGATGGTAAGTGTGTCACATGTCGAGTGACATACCACTTGGTGGAAGAGGTCGACCACTTAAGGTAGTTATGTCTTCAGGTCAACCCATTTCCAAAGCGATAGACCGGTTGATTCAAGTGGTATACCACTTGGTGGAAGAGGTTGACCACTTGGAGATAAGTGTGTCACCAGATCGACCCATTTATGGAATTGGTAGTCCGGATGACTCAAGTGGTAGACCGCTTGGTGGAAGAGGTTGACCGCTTGAAGGCAAGTGTGTCATTAGGTCGACCCATTTTCGGAAGTGGTAGACCGGATGACTCAAGTGGTAGACCACTTAGTGGAAGAGGTTGACCATTTTCTAGGAAAGTGGTCGACCACTTGAAGGAAGAGGTCAACCATTTTCTCCAAGTTACGGTGACTTGCAAGTCACCGTAGGCATACCCTAATCTTTATAATTACCACTTGTATTCAAATTCCTCACTTGTTTCCCCTGGTGCATGTCTATCACTACTTATGAAACCGCAACAAAGAGTGGGCAATGATGGATATTCGGATTCATGAGATTTTATTCGAATGTATGGAGTGACGGAGTAAGGAATCTGAATGAGGGGGCTGATTTGAACTGTGATAATTGTAGGAGGGGGCTAAGATCCTATCTTACTTTATTTCCTAAATTTATTACAGAATATACAGATAATTTTACCTGTATTTCAATTTTGAGGGAGGGGGTAATAACTCTTTTTGGCTTCAACCTAGCGCCTCCATATTATAGAGGATGCATTTTTTTTTGCTTAGACAGAATACATTTGTTAATGTGCCAGTAAATATACAAACGATGAATAATGTTTGCAAATATTTAACAATCAAGATGCTGGTAGAAAGTTGGCGCTCAATTTATTTTATTTACGGTCCATATTAATATATATTTTTGTTGATAAATATTATAATATCATCGCTCATTTCACAACCTGCTTAAGGAGATGTTGTCTGTAGTTGGCATCTTCCGCTTTAATCTCTTAATCAATCTCTTGAAACTCAATTATGAAGTTGTTGCCCTTCATAAGAAAAGTGTGTTCATGAATAAAACTATGATATATTCCAATTCTCGAATAAGAAAGGATTTGAATGAAAAAACAAAGGGCTTGGGGAACCGAATTGTGACGAAGTATTATTTTGAGGACTAAATGATAATACATAGTAACTTGGCGGCTGGTTTACATATATCTCTATTTTTTTGTTTTACCGTTTTTCATTTCTTTCTTCCTTTTCCCGGACTCCCTCGCTTTCTTTCTCTTTATCGAAGGCCGGGGCAGAGTCTCTCCCGCAACAGAAGAAAAGAAGAATAAAAAGGGAAAGAGAGAGAATCGGAGAGGGAGAAGAGAGAGAAAGTGGGAGGGGGGAGAGAGAGAGAAATCGAAAGGTTCACTTCTAACGTCAATGGCGGTTAGGGTTTTCAGCTGATTCGCGAAGCTCAATACTTTGCTACTTTCGTACACGTCCTCTCTCTCTTCGCCTGTCTTCCTTCGGTTCTTCGAACCCTAATTCGGGCGCCTTGCTGGTTTGATTGCGACTCCGCTTTCAGTATCGGGGTTGGTCTCACCTTTCGTGCCCTGGAAGTGGAACCTAGATGGGCGCGCAAGATAAATCCCAGGCGAGCTCCAATTCGCTGCAGGTATGCCCTCAACTCTGAAGATATTGTAGAATTTGAGCTGGAATTGGATTGGATACTAGCAAGTGAGCTGGGACTTGTGGATTGCAATTTGACGATTTTTGTTCCGTGGAGTCCACTATTGTATTGCTTGTGTTCACTCTGTAGCTGTGTTTATGCTGGATTATTTTTCTTCTTCTTTCCTCTACTCAAGACGTTCGGTTGAGGATTTCAGTTGTTTTTGCTCAAGTCAAGAAGCATGCTTATAGATTAGTCAATTGAATGAATGTTTAGATGGCATTACCTTCATATGAGTGCCTAGTAGCAGAGGGTGCCATCGCTCCGTCTTGCTCTTACAAGCATGGTGCAGCAGGCTAGTTATATGGCATTGACTCGTGCCCTTTCCGCTAACTTCATAGTCTAAGTCTATAATCGACAACCAACTGGGATGCTAGACAAGTTGGGTAGAGACAAAAATGAACAATTCCATCCTACAGTAATTGCAGCAAATTCCATGGGTTTATGGGAACACTAGGCGACAACTGTGTGTTTCGGCGAGTTACTGGATTTGGTAACTGATGTTTTTGTCTTCAATAGGTTGGGTAATTAGATACTAAGTACCGGCGATTTAGATGAAGGCTGTCTTCTTATTGGCTTAGAGGTTGTCCGTTATACCGAATGAAATCTTCCACAGATGGCGGTAGGGTGATGGAGGCATGCTATGTGTCTTTGATTCTTTTTTCATTCCTTTTACCCATTCAGAAAAAAAACTCATTGTTGCTCATCAGTCCAATTGTCATTCGTTTTCTTTAGTATGAATAAATTCTCGTGCTTATATGATATGTCAATTTGGATGTCTGGTTAATGGTCATGGTATTGGTGAAGTCTGAAAAGATTGCTGTGGTGGAATACTATAGGTTGCTGACGTTGCTGAATCCTTTCTCATTGATAGATAGTTATCAGCAAGAGTTGTTTTTTTACTGGAAATAGATTGTTCTTTCCAGAAAATGTTATCGAGTGACGATTCTTATTCTCGTACCTTGAATTTTGGATCTCAAGAGATGTTCATACCTTGAACCTCTAGCTTTGATCACAATTACCACAATTCATGAGTCTAGGTTCTTTCTGCAAGTGTTTTTTTCTGTTTAAATCACTAGCTTGTCGATTGTTTCCTATTGTGGATGCATCTAAGTGTTTCTCTTGGTGGTGTACCAATCTTATGTGCCGTTGCTTTGTGTGCATTGGTCTCCTAATATATTGTCTCCTCTGGTGTAGTTGGATACTACTTGCACTTGGCCTGTAGGCTTCTTGTTCGTAGAAGCATTTGTTGCTTTCAAATGGAGTTTTAATATATTAAATATGGGGCCTATGCAAAGACAATTTCTCATGTAGCACTTTTCTTTTGAGCTTTTTCTGTTTTAAGGTTTGGCAAAACTAATGTGAGCATATTCTCTCTGATAGGTGAAACCAAGGGATGCTATTTTGATATTATGGCTTGATGTTTGAGCTTGCTCTGTGTGAATCACCGCAGCATAATCTAAAATTTGCATATTCTATTGATTATAAAATTTTAATGGAATTTGTTATGCTTTGTGGCATTGTTTGAGAAGTGTTTGTGTGCACTTGATTCCTTTTTTCCTTCTTCTTCGGGATAAAAGATAAATGAAGTATTGGAATACGGATGATAAAGAATGCATAAGGTTCTAAGATTCAGAGGACCTGCAGGGTTGCAACCCGGGCGACAACTAACATTTTGGCCTAACTAATCTGAAAACCTCGAGTGCCATCGAGTAACCTGAGACTGTCTAACCAAACACTACAATCCCTTCTACTTTCTAGCTTATGAACCTAAAACCACCTAGCTGTCTGCTGGCAACTACTGCTGATGGGATTAGCCCTGTGTTTTTATAGGATTGTTGGTGTCTTGTTGCTCATGGTGCTTTAATGATTTATATAAACACTTATTGGCGGTTGTGGTAATCTATAGGATCAACAAGTATTATAATGATTTGAGTGTTTCATTTTGACTCATGATTTGCTCGTTATCTTTCACATTGTTTCCTGATCTTCTATGTGTAGTGGCATACTCCCTTCCCCGTTATTCTTGTTTAGGAAATGTTTACATCTGATTCTCCTGCTTCCGGCATCACTGGTTCATTTTTTGTGTAGATAAAGTTTCTTTGGCCTCTGCCTGATTTTCTTAATTATTTGTCGATCACAGAGGGTTAAGGTCTATCGCCTGAATGATGATGGGAAATGGGATGACCAGGGAACTGGGCATGTCAGCGTTGACTACTTGGAGGTTTGGTCAAGCCTATTTGAATCCTAAGTTTCTATATAATTGTTGTTATTTGTTTAATGTGGATTTTACGATATCAGAGATCAGAAGAGCTTGGTTTGTTTGTAATTGATGAAGAAGACAATGAGACACTTCTTTTACACCGGATCATGCCAGATGACATTTACAGAAAGCAAGAAGGTAAGACAGTGCTTGTCCTATCCATAGGAGTAATAAGTCTTGTAGCTGACGAAATTGCCCTTTTAGTATCACCTACATACTTGTTAGTCAAACAGTGTCTTTCTTAAACCTCTCAGATACAATAATTTCTTGGAGAGATCCCGAGTATTCGACGGAAATAGCCCTAAGCTTTCAAGAGACTGCTGGGTGCTCATACATATGGTACTGAATACTGCTTCTTGTCTACTTCTTTTCTTCCCCTATGGGTGGTTTTGGTATAACTTAACCAAAAGGGTAAATTTTTATACAGGGATCATATATGTAGTGTGCAGCGAAGCCTTCAGTTTAACAATCTCAATAGTAAGTTGTCCTTTTATCTGCTATAACCTTTATCTAAAGCTATCCAGTAAGTTGGTTATAAAGAAGCAGTCTTTCTGGAACTTTTGGTTTAGTTTAGGCTGTGATATGTCTCATCTTGTGGGATAAACCCAACCAATTTGCTGTTTGTCCTGTAAATGGCTTGATTCCTCTGTTCTAACTCGATCGTGCTTTAAACATTGTTGTTAATTCTGTCAATCCAGGTGGTATTAATACTTCTTTAAGGACCTGGATACCCTTTTCTCTGATGCTGATGTGAATCTTCTGTTTAACATAATCAGTCCCAGTTTGAGCACACCTAGTGGAAGTACAATGAAGATAAAATGTTAGCTCTAATCTCTTTTAGCTGTTCCCTTTCTTGTTTTTGGTTAGAGGGAATGAGATGGTTTAATAGGAGAAGAATTTTCTTGGATGTGGAAGTTGATTACTTTAAATTAGAACTTCAGGTTCAGTCACTCTTGCAGACTGCAGTAGATCTATGTGATTCTATTGCAGTCGTGCAGCTCGCTTTACATGACTGTTATAATTTATAAACAACGTGTGCTGCGACATGCCCCGTCTATCTAGTGGAACCTCACAACTGAAAACAAGATCTGTTTCTGCTTTGGGTAGCCCTTATGTATCCGGCTTTAATGGTCTGTCCTTGTTCTGACTAGATATATTAATGCTGGATTTCAAATGAATTCTGGTTGGATAATTTGTGTGATATATGGGTTAGGAGATGGAGTTTTAGGTGTAGAATCGTTGACAATCTTCCATGTCTGCAATCTATTTAGTTGTTACAGATGGTTTGGAATTCTTGTTAATGATTTGTCTGTGGTCCCAAAAAAGTTTGTTTATGTCTCCTAAAGTATCCTGAAGCATGAGAGGCATGCCAAGGCCTCATGAGGTGGCATGATGTTATTTTCTTGACTGGAATCCGTACTGTATTGTTGTATTCTGTTGGAACAGTTATGTTTGTCCCCTGATCTCTTCAACTGTGTACAGGTGAGACATTTCACAGCATGAACAGCGAGCTACGTGAATTGCCTGCTGTTGAACTGTCTACACTTCCTTTGATACTCAAGGTTCTGAATATGGTTACTATGGTTTTTCTTTATCATTACTTGGTGTAGGTCTTGGGCCGGTCTCTGTCGTTTCTTTTGTATTTTTTTCCTTTGTTCCTTCAGGGCAGAAAGCATATTAGTTTGACATGCTATTCTCTTCCTTTCCTTCCTGTCATGTCACTGGTTCAGTCTCAAGGATCATATAAATCCAGACCCTTTAGAATCCTGTATTCATGAACTTAGTTTGGTTCAGCTGTTATCTCCTCTGGTTTTCTTTGCAAGTTCCTGTCTTCTTTAGTTTTTGGTAGGAGAAAGCCAGGGAAAAAGAACCATTCGCTACATCCTATACCTCCGAGGTGTGGCCGGGTTAGCTGTGCCAATCCTTATGTACCCATCTTAGACAGCCCTTGAGGTTATAACTGTAAAATCCTTTTATGTGCTTAAGTCTCGGGATTGAATTTGTTTTCCCATATTAATTTCTTATGCCTGGTTATTGTTGAATTTCCTTCATTGACTCTAGTTGAAGTATATGCATACTAATTCTTTGATGGACGCTCCTAAGCTGAATAATTTTTTAACTTGCAGACAGTCTCTGAGAGTGGCATTGCGGATCAGATGAGGTTGCAAGAACTTATACTGAATGAAGTATGTTGCATATGTTATCTTCTGAATCCATATTTTGTTGGGTTTATGGTAGGCTTTTCCTGTTATATATGGATTATTAACAAGGGTGGTTACTTCTGCGCACTCACTTTTTTGGGTGCACTCAGTGCACCCGACTCTAAAAGTGTCCATAGTAAATCAAATTTTGAACTTTAATTAGTACTATCAATCTAATATGATGATACGACATAGAATCATAACAAATCAATCTATTACCCTAACCCCTTAACCTTCAATTTTGAATCACAACCCAAAATCCCAAATTGTAAACCTAAACCCTAACCCTAAATCCCCAAATTCTAAATCCTTCAAATTAAAGTAAATTTTGAATGATTTTTTTTTCAAATTCATGTGCTTCTGGTTCATAAAATCATAAGCAACAATTGATACCGTTTTGACATGAATCGTATGCTCATAATGACAATTATGAGGCAGTGCACCCAAAAAAGTGGGTGCACCGAATACACCACCTATTAACAAGTATGTTACTGGTACTTTATTCATATGCTGTATTTCTCAAATCTGAGATCACTTCTCAAGTTTGAAGGTGATCATTGGCCATTAGCTGCTAATCTTATATGTGAAAGTATTTGCTGATGTGATTGGTTCTGGGTAGTGTCGGGCAGCCTGTTTGATGTATCTGCATCAGGAAAGTTGCAGCTCTAATGCGATAACAAGATTACATTTGCATCTGATAAAAAGGATAGCATATTGTGGTCGCTTGAGCTGTATCATTTAGGTAGTATGCTCTTTTGTTGCTGTTGGTTTTGCTCGAAGGGTTGCTAGGAATTCCTGCTCTCTGGCATACCATCTGTTAATTGGCTTTCTATGAGATTGTTGGGCTTTATTTTGATAATTTGCTTTTTGCAACGCAGCCAGAGTTTTTCCGGAAGTTGATGGATCTTTTCCGGATCTGTGAAGACTTGGAAAATACGGACGGTCTTCACATGATTTTCAAAATAGTGAAAGGGATCAGTCAGTATTCTTTTTCTTATTTTGCCGACTTTTCCTTTATGGATTGGGTTTCTGCATACCCTTCATCAATTTATGTAGTTGGGTATTGTTGCTTGCAGTTTTGCTCAATAGTCCTCAAATTTTTGAAAAGATATTCGGAGATGAATTTATCATGGAAATCATTGGTGCTCTTGAGTGTAAGTTCTCCTGTAGCTAGGGTTTTACTTGTTAGCTTCTTCATTGTTTTACAATTAGAACTGTATATTGTATAGGTTTTTCTAGGTTAAAGTGGCTTTGCTTTTCCTGGTAAATTTTTTACTGGCTGTACTGTTATCTTGAAGAAATGCAATAAGCATAGGAAAGGAGCAATATTAGTCATGCATTTGATCGATTGAAATCATAAAAGATCGTGTTCATGGATCCAGTTCTGTAGATATTTGATTTATATGCACACTGAGATTGAGCATCTCCATTGTATGATTAAATGTTTGTATTTCCGATTAGCATGTATGCTTGTACTGGTTTTGTTATTCGGGAGAATTTTTATTCCATGTCCTGGGGAAATCTTCGATGTGAAATAATGAAGTGACGAGTTTCGAGTGTCCATGTTCTAGCAGCTGAGATGTTTACATCACTTATATACACTTTCCTTTGACAAATACTCTATACTCTCCATTGTCCATGTTACTTTCTCAAGTATTGACATTGCTATGTCAGTCAGTGATGGATTGTGGTATAGTTGGTTGCAATAACTATACAGGACTGAAGTACTAGTACTTTATTGCATAATTTGAAGTAAGCTGTCTGTTATTGGGCAGATGACCCTGACGTTCCTCGTGTTCAACATCATCGTGATTTCCTGAAAGAACATGTTATGTTTAAGGAGGTAATGTGCAATTAGGTTGCTGTTTCTTTTCTGTTGTTGGGTGGAGCATGGATTATGTTGTTAGCATAATGTTTAATTCCTTGTCCTAAGATAGAGCAAAATGATAACAATTGCTGCAAAGAGAGAAAAACATCAAGCACACTATATTTTAATGATAACTAGTAATATATCAGGGAACCGTTTATGCTTTATTACACTTGAGGAGTTCTCTTATATTTTCCTACTTGGCTGATCCATCGAATTTTTCTTTTCTTTTCATTAAGGCCATTCCTATTAAAGACACTGCTGTGCTGTCAAAAATACATCAGACATACCGAATTGGTTATTTAAAGGTTTGGTCTGGATTGATGTTGTATTATGGTTGTGGTTGCTTCTTTGTTGCAAGTCTGAACTCCTGCACTTTGTCTTCCAGGATGTTGTTTTGCCCAGAATATTGGATGAGGGAACTGTTGCAAATCTAAATTCCATAATCCATGGAAATAATGCTATTGTAAGAATCTGAAATGGACTGTTTACTTCTTCCGAGACTTTGAGGCCTGTCATTCTTTATTTACCTCAAATGATGGTATTTTCTTGTAGGTGGTGTCGTTGTTAAAGGATGATGGTACGTTTATTCATGAATTATTTGCAAGGTTGAAGTCACCAAGCACATCTGCAGAATCAAAGAAAAATCTGGTAAATACAGCCATATAGATATGTTCTTTTAACTGTGAATGATACTGCAACTAGGATATGGCATCCAACTATCGAGATGTCTCATTATGCAGCCTATAAATTAACCTGATATTTGCACGGGAATGTTGCCACTCATTTGACACTGTTTGGTCGGAATTCCAGTTTGAGAAGGGCAGTATGCCTGCAATAGATAAAATAATGGCGTCCTTCATAGGTGATTTCAGTATATGATTAGATATTTTATAATGGAAGCTTTTAAAGGGGAATAACAATAGCAACTGGTAGATTGTTGAAGACATGGTTATTTCTTATCATGATATGTGACTGTGTGCTCCTATCACTTGGAGCCTCACACTTGACTAACTCTATTTTGTTCCCTTTCTGAATAAACAGGTGTACTTCTTGCACGAGTTTTGCAGTTTAAGCAAGAGCTTGCAAATGGTCCAGCAGCTTCGGCTGTTTAGGTACGTGTACCTTGAGGTTTTCTAATTTGTATTCCTGTCCGTGACTGCGTGATTCACCGCAAATTATACTTGTTTCTCTTGCATTCAATTTTTTGCACAGGGATCTTGTCAACGAGGGTCTCTTTGATGTTGTCACTGATGCTTTGCAGAATGAGGACAAGAAACTTGTACTAACTGGGTAAATGGTGCTTTATTATATATTCGGTTGTCCTGTTTCATCCTTTATGTTTGTTTTTTAGGATGTATCTTGTATATATCTAATGGATAGTTATTATGATCGATGCAGGACAGATATCCTCATTCTTTTCCTGAATCAGGATCCAAACCTTTTGCGATCTTATGTTGTTAGGCAAGAAGGCATTACGCTTCTTGGTTTATTGGTATGTTAATCTATGAGTTGGAAGCTAGGCTGATGATGTTGAACTGTTGCTAGTGTGAAACTGTACCTGCAAAATATTGGTGGTGTTTCTTGATGGAGTAGTAGGAGACAGCGGCCTTCTCTTGTTTTTATAGGTTAAATGGTTTAGACCTCTCAGTACTGTAACAGTTGTGCTTTCAGTCTTATAACGAGCATAACTCTCTCTTGGTCTCCCCTCTTGGTTATTCTTATATAAATTTTGTTAGGGTCTTTGCTTTTAGGATCTGTAGGGTGTGCAACTGTGCATAAGTTTATAGTAAATGATATTTTAAGTTTCTTATGCTGTAAATTCTGAGCTCTTTTCTTACACATTTTTCTTGCAAGCTGAGTGGTGACGCTTTTCTGGAAGTAATTCAAACAGTGTTTACGTGCAGGTTAAAGGAATGCTAACAGATTTTGGAGAGGATATGCATTGCCAATTTCTCGAGATTCTTAGGAGTTTGTTAGATTCATATGCACTATCTGGAGCTCAGGTGGGTATCTATTTGATGCATATATGGGCTGCTAAGTTTGGTCCATATAGTCTTGCACTGCAACAGCGTGTCATCGCAGATCTACAAAATATTGTTTTCTTTTGTGCAGAGAGATAATATAATTGAGATTTTCTATGAGAAGCACTTGGTCCAGTTGATTGACGTGATAACCGAATCATGTCCTGCTTGTGGCACTTCTGAATCCGGGGGCACATCTTCGGTAGAAGTTGGGAAACAAAATGGCGTGAAGCCAGAGATACTCTCCAGCATATGTGAATTGCTATGCTTTTGTGTTCTTCACCATCCATATAGGATAAAGTAAATATCCCTCGTGGCTATGTTGTTTCAGAAATTTCTTCAGTTGATTAGTACAACAGAATGTGCTGACACCCTGTTGTGTCATGCCTTTTTATGTGTGCAGGTGTAACTTTCTTCTTAATAACGTTATAGATAAAGTTTTGTTTCTAACTCGGAGGAAGGAAAAATACCTAGTAGTAGCTGCTATTCGGTTTATCCGGACCATTCTTTCTCGGCATGTAAGTTGCAGGGTTTAGACATTGTTCAGTTAGTCACAGTGCAATATATTAATTGGAATGTGGCCGCCTTTTCTTAAATGGCAGGATGAGCACCTGATAAATCATTTTGTCAAGAACAACCTTCTCAAGCCAATTGTTGATGTTTTTGCAAGCAACGGAAATCGCTATAATCTGCTGAACTCTGCAGTTTTGGAGCTTTTTGAGTATATCCGTAAGGTGGGTGGTTAAATGTTTTGGTAGTGACTAATGGTTCATTTTCCAGAGCGAGCATTTTATTTATCTTGTTTGATTGATACAGGAAAACTTGAAACTATTGGTCAAGTACATAGTCGATTCATTCTGGAATGAGTTGGTAAACTTTGAGCACTTGACCTCCATTCAGTCTCTGAAAGTCAAGTATGAGCAGGTATTTTTTTTTATAATGGTGAAAATAATATGAGCAGATATGCAATGCTCCATTCACAGCAAGACTACGCTGCTGCGAGTGTTTGTTCCTTTTCCACAGTGCTGACGTGATGTTCATGCAGTACTTAGAGAATTCTGGGACGAGGAACACTGGTAGTATCTCAGACCCGAGGAAAAGGGGGGATGAGCGTGCTTTAGAAAAAGAAGAGGAAGATTACTTTAACGAGGACAGGTAAGTCTGCCCTCGGACATTTATTTGAGTTATCAGCTTCCTTTGATTCAACTGGTGTGAGGCCTAGTGGACTTGTCAATAGAAATGAAGTGGAAGTATATGTGAAAACGATACTTAAACAAGCAAAAGAAGAAAAATACCAGTTTTGTCCGCGTAAACTTTTAGAGTCTTATTGAAGGGAAATGTAGAAAAGATAAAGCTGAGGGATCCACACGCTTTAAAATTAGATTTCGAAGTGGATGTAAGAAGTTAAAAATTCATTTGAAAAGTTGGTTATGTGATCCAATCGAGGCACCAACACAGGTGCCAATTGGTTATAATCGATTGAATCATCTCCACCTTTTGTAGAGCATCTTTTCTGACTTGATTCTGAAAAATTGATCAGCGAGGAAGAGGACACTGCATCTGCATCACAGACGACAAAAAGAGCACAAAGGCAACAACCGTCATTGTCCAATGGCATTGCTGCAAGGCACCCAGCCTCAAGGTATGATTATTTACTTTATTATACACTTTTAAACTAATTACCTAAGGCATGTCTCCATTTTAACTTTTGAATTTGTAGTCCAAGACCTGGGGCTGGACTCGTTGACTATGAGGATGACGAGGATGACGAGGACTACAGACCGCCACCCCGAAAGCAACCCGAAACATCCGAGGAGGATGAAGGGATGATGGAGTCTCTCAGATTGAAGCGTAAGTTGCCGCCTTCAAAGGAGAGGGATCCAGCCGAGGTATCAAAGAAGCAGCGCTTGAGCAAGACCTCCAAGACTAGGGATAGTGTATTTGCTGTTTTGTGCTCGACCCTCAGTCAGGCAGTGCTACCCGGGAAGAAGAGCACTACAGATGGTGTTCGTAAATCTGCAGCCCCTGCTGCAGCTGCCTCCCCACGTACTTCAGATGAGACCATCGAAGGAGATAATCAAGGAACTGAGCCGTCTCCTGTTTCTAGAGGGTGCCCTCCTGGTAGTAAGAGCAATAGTGACTTGGTTGAGGGAAATGAGAATGAGAAGGAAGTTATTGGGTTGTCCAGAAGCTGTTCGGCTGACTGTGTGAGCAGCAGTCCATCGGAAGGTAGTAGGCAGTTAAACGGCGAGGATGCCCCACTGATACCTCCAAAGTCATCACCGGAAATGGCCGGTAATGGATCTTGAAAGTGCCATTTGGGATTTCTAGATGTTTTAACTCCCTGTCTCGTTGCATATTTTATAGACTGATGGCGGAGGGCTGTGGCACATATCGTTTACAGGCTAGTAAAACTTAACCCTAAAGGGCGAGGGGCTTGGATGGCTTTCATCAATGGCCGGGAGGAGGAGAGTGAGTTTGTATAGCTGCCTGAAGGTTATTAGCGTACGAGCATGGTGGAAACCTTAGGCCTCTGGAAAATTCCCCTTCCAACTGCTGCTGGCCCTGCTTGCTGTCTCCCCGATCGATTGTTTGTTGCTTTTATGAACACGATCTACTTGGTGAATTTTTCTTTTCGTGCTCGTTCCTTGAAATAGCTTTAGTTGGTTTTTACTCCCATCCGTTGTTTTAAGCCTTGTTGGTTCTAGGGTAGAATGTGGGAAAGCATAGGGCATGTAAAAAACTGTATGCCTGTGTTTCCTTTTCTGTTTCTTGTTCAGTTTTGTGACGGGGAGGGGTTTTGATTTGTACTGTATACTACAAAACGAGGAACAAGGCTTTCTAGCGAGCTGAGTTGGGTTGGGGGTAGAAACAGAGGCCAGGCCGTGTTTTTTCTCAGTTGTAGCAGAATGTTGGAACACAGAATCAGTCAGTGTTACTGTAAATGTGAAATAACTCTTAATTTGCAGTAATAGGCCGAGAAATCTCCCTTGTTATCTTCAGACCAACCAATACGGTTTGTGTTTTGCTTCTCATAGGTACATTTCGAGCTAACGTTGAAGCTTCCATTGTTAGACAACGTTTCGTATTAGAAAAGACAGAGTCGAGATCTTCAAGTTGAAAACCAGCGGTGGTATAGTACAAATGTACAATAAGCTTTTCATTTGCAGGAGTTGCTCCCTTCATTTGGCCTACAGCCATCCTGGTTCCATTTTACTATAAAGGAACAACAATATCCAAATCTCCGCATTCTTTTTGTTCTTTTTTAATTTCTGTGCAAAGAACGGGATTTGACACACGTGGATCCTTGCCAACGCCGTGAAGTACGGGGAAAGCATCCACGTAAGTGACCACGTGTCGCGTCCTCTTGCAACCTTGCATGCACGTATGCCACTCCGCTCTCGCCAAGAGAAGCTATAACGCAAACACTTCTCCTCCACCCAGATTGTTTGCACCGTGTGACCGCTTCCAAATCTTCTGCTCACATTTGCATACCAGCTTTCTGAGTTTGAGCACACGACTGTTACGGCAAGAAAATGGGCAGCAACTATGATCTGAAGCCGACGTCTTCCACCTCTTACAGCGCGCAGCTCGGCAAGGGAGGGCCGCTGATCGACCTCGGCCACCCGTTGCTCAACCGCATCGCCGATAGCTTCATCAAGGCCGCTGGGGTAAGCGCGCGCGTAAAAACGAACATCTCGAAATCTTACCGATAATCGGTCTCTTTAGACCACATGAGATCGGATTCAAGTAACTGAATTGTACCTTCGTTGGGTTCTCTGTTTGTGCCACAGATCGGTGTAGTCCAGGCGGTGTCGCGGGAGGCTTGTTTCACCGTTCTAGATGGTATGCATATAACGCGAATCTCGATTTGTAGAATGTGAGATGTATATACATGGGTGGTGTTGATTGTGTGGGATGATTGATTTGATTGCATCAGGAATTAATGGAGGTGGTGGTTCGGAAGGCCTCCCGCCTGAGATCACCTCGACCGGTGCCAAGAAACGCCACCGATTCAATGCTCTCCACGGTACTAATTCACGTTTCGGAGCGTGATCTTGTGAATTTGTATGCCCAAATGGTTGCATCATCTTTGTCTTGTGGTAATTTTTTCTTGCAGGTGAAACAAACAACAAAAGCCTTGAAGCCATGGTAATTGACTTTCCCTTTCCTTTACGCTTTTTACCATGCTTTTCTACAGTTCAATCACTCTGCTTATGGAGACTGAAAAATCCATTGCTGTTCTTGATGTGTGTATTAGGTGAAGAACACGGGGAAAGAATCTCTACAATGGGGTAAATCTTACTCGTCGTCGTGCCATCCCGAGTTCCATTCTCTTAGTTAAATGTAGTGATGATCACTCTGAATTTTTGCCCACGATGTGGACAGGCCTGGCTGCCGGTGTGTACTCGGGACTGACCTACGGATTGCAGGAAGCCCGCGGGTCTCACGATTGGGTAATGATTCAGACTGATTCAACATGTCCTTTGTAGAAAGGATTAATGCTTACTGTGGTTCATGTCTGTTTGATGCATACCAATTCATGTTCATTTGTCGTCGCCCAGCAAAACAGCGCGGTGGCTGGTGCTATAACTGGACTGGCTGTCGCCCTTACGGCCGAGGATCCTTCACACGAGCAGATTGTGCAGTGCGCGGTCACTGGAGCAGCTATCTCGGCGGCTGCCAACCTTCTTTCGGGTATATTTTGAAGGTTTGGACGGAGGAACGAGCACCTACTTGCTGCATCTTGTGCTTGGTAGTAGTACTAGTAGTCAGTTGTTTTCATAGATGAAGATTAGTAGTTTGTATTTTGGTTTAGGCTCTGCCGGGATTAGATTTCGGCCCTGGCTCTTCTTTTCTGGACATGAACAGCTATGTTTGTTTTTTTTTTTTCCTGCCTCTTTGTACGTCTGCTCAAGCTGTAAATCAGCATGTCCAGGACAGAGTTCATAATGGTTTTTGTTTAAGACTATTATGATATTGTCAGCTGGAAAAGATTGCAATCCGATCAAATCAAACGGATTAATTTCGAAAGTATGTTAACTAATTATCATGAGAACGCATAAACATCAATCAAGAGGATACAAATCATTGAAATCAATGAAGTAATGGCAGTCTCCAGTATCCTGATTGATTTCTTGACTTGATCATACCTTCTACAACAAACTTCCTAATGAATTGGCGCAGAATGAATTCATTCAAATTCTGATACCTCACCAATCAAAATGATAATTGGGGGAAATGATGCACATTGAGATGCCAATATTTGTGGTCTTAGTTCTTACATTTTTGCATACTCGCCATGATGCACAAGTACATGAATAATAATAAAAATAATATGACTCAATTGGTCTTGCGTTCTACTTTTGTTAGTAATTAGTGACTCTAAAAATCTTGATCCATGGGATTAATTACGGGCGTAACATCTAACTGTCTGTGGTGTTGCCTTCTAATCACTTGCTTAACTTAGGATGCCCAATGAAGAAAATAAACTAATCTCGTTGTGGAGCAACGGTTAGACCATGACTAGTGTCTAGTAAGAAACCCGGCCTTCTAAAATATTTTTTGTTTTTCTTTAGTAGTGGTGTATTTCTTTCTATTGCATAGGATAGAAGTAACGAAATAGATTGTTAACTCTAATTTGTTTTTCACAAGTGAGGAAAAATAATGATATAGTAAAGATTGATATATAAAAATCAAATACTTCGATTAGCTTTTATATTATTATAACCCCTTTATGAAATATAATACTAAAGTAAGCATCGAAAAGAAATAAAATAAAGTGATCATTTCACATATTTACTTCAAATTTTGATATACATAAACATGGAACTCTCCGCCCAACGGACCGGACCCGTATCTAATAACCTATAATACTAATTTTAGATGAGTTTGGATTTGTGACCACCATAAAAGAAATACTATTATACACAAAACTCCAGTTATGGATCCAAAAGCAAGGTTGTCAACCACTCAACTTGGTTTAGCCCATTGACCCGGTCGAGTAAGTGAGTTGAGAGTTAATGGGCCGACCGTTTTAGCCCAGTTTAGTCTGAATATATGAAAAAAGTCATTATATTGTTCATATATTTATAAATTTTATCAAAACTTATCTAACATATGAGTAATAATATATAACATTACACCAAAATAACATGTCGTGTTTGGATCCAACATATAGTGGAAATTCACACACTTATATAACATCAATATTCAAATGTTCAACTTAGAATTCCAAAAATTGGGTTAAGCGAAGAGGAAAACCAAAATATAGGCGCATTTCACAAATCAAAAGAAAAAATAACACTGTTTGACCTTCAATCTGGTACCTCACAATGGGTCGACCCGACGGGTGTGTGTAACCCATTTTTCTCACCAGACCATGATCAAATCGGGTCGACCGATAAATCGACCCGTGGTTGAAAACCTTGAATTCAAACGGAAATGGAAAAAGAGGAACGGAAAAAATGAAAAGAAATAAATAACTAATTCATTGTCGAGACTCCAAATGGCTTTTACAAAAAAGATAGTGATTAAACTATGTAAGAAAAGTGATTAAAAGAAAGTGTGGGGGACGTGGGCAGTGGGGCTGTAAAAGAAGGAATTTATAGTTATCACATGTTCAAAAAGAAGAAACCGCTAGCAATTTTATGCGAAATCGGTAAGAGGGGAAGTGCCAAATTAACCCTTCCGATACATACGGTTTGATCAGTAGAATCTGACGTGGCAAACACTTTTTATTGACATTGGCTTATATGTTTTTGTAGATTGATGGACTTTATTCCCTAGCAACTCTACTCAGTGGGCCTGGGCCAGGGCCAGGGCCAAAAGCCCACAACAAACAACTCCGCCTTGGCGGTGCAGCCTTTACTTTTGTCGCGTTTACCTCCAAATCTCAATTTCCGTTCTCCGTCGGGAAATCCAATTCACATTCCGTCTCTCTCCGCTTCAAAACAAACCAGTCTTCCGCCTTCTGTCTTCCTTTTGAATGCTTCTCGCTCGCTCGATCTCCTAGTAAGCTCCTCTGCCCCCCTCTTCTTCTCTCTACACATCCCGTGTCCTCAGCTTGTTCTTGAATCTCCATAGTTGTTATCAGATTCTCTCTTTCAAGTTCTGTCGCAAGCGAGAACGGGTGCGTCTCATTAGAAATTTAGGGTTCTTGCTGTGTTCTTTGGTTTGCCCCGCGGAATCGATGATTTCATGATTTCTGTTTCTGGGTAGTTGCAATTTCAGATTTTGTGTTGTAAGATCTCCCGTTTCTTTTCTGTCTCTGCCGCTAAGATCAGTTGTCTTCGGTTCTTGATCGAGCTAGGTTTTCAATTAGATTGATTTCTGACTATTAGGGGACTGGCTGCAGGTATCTGAAAGTTTGACGGTGTGTTGAGTAGCACTGCAACGATGGCGGATAAGAAAGAGGAGAAATCTCAGGTGGCGGCAGACCGAATAAAAGCCGCAGCCTTGAGCGCAGCGAAGGGTCTGAGTCGAGCCCAGGCCGAAAGGGCAGCCACCGCTGCTGCCCGCAACGTGAACGCTTATGGTCAGAAGGAAGAAGGGCCCAGCAGATGGCAGGAGAAGAGGGAAGCCAAGAGGCAGATGTACTTGATGAGTACAGAGAAGCAAGTTCGATTGGGTGAGAGGAAAGACATCAAGTCCTCCATGACTGCAGCTGGGGGCACAGCGCAATGCCAGAAGTGTTTCCAAGCCGGGCACTGGACGTTCGAGTGCAAGAACGAGAGGGTTTACATGGCGCGACCGTCCAGAACCCAGCAGTTGAAGAACCCCAAGTTGAAGATGAAGGTTTCGATATCTTACGATTTGGAAGACCTGCCTGAAACTAAAGAGGAAGAAGAGAAGGGGAAGGGAAAGGGAAAGGGTAAGAAGGTGGAGAAGAAGAAGAGCAAGAGGAAGCATAGGTCGGATTCTGACTCCAGTGATAGCGAGGCTTCTGTTTTCGAGACTGATAGTGAGTCCTCATCGGTTACTGGTTCGGAATCTTCGTCCGCGGAGAGTAGTTCGGAGGATTCCAGTTCGTCGTCTGATTCGGAGGAAGAGAAGAGGCGGAGGAGGAGGAAGAAGAAGCAGAAGATGAGATCGAGGCGTAGGAGGTACAGCTCGTCCTCGGAGTCTTCTGATTCCGACTCGGGTTCGGAGTCGGATTCTGAGGAGGATAGGAGCAGCAAACGGAAGAAGAAACCCAGCAGAAAGCGTTGAAGAAAATGTGCAAGTGCCCGGTGGAGCTTGTGATGTGAGATACAGATTTTAGCTTGTGCTGTTACTCTCCTTGAAATAAGTTTGTAGACTAGTCCTCTCTTCATTTGAATGTTGTTAACCTTTCGGTGTTCTGTATGAATCCACATTAGCTGTTTGAACTTTTGAATCTGATATTGTTGTTCTGGTCTGTTCTGTTCTGTTCTGTTCCTTTGCTAGTGTTTGTGAATTTGGAGGCACCAGTCAGTTTGGTGAAAGCTTATGAGCTTCTCGCCTTTTGATCTTCTTCCATTTATCCCACACTTTCCTGTATCTGTTACTGCTATTTATTTATAGTCTCATCAATGTTTGTATTCAGAAATTTTTTGAGCAGAACCTCCTGGTTTCGTGTAGTAAATCTTTTGAGCAGTATCTGCTGCTGCTGCTGCTTGACCAGAACCTCCTGGTTTCGTGAAGTAGACTTGCAGAAGTTCAGCAAAGGGAGTTTACCATTCCATTAGGTTTTTTGGGCCCGTTCTGATGTTTGTGCTGATGAATTGGACCTGTTATTGTGGGCCCGAATTTGGAAGCGCAGCGATGGTAAAAGAAACTTGTCGACTGTGTTAGTGTTAGCGTAGTCAGTACTCTACTCTCACATTACAGATTACTCCCAGTCCCACTCGACGGAGGCGAAGAACCTCTCCCGTCCCGCCAAAACGCTCGCTTCTCTTCTCTTCGTGTCTCTGCAACTCCAGAAGGTCTGCAAAGATGAGTACCATGAAATTCTGCCGCGAGTGGTAAGATCTTGGACCTCTCCTTCGTTTCGCTTCTCCCTCTTCTCTCTTGGCTTCTTCATTCTCGCTAGCAGAAACCGTGGTTGAGTTTTTTTTTTCCTTCGTCTCTGTAATTTGTTTACGCAGCAACAACATTCTTTACCCGAAGGAGGACAGGGAGCAGAAGATGCTCCTCTACGCTTGCCGGAACTGCGACCACCAGGTACGGACTCCACGATCCTCCTTCGTCTCTCGTTTTCGCGCCTATTTATGTTCCGCCCGCGCCCAGTGTGGAAAGATTAGGGTTTACGGCTGTTCGATTTAGAGGTAAATGTGTTGCTTGAGAGGTGTTTCAGATGTGATAATGCTGGTGAAATTTGGTTGAAAGAAACAGCGGAGAGTATGTTGGCCGTGTGCTGCGTTAGAATGCTGAAGGAGTTGCTCCTACATTTTGTTCTAGGTTGAAAAGAGAATAGGAGATGTGCGGTTGTGGTTTTTGTTGCATTTCTACTGTTAAAATTTGGCTCAAGAACCCTAATTGCTTGGCCTGTCTATTTAGCTACGATTTTTCTGAGCTCTGTTACGTTGTGAGCATGAAGGAAATCTATGTGAGCTTTCATTATGAAAGCAAGAGCAGATGTTGGCTATGTACTTCGTGAAAGCGGTGCAGAAGTTTCTCCTTAACTGTTTTCTAATCTGAATGCGGAAGAGTTGTTTGTTTCAACTTGCTTTTGAATTCTCTTTCCTGTTTTAACTTCCTTTGCTATCAGTTTACCTTTAATTGTTCCATAGCCATCACTCTCACAGACTGTCATATGGACAAGGTATAACACTTCAGCCATTACTGCATGTAACCAGAGGATGCTTCCTTGGAAATTGGCATATTTTGTAGTTTCTTGTTTATCCCTTTAGAATGATGTTAGCTGCTTTGGTATTATTACAATCTCACTGTGTATGAGAAATTTGGATGTGTTTACTCAGATAAATGTTATGCTTTGAACATGTTGCAGGAAGTTGCTGAGAACTACTGCGTGTATAGAAATGAGGTGCATCACTCTGCAGCAGAACGGACCCAGGTATTGCAAGATGTAGCTGCTGATCCTACTCTTCCTCGCACTAAAGATGTTCAATGTGCTGAGTGTAAGCATCATGAAGCTGTGTTTTTCCAGGTTAGTTTTTTTATCTTGACTATGGTTCCATGAATTTGTTCAGAAACCATAACGGTTTAGTTGCTTTCTTGTAGTTTCCTTTTCTCTATCGTTGTTCCTATGGATGTGTCTAAAATATTAACTGACTGGTGTGCTTAAGAGTGCCTTAAGTCTTTACATGTCTACACAGGCATTAAAGAACAAGGAAAATCTGTTATTACGTTAAAGTTGACTTGCGAGTTGCGTCTGTGCAACTTGCAATCCAATATGTAAAATGATTGCTTCATGAACACCATATTCTCTATTGGAAATCACGTAACTGAGCTGAATTACTGCGTACCGACTTCAACACATTAGACACGTCGGCCATGTGTTATCCATCCAAGTGAATTGGGATGATTATGTTTCCAAATTAAAAAAGAGGTGGGAGGAATATTGGGATTGCTTGTTTTCTGTCTGGTGGTTAAATATTCATTTTTTTCCCTGTGCATCCACTTCTCTATATATTCCATTCGCCTTCTTTTCTGAAGAATTTGTAGATAATAATTACACTGCTGTCGTCAGTTTTCAGGCTACTTTTCTCTTGATTGAGGCCTAAAAGTGTAGCTAGGAGGTGTTGCACGTCTTTGCTGTCTGAGTGGGTACTTTGAGTACGTTAGGTTACTTTGTCTAGGCCACTTACAGTCCATAGGGAAGAGGATACACTTCACGACCAACATACTTCTATTGTCTCAGCCACTTAAAAGTCCACTTACACGATCGAAGATGCTCAAATTCCTGATGCTAGTTGCATCTGTTTAGTCTTATTTAAGTTGCTCAAATTCCATGCTCTGCATCCTATTTTCAGATGCGCTCGTCGTTACCAAATAAAATGAAAGGAGTGCACGAAAGGAGCTCTTATCTTATGCTTGTCTGTTAATTGCTATACTGTTATATCTACACCTTTCGTAGGATGCATTTGCTGTAGAGATTTATCGTTCTGTGACGTGCTAATGGGTGCCTTAAAGCATCTTACAAAGTGATAATGGTGTTGTACATAATATATTGGTATGAAATTAAACTGCTGAAAAATCTCAATGCAGGCAACGGCCAGAGGAGAGGAAGGTATGACGCTGTTCTTCGTCTGTTGCAACCCAAATTGTGGGCATCGCTGGAGAGATTGAGGCTCTGGGAAGGATTGCGGTCCATGGTGTGTATCCGATATTAGGCTTGCTGTGGAGTTCCAAGAGTTTGTGGCTACGAAGTTCTGCCATCTAACAACAGCCGTGCGGAATGTATTCTATTTCTAGTGTAGGGTGTGACGATTTGTAGTGTTTTAGTGTGTTCAGTGGCTTTGATGGGCCAGAAATGGGCTCAGAGATGTCCAATTCTGAATTTTTAGGCCCACTATATATATGCCTTTTCAGTGTTTGACAAGGGCTTACAGAAGGCCATAATCCATCTTGGACGTTGATGCACTGCTTCACCCTTTCAACCATAGTTAAGCAAGGGAGCTTCTCTTTGCTACACTTTGCAGTTTCACAAACCACAAAAAATGTAAGAAACAATACTCAACCATCCTTTGAAAAGTAAAAATTACCAATGAAAGAGGAAACAGCTAAAGCCAAGTGGCTTTATTGGCTTACATCTTTTGTATCCTAAACTGGCAATTCGATCGTACTTCAGCCATAGCGCATCTAGATATCGAGACTGCACGAAGCATTCATAAAGATATCATAAAGAAGAGGTGGCTAAATATGACAATTCCACATATCTGTGGATCTATAGACTCGAACTCGGTTGGGGAAACAGGAACTCAAACATGATGGTAGAAGTGTCAACACTTATAGCATCTGGATTCTGGATAGTTCCAAAAGTTGAACCTAACATAAGAAATCTAGAAGGAGAATATATTCATGGGGGAAACCTTGATCAAGAACTAAAAGAGATACATCAACGTGCAACCACACACCAAGATGCACTGAGCACGTCAAGAGTGACACTAGAACAAAGCCGCAAGTAAGACCCGTGGCGCACACTAAACATGATCCGGGCTGAAAGTTCATTGGGGCCCTTAAAATTTTAACAACACTAAAATTTGTGTATATAATGAATTTTGAGTTGACTGGAGTCCTTACGTGAGCTAATATCGACGTGGGATATTGGATTCTAAACTTGAAAAAATCATATACTAAACCATGTCTATCTAAAGAGTTTTGTTGCCTCGTTTTTCGTCACTACCTCTCTCTGCCACTGGTTAGGAAGTCCCGCCGCGACTTGAGAGTTACATTCCGAGCAAACATAGTCAATACCATTCGCAGCATTCTCCGCAGCTTCATCCCTTGTCATGCCTACACAAGCTGGATGGAACCTACAAAGTAGTGCGGGCGTGAGCAAACAAGAATTTATTATGGATTCAACTCAGTGACGTGGTTCATGACTGGTTTATTATTTTCTATTACAGAAGGACATGCATTTTTCTATGTTCTATCGACTGAAAAAACTTGGATGAGATGGGAGCAACTGCACAACTCCACTTGATTAATAAAAAGCTAGAAACAGAATTTGTACATGCGGCCTGTTGAATTCAAGATCATTACTTAACATAAAGGACGCTTGGATGACATCCATCAACTTTCTCTTCACTTTCTATGATACATAATCCCCTATTATATACTGTAAGTTCCTTCCCTTTTGGCGCAATTGTTATCACTCTAAGTACAACTCTATTTCAGTTTCTCATGGCCGCCCATTTCAACTGACATCTTGCTAAGCTACCATGCCAAGCTACCAACACACTACTAGCAGGCATACGATTCCAGAATGGCTTTAACCACGTATGATAATAATGTAAGCCATTGAAAAAGCTATAAAACATATACTGAAATGTAATCGCAAAAGGAAGCAAACTTACAATTCACCGCAGTCTTTGCATTCCATCATAGGAACGTCCGGGTTCCACGGCATTTCACAGAGGCAAATCCTGAGATCATGCAAGCGAGCGCGGATTAAGAAACCTACAACAGAAGAAGAAGGAGTAAATGCGGAGGGTCATCCACCGCCGGGGCCGGGGTGAGCTATGCGACCAGAAGGACGATGGTAGTAGAAACGCCAGAAGTAATCTTCTTCACCCGCATTCTTGAACTCGAAATACTCCTCAGCAGAGTGAACGGTGACCTTCGATTCGATGCTAGTTACGCAACGAATCTCTGTGGACTCGGCGAGGAAGAGTTCCCTTTTCGAAATGAAGGGCAGGATTGCTAGTCTGGTATCCCGGGAGCGGATGTAGAACCGGGCATTGAAATAAACACCCTTTGAGGTTTGAAAGAGGCGTTCGATTTTAGCCGCGCCAAATTTCATCTGGACGTTGTCGCCGACTGGGTGAAATGCAAGCAAGAGAGATTAATCAAACCCGCCATTGATTGCTCGGGCATGGAATGGAGAAGGGAAAGGAGAAAAATATACCTTTCACGGTTAGGCGGGGAAACAGACTAATGGTGTACGATCTCAGGTCCTTCTCGTCAGCAGCAGCAGCATTAGCTTCGGGCTTTTTGTTCCCGATCGGTACGCCTCCTCGCCCGGTTCCAGCCATGGATGGAGATATGCGGATTGGAGATGGCTGCTCTCTGCTCGAGGAAGAACAACACTCGAAAGAGAACCCTTGGGGTTTTTGGTCTGGATTTCAGAGAGCCTGCTGCGAATGTCTGTGGGCTAGGCCCGTGTTGTTGGTAATTTTCGATTGACAGTGTCTTTGAGAGCTATAGTTTGATTACGAGCTACCTAATCTATGATTCCGGAATGAGTATGGTTCTTCTCCTAAACCACATAGGCAGAAGGGTTGTCTGGATTGTTTATGTGAGGAGGGAATTCAGGACCTAAAGGGCCAAAGTGGCTCAGCCTACAAGAGTGAGATGAGAGTATCTGCTTTCCAACAACCTGCCAGTTTCTTATCAATACGATCAAGAATATACCGATAGGTGTCTTTGCTAACTCAACCGTGGATCACTGGCACACCCAGGGGTCTTGCGTGGTGGAGATGCCCATAATTTTGAGCCGCAGGTACACGGAGTATTACCAAAGAAAAAGATCACACAAAGTTGAAGCTTCAAAAAGTGGATTCTGACCCCCAGAATTCACAATTAAAATCATCTAAGGGGTCGTTTGGAGAATGGGATTTAGGTCGTGGATTCATTGAATCCGTAGATTTTGTAGAAAGTTATGTTTTTTTGTTGTTTTTTTGTATTGTGGATTTGAGCTTTAGAGATTTCAAATCTCTAAAATATACGGATATCAAATCTCTCATAATCAGAGAGATTCTATATCTTGATTTGTGAGATTTTTTTCCTCCTACTTTTTCTTTGTTTTATTTATTTATCATATTAAATATATTTATCAACAAAGTTTTTAATATTTCTTGAACTACTATAATTTTTTATTACGGATAAACACGTTATTTAATATAAAAATATTTTTTATTATTTTTATTGAATGTTAACAATCACAGTTACCAAACAATAAACATTTTAAAATCTATTTTCAACAATCCGAAGAATTAAAATCTTTACAGTGTTGACAATCTATAGATTTAAACTCATATTCTCCAAACTACACCTTAAATCATCTGCAAAAGTGGATTCTGACCCCAATTTCGTGGCTTTGATGGGCCAGACATGGGCTCAGAGAAATCTACTAGTGAATTTTGAGACCCACTACCTACCTTTTCAGGGAGGGAGTTGAAAGATTTCATACTATAAATGACACTTTGCAAAGTTCGAGTAGATTCAATCAAGTCTAATATTAATATCTTGATATCGAGCCCCTATAATACCCTGGCTTGGAAACAAAAGAATTATTAAGTAAACCCACGAAGAATCGCCCATTAGGACGAAAATTAAAGACCAAAACAGAACATTTCACTGTTTATCTGGCGACTGACATTCGCCTAAAGCTGACATTCATGATATTCAGGCACAATGCGTTCTTAATATGGCTCTTATTTCCTTTGAACTTGCAACTTAGGCGACATCAAGACAGCAACTTTTTGAAGAGTTAAAACCAGCAAATGAATCAGCCTGAGGATCACCTGATTGTAAAGCATGTAAGCTCTTGTCAATTCTGTGTTAGATGTGTTAGTATAGCAGAACTTACCTGTGGTGTGGTGCATCTGATGGCAGGAGCAGTTACCGGCTGAAATCTTCCGCTTTTTGTGATCTTCCATAGAAGAACTCTCCGCCTAATACTATGTCACCTCGCTTCCATCAACCTAAGGCATCCCTCAGGAACTAAAGGAGTACATTGATCTAATCCTCAAAACTGGATAAAAAGTCTCCCCATTAAAACAAATCATAAATTAGAACCAAAAATTTTTATCTACAGAAGTGAAAGAAAGTAAAGACCTAGCGCTGGCTGTTCCTCCTGTATCTACCCTAATGTCTTCTTTAACCAGTCCGAAAGGCGACCCATTTTTGTGGAGTACTCTGGATTCTTTCCAAAGTAAGTTTTGGCATTTGACAACATGACTTGAATATCATGCTGAAATGCCTCCAAACTTCGGTAGTAGTTGTTTTCCAACCTTGCCTTGATTAACCCAAGAGAAACGGGAACCGGGAACCTGGGGAAACGGTTTTGCAATATGGTCACAAAATAATTCGAAGCAGTAGACACCAATCTAACTGATATTGATCTGAGATTTAGCTTCTCCACAATTATAATGGCAGAGGAACATAAATATATGCGGATACTGGTAAAAAGAACTTACATGTTTATGAATTTGGATTTCTGCGCTGTCTCACTCAGCTTTCGAACACCAAATGGATCCTGAAACATTTACAAAGCAATGAGAAAACCGTCAAGATGCAGAAAGAATTAGATCAAGCCCTATTAGCTCTCTTCCAGCATGACTAACCTTTGTTTTAGTCCCTGATTGCTCCAATTCTTCCAAGGCAGACAGCAGGCCGACCGTAGTCTCGTCGTCAATATGGGGCTGCTCCCATTGAATATCGTCTCCTTTACTTTCTGAAAACTCCCAGGGACTGTGGAGATGGGTCCCATTAAGGTCGTCCTTGTAACTTACGGTATATCTCTCCCATGGGCTGTCGGGAAATTCCGAGGATTTCGGCTTTACAACTTGGATCCTGCCATCCCACCATTTTCCTTGGTGTTCATCGTCATTCCACCATACCTTACACCTATCTCTCTTCGTCCAATTTCTCTGCAAAGAAGCCTCGTATCTACTTCTTTCGACGAGGAAATCAGGGAAGGCTGTAAGTTCAGGGAGAGTCAGCCTGAATGTTTTGTTATAGACATCAGACGTTGGATCTACAAATCTAAGCATCAGTTTACAGCAACTATCCCCAGAACCAGGTAGCGTGGCGTAATCTAGGCTTTCAACTCTGCAAAACTCAACTGCCCTAATAAATCCCCCTTTTACATTCTTCCATGGCACAACTTCTTTTGTGGGAGGACCAACTTCCATGTACTCCTGATGGCCCTACAAAACAGAAGCTTACGAGATTATTAATCAAAATAATGCATCATTTGATCTACTCGGTAGATGGCAGAGAAAGCAACAGTAGAAGTGGAAGTGTCTGTTCAAAACATCAGAAGACTCTAGAAAAGAGAAAATGGTGAAAATGTAGAAATTAAAGGGATAATTTCATCGATAAGTTGATTATTAAACAAACTGGATGAAGCAACAATATGTCACCAGGTCCAATGTCAAGGCTCTAGAAACCAGACGCTTAGTGATTCCCTAGAGACTTTGAAAAAGGAATAAATCTAAAATACTGATAAATGAATCATAAATACATACCTGTCTCAAATATGCTATTTCATCACCTAGTTGAGGGATATAACGAGAACCTTCCTCGTGCTTTGGCAGCACCAACCAAGATACCGGCTTAGCTGATTGCTGAACTGTCTCATGAAAACTGTAATTGGTTCTCCTATTCCTAGCAGATCTAACTCTGACGGTTGACCTGGCGCTCGAACCCCAATCTTGTGATGGCATTTGCCCCCTGCGATTAGGAGCATTGGAGGAATCTCTGTATGCATTCTCCAACTCATGCTCATCATTCTGCGAAATGTTGGGGTCTTCTTTTGGAATTTTCATTCCCATGGATCGTGTCCTACGGATTCCATTGGTAAGCATCTCAGTTCTACTACCACTTACATCATCACCGGGGTTTGATGTACTATCTCTCATACCACTTTCACATTCAGAGTTAGTTCTATCCCTAACTGACTTTGACCTTCTATAAACGGCACTGTACATCCTTTTTGGGCGTGAATCAGCACCTGCTGATGAGTCATCCAATGTCCGCACAGAATTCTCGTCAGCATGATCACCTGATCCCTGGACCGCAACACCCTCATAATATTCAGAACTCGTTCTACCATTGGCTTCTTCCTGGTCTGGGTCCTGCTTTATCTCCGCGAGCCTTCCAGGTGATGCCATCATCAAAGGTTTCAACTTTATTCGTAATCTTGTTGGGGCAGGCAGACTACTGTCTTTCAGTTCCATCAAATTATCATTTTCCAAGTGAGCACCAGCTGGCACTTCATCGCTATTTCCATTCGTGCCAATGATCGGGTGGTCCTTGTTGAACCCATTATTCAATACCTCGGATCCATCAAATTCAATGTTTTGACCATGCACTGGTGCCAAGTCATCAGTCTTATCTTGGTTCTCAGGAGGGTTCAAGTACCGATTCTCTTTGATATTGGGTAGACGCAAGATGCATTTGGTAGGTGTAAGTAATGACGAGGTTTCACCCAATCTTTGACGCTTGGACGAGCGAACCTTGGCACCTCCCCACCTGATATCCCCATTCTTAAGATTTTCAGTCTGGGTACTGTCATGATAGTGTGTCTGTTCTTCTTCATCAGAAGAGTACCCTGGAACTAGAGAGCTTACACGAGTGTCGGTGATCTCCATGGCTTTCTCTGGAGCATAAGATGTTGACCCGACATAATCAGCATTCTCTGGCATTGTCATGATCTTACTAGAATCACGGACTGGAAATTTAAGAACCAATTTCTTCCTGATTGGAATATTTGGATGGGACTCCTGAACCTTAAGAGGTCTATCTTCAGACACAGCCAAAGCCTTTCCTTTCAAATACCTTATGTGATCACTCCTCGATGACATTTCTGATTCATCACTCTCCATGCCAGATTGCTCAGTCGACTCACTATCTGAAGCATCACCGGTAGATAATTCTTCTTCATCTTCATCAACATCTTCAGCTGTTACCTTGATTAACAAATCGCGAGCCTGCTGCGCAGCAGCTCTTTGCTTTCTTTGAGGTCTCGTCAATGCCTTAGATTTGAAAGACTTTTTCTTCTTATTCTTTCGGACAATGTGTGGTTTCCGACTGTTACTGCGGCTGATTCTCAATGTATTTCCCTCACAAGCATCCAAATTCCTCCTCTTGATAAGTCTTCCAGAAGAAGTCATCACCTCAAGCTGCAGTGAAGCAAACGAGGCAAGTTTCTAGCGTAAAAATATAACAGGAAAGATAGGGGCCAAGACCGAAACCCACCGAGGAGGTGGTAATTTGAAACAGAAACCAAACTTATTACCAAGGGGCCAGGAACAATAGCCCTGACAGTTAACTGGAAAACCTATATGAACTTGATGGATATAAACCGGTTTTCATGTTCTTTGGGTCGATGTTATTCAATTTAATTTTTTTCCTTCCTGTTTTGCTAATGATTTATTTCAATACCTTTCCATTGCTTTTCAATTTTTTATTATGTTTTCGGAAAAACTACTTAACCAGGATGGATTCTAGTTAAGGAGAAAACCAAATCAGGTTAGCCACCCCTAAAAATAGTTGCAAAATACAACAGTTCGAAGATACGTACTTCAGCCCGGTGTTTTTTCTTTTTGGACCGACGGAAATCATCTCTGCCCTCATCCATGCTGTCATCTGAGCTACATTCTGGATCCCCAGAGGAGAAAGAATTCAAACTCCCTTGCTCGCCACCAGAAGAATATTCTTCAGGGACATTGTACTCAGAATCAGCATCGTCGCTCTGCATTTCGTGTTCGGGTTCCCAATCCATAACATCAACAAATTCAGGAAGTGGCTCCATGGGCAGATCCAAGTCAGCCAAGGGTAATATATGGTAAACTGGGTCGAGACTGAAGTCAGGACCAATAGCAAATTTCACAATTGATGGTTTCCACTCCAAGCCCAGAGCTCCTAATCGCCTCTTTTGGTACATGCTCTGGTAAGGTTCTTCATAAGGGATCATGCCTGGCAGTTGCAAAACGAGGTAGA